GGAGAACAAGGGTCACAAGACCAGTCAAGCAAAGCAAAAACAAGCTCAGGGTGGATCACAAAGTCACCACACAGTCGAGCACAAGAAGCAAGGCCAGAGGCCAGTTCACATGCAGGAGTAAAGACATATATATAAAACTAGACAAGCAAGAGCAGGTATATATATGTCAAAGTACAAGTAAAGTCAAGAAGAGAGCAAGTGAGGCAAGACAGGTACAAGACCCAGCTGGGTACAAAAGCGCTGATGGTCGCAAGGCGCAAGTGCCTTGGTGAACACATCAGCAGTGTTGGCCTCAGAGGCCACGTAAGCAAGTCGCAACTGACCACGCTGCTGCAGCTCACGAGCAAGGAAGTAGCGGAGAGCAATGTGCTTCGTTCTGTGCTCCAAGCGCTGCTCTCGACACAAGGCCAACATGGCCTTGTTGTCTACGTACAGCACTGGAGGAGAACGAGGCAGCTCTCCAAGGTCAGTCAGCAGGTAGGTGAGCCAGCGAAGCTCCTGTGCAGCCATGGCCCCGGCGTAGATCTCAGCCTCACAACTGGATCCGAGAACCGAAGACGAGCGAGTAGACCGCCACGAGACAGAGCCGGAACCAAGGCTGAAGGTGTAACCTGTGACGACCGCTGCGTAGCCTGGTCGTCAGCCCAAGAAGCGTCTGCGTGCCCAGTAAGGACCACTGGACTCCGCCCTCCAAGCACTAGCCCCATGCCCGACGTACTGCACAGGTAGCGCAATACCCTCTTCGCTGCAGCATGTGCTCTGGTCGGTGTCTCCCAGGAGCAACATAGCGTGCAAGGATGCTCAGAGGGTATGCAAGGTCAGGTCGAGTGCAGGTCATCAGGTACATGAGGCAGCCAACAAGCTCTGCATACGGACCACTCGACTCTACGGACTCATCCGAAGGCAGAGCTGAGAGTGAGTGGCGAGTAGGCAGAGGAGTGGCCTGAGGCGAGGAGTACGTGAAGCCGAAGCGCTGAAGGACCTGCTGCACCATGTGTGACTGAGTCAGGGTAATGGTGCGGCGTGCTCTGTCCCGAGTGATCTGCAAGCCAAGGTAGCTGCGCAGTTCACCCAGGTCTGTGCACGTGTGTCTCTTCAGCAGCTCGGACTTCACGTAGGCGAGTCAGCAGTGTCCGCTGTGGCAAAGACCAAGTCGTCGACGTACACGAGGATGTAGAACGGCGGCAGGGAAGTGTCGGTGCGAAGAAACAGCGACGGGTCAGCAGTAGAAGGAGCAAACCCAAGAGCCGCAAGCGTAGTCCTCAGTGTGTCGTGCCACTCACGCGGTGCCTGCGGAGACCGTAGACTGGCCGTCGGAGGCTCCACTGGGTACCAGGAGGGAAAGTCCCAGTGAAGCCAGGCGGACGGCGCAGCCAGATCTCCTCGTGCAGGCTACCCTGCAGGAACGCAGTGCTGAAGTCGAGAGAGTGAAGCTCTGTAGTCGCGCTGAGCGGCAATGTGCAGCAGCACCCGAAGAGTGGTCATCTTCGGGGTGGGAGAGAAGGTCTGAAAGTAGTCAACTCCCTGCCGCTGACTGAAGCCACGAGCCACGTAACGCGCCTTGAAGACAGGCGGCGAGCCCGGCGGCCGCTTCACCCTGAAGATCCACATGCCACTGACGATGTTCGCCCCAGGAGGGGGAACCGCGTCAACGTAGGTGCCTGTGGACTTCCAGGAAGCCATCTCTGCATCCATAGCTGCCTGCCACTGAGAGGAGTAGGGACCCTCTACGGCCTCCGCGTAAGAACGCGGAGTCGGGATGTCTAGTGCATCCGGGTCTCCCTCAGGGGCTAGCAGTACAGACGCGAGACGAGGTGAAGCAGCGGCTAGACACTGGAACTCCTCCTGCCTGTCCTCTAGGACGTCCGTGCCAAGGGCACACTCACCCCCGACGGACGGAGGACAGGCGGACTCAGACTCAGCGACAAGACGAGCAGCGTAGTCTAGACGACAGCGCGCAGCAAAGTCGACAAGCTCAGTGACAAGGGCAGACGCAGCAGACGACTCGAAGGAAGGGTCAGTGACAGCAGTAGCAAGGAGACGCGTGACAGTAGGACTGGCAGCACGAAGAGAGTCCGACTCCGGGTCGGCAAGAGCAGGAAGAGAGGAAGCAGGAGGAGAAGGCAAAGGGGCACGCAGAGGAGCAGTGGACGGACGCAGTGACATCCGGTGCGTGCCAGGGACAGGAGGAGGACGCTGACGCGACCCGCGACCACTAGCGCGCTCAGTACGAACAGGCGACGCAGGACGAGACGCAGGCTCACGACGCTCAGTAAGACCTCCAGTCGGACCAGCGTAGGGAGAAGGAGCAGGCAAAGGGGAGGCAGGCTGTAGCTGTGGCTGTGACCGGACAGGCTGCGGACCCTCTAAGGAAGGAGGAGGAGGTTGTAAGGACCAAGAACCTGCTGCAGGAGCGGAACGAAGTACGGTCGGGGCCGCGCGGCGACGCCAGAAACAGCAGGAACAGCACCAGCACCCCCGGCAGGAGCACCCACTCCAGCAGCACCTCCAGCAGAACCACCAGAAGCTCCAGAACCTCCAGCAGCAGCACCAGGAGCACCGTCAGTCGGACCACCAACCGCAGGCTCAGCGCCAACGTCCTCAGCAGGACCAGCTCCAGGAGAACACTCAGACCCAGCAGCTCCAGCACCCACAGGACGAGCACCGCCAGGTCGCGTGGCAGCAGCGCCCTCCGCAGCCGAAGAACCACCAGCACCAGCGGCACGCCTCCAGCGCCGGGCAAACCACTCACGCAGCTCTAGTGGAGAGAGCGGCTCCCGGTGAGACGAAGCACCCCCAGGCACAGCACCTCCAGGCTCGGCACCTCCCGGCTCAGCACCCCCAGGCTCAGTACCTCCAGACACAGCACCCCAGGCTCAGCTCCCGCAGCAGCACCGGAGTCACCAGGGACCTCGACAGGCTCGACCGCGTCTACCTGAGACACACCTGAAGGGGCAGGACCCTGAGGGGGGAGGGGGACTACTGGGGGGGGACCTGGTACCAAGAAGAGGGGGGGTGGGGGGAGGGACGGAGTGCGGTAGGGGAAGAGGCGGTAGTAGGGTACCGACTCGTCGAACGTGACGTCCTGGGAGGACAGAACACGTCGAGAGGTGGGGTGGTAAAACTGCCACCCAGGGGCGTCGGGGGGGAACCCGAGGAAGACGCAGGGAGAAGCACGAGGGGACAGCTTGTCCGCAGACAGGTCGCGAACAAACGCCCGAGATCCCCAGACCCGGAACGCCGACGCATCGCCAACCTTCCCCGTCCACAACAGAGCTGGGGAGGTCTCCGGTCGAGAGACCCTGGGGTGGAGGTTGATCTGGTGCGCAGCGTACCTGACCGCAAACGGCCACAGAAAATGGGGAGCAGCCGCATGCATCATGGACGTACGAGCGACGTCCATGACCATGCCAATGCGGCGCTCAGCGATCCCATTCTGCTGTGGTGAGTCCGGAAGCGTGAAGGTCTGACGGATGCCTCGCACACGACAGTAGGTACTCAGGAGGGCCGAGGAGAACTCTCCGCCTCTGTCCGAGTGCAGACGCAAGACAGGGAAGTCAGAGCCAAAGCTTCTCCGAAGCTGAAGACGAGCTGCGCGGATCCAGTCGATCAACACCTGAGTGACCTCACCCTTGCTGCGCAAGGGGAAGACTGTGGTGTAACGCGAGTAGTCGTCAACCACTAGCAGGAAGTAGCGCTCCTGACCCTGTCCACGGACGCGGGCTGGGCCCCACACGTCCATGTGAAGCGTCTGCAACGGGGCCTCTGTCGGAGGAAACTGGGAGGAGTGAGGGGCAGCACGCTGGCGCCCCTCGACACAGGGGACACATGCAGGGCAGGGCCCGGAGGAAGGGGAGGGAGGGACCGGGGAAGACCAGACACAAGGACCCGCGAGGCCATGCCTCTGAGCCGAAGCAGAGAGGGGTGGCCAAGGCGGTGGTGCCAGAGGAGGGTCTCGTGAGACAGACGACGACACGAACAAGGGGCAGACTCAGGACCAGACCTGGACGCTGCAGCAAACACCCTGACCAGACGAAGGGGCTCTACCAGACGCAGTACCTGGAGGAGAAGCAGTGGTCAGTGTGTACAGGCTCGATCCCGGCCGACGTGTAAACGTAGCCAGGTGGCGACCTGTATCCGCCTCCGTACAGTGGGTCACCCGCTGACGAGCAGGGGTGAACTGGTGGACACCTGCATCCTGGAGGTCAGCACCACTCACCAAGTTCGTCGAGAACGAGGGGAGGTAGAGACCAGTCAGGGTGCCAGAGGGGGCCGCCGGACACGGGAGGACAGTGGAGGAAGCGAGACAGGACAGGCCCCCCCAGAGGGGTCCGCCAGGGACACCGCAACCGGCCGACTCAGCGGCGTGAGAGTGGTGCGGTCCCTAAAGAAGGAGCGAGACGCTCCAGAGTCAAGGGTGAAGGTGTGAGAGGCCGAAGCCGACACAGTACCTGAGAGGGCGGACTCACCAGTACCTGAAAGCACAGACGCACTGGCACCTAGAGCAGCAGCTGCACAAGTACCTGACGCGGCAGTACCAATGCCGGGTCGGGCGGGAAACACCGGTAACAGTCATCCTCATCACTACCAGTCACAGCATACATAGCAGAGAGAATAGCATCAAAATCAAGATCATAAATAGCTACACCAGCCCTAGACAGCTCTCCCCAGCGGGGGATCTCAGCGGCCTCCGGAAACTGCTGACGCCAGGCGTCGGTCAGGCGGCCAAAGCAGCGACGGGCTGTGTGGGCGCCTCCACACCTCTCCCCTGCACGGTCACCAGTGCGAAGAACGTAGGGGCAGGGACCAAGCGCACCACCACGCTGACGCTGCAAGTACCACTCACGGAGCTGCTGAGGGCCGGGGACGGTGCGAGAGCGCTGCTGCTGCTGCGGCTGCTGCTGTGGCTGCTGCTGCTGCTGCTGCTGGCGCTGACCACCCCCAGAGCTGCTCCGCTGGGACGAGCCACTCCGACCCCCTCCTCCACCGCCACCCCCGCCTCCACCGCCACCCCCGTCGCCACCGCCACCTCCCCCACCAGGACCGTCGCTCCCACCGCTCCCACCGCCTCCTCCGCTACCACCTCCGCCGCCACCTCCGCCTCCACCGCCGCCACTACTACCTCCACTCCCGCCACCACCCCCCCCGCCACCCCCACTCCCCCCTCCACCCCCACCGCCTCCTCCACCCGCCCCCTCTGGCTCCACCCGCTCCCTTGCCCCCTTTGCCCTTGCCAGTGCGGCGTCTGCCACTGGGGGCAGACGCCGCGCCGACCGACTCAAAACCAACGAGGTCGGCCGCAGCGGCAGAGGCGACAGAGGGCAGCAGGGGGGAGGGACCACACCCCTCAAAGATGGGGGTGCGAGGGTCACCCCGAGAGGCCCCTACAGCGACAATACTCTTCTCAGCCGCTAGCAGGGACTCCTCAAGGAGGTCGACAGTGAGAGTGGTGGGACAGACAGAGAGAAACTGGTCCCTAACGACACGAAGGGACTCAGGAAGACGGGTGACGAGAAAGTAGAGAGTGATGTACATGGGAGGAGGGTTCGCAGCGCGGAACTCAGCAGGAAGGGCAGCGCGGTAGCGGGTGTCACTAGCGCGGAGGTGGGTAACGAGGTCAGCGACAGTGGGAAAGGAAGCGAGGTCAGGGAAGAGAAACGGTAGCATGAGGCGGCTAAGGGTAGCGGAGGAAGGGGAGGAGTAGCGCGCAACTACAGCGTCGTACAAGGCCTGAGCGGTCTTGCACTGACTAAAGTGGGCACGCTCAGAGGAAGGGAGGTGGCGACGCACAGCAAGACGTGCAGCAGCATCGCGGGTCGCCCACTTGGAGCGAACGGCAGAGTCAGCATCAGCAGGCGGGGCAGGGACAGCGCCAGAGACAAAGTCAAAGAGAGAGACCTCATCTACCGCATCACACAGTAAGTACAGCTGCAGATCCTCGATCCAGACGGCAAAGTCAATGGCCCTCCCCTCAGCGTCAAAAGTGAGAACATTGGGGGTGGCCATAGCAGCAGCTGAAAGTCTCACCGGGATGGGAGAGTCGGGTAGGTCAGCAGCAGGCGGCTCGGGCTGCTCGTGCAGCTCAGGCGGCTCGGGCTGCTCAGGTACCGGGCGGCTCGGCTACTGCGGGGCGGCTCGGCTACTGCGGGGCGGCTCGGCTGCTGCTGGGCGGCTCGGCTGCTGCTGGGCAGCTCGGCTGCTGCTGGGCGGCTCGGCTGCTGCTGGGCGGCTCGGCTGCTGCTAGGCGGCTCGGCTGCTGCTGGGCGGCTCGGCTGCTGCTGGGCGGCTCGGCTGCTGCTGGGCGGCTCGGCTGCAGTGCAGTGGCGGGGCCGGGGACAAGGCCGGCGGTAGGGCCGGCGGTAGGGCCAGGTAGGAGCCGGCGGCGGGCCGAGTAGGAGGCCGGCGACGGGCCGAGTAGGAGGCCGGCGGCAGGGCCGTGTAGGAGGCCGGCGGCAGGGCCGTGTAGGAGGCCGGCGGCGGGCCGAGTAGGAGGCCGGCGGTGGGCCGAGTAGGAGGCCGGCGACGGGCCAAGTAGGAGGCCGGCGGCAGGGCCGTGTAGGAGGCCGGCGGCGGGCCGAGTAGGGGGCCGGCGGCGGGCCGAGTAGGAGCCGGGGCCGGGCCGTGTAGGAGGCCGGCGGCGGGCCGTGTAGGAGGCCGGCGGCGGAGCCGAGTAGGAGCCGGCGGCGGGGCCGCGTAAGGGGCCGAGTAGGAGCCGGCGGCCCAGGGCCGCGTAAGGGGCCGGCTCGGAGCCGCGTAAGAGGCCGGCGCGGGGCCGCGTAAGGGGCCAGCGCGGGGCCGCGTAAGGGGAGAGGGCGACCCGAAGGGTCGCTAAAACAAAAAAGGCGCGCCTCGGGGGGCGCGCTTCGGTGGGCCCAAAAAAAAAAAATTCGGTCCTGGAGGGACCTAGCTCTATACCATGTGAAACTATGAGCAGAGGAATGAATTGACTAAGTCAGAGTTGGGTACAAATGCAACCCTAGCAAACTGTACCCCATATGTGCTACCCCACTATAGCCTACAAACATGCATCAGCTATAATAATCTGACATGATGGAAAGCGGGAGAATGGAGCGGGGTGATGGAATGAGGGAGAATGGGGCGGGGTGATGGAAGGAGGGAGAATGGGGCGGGGTGATGGAAAGCGGGAGAATGGGGCGGGGTGATGGAAGGAGGAAGAATGGGGCGGGGTGATGGAAAGTGGGAGAATGGGGCGGGGTGATGGAAAGCGGGAGAATGGGGCGGGGTGATGGAAAGCGAGAGAATGGGGCGAGGTGATGGAAGAAGGAAGAATGGGGAGGGGTGATGGAAAGCGGGGGAAAGGGGCGGGGTGATGGAAAGCGGGAGAATGGGGTGGGGTTATGGGAAGCGGGAGAACAGGGCGGGGTGATGGAAAGCGGGAGAATGGGGCGAGGTGATGGAAGGAGGGAGAATGGGGCGAGGTGATGGAAGGAGGGAGAATGGGGCGGGGTGATGGAAAGCGGGAGAATGGGGCGGGGTGATGGAAGGAGGGAGAATGGGGCGGGGTGATGGAAAGCGGGAGAATGGGGCGGGGTGATGGAAAGCAGGAGATTGGGGCAGGGTGATGGAAAGCGGGGGAATGGGGCGGGGTGATGGAAGGAGGGAGAATGGGGCGGGGTGATGGAAAGCGGGAGATTGGGGCAGGGTGATGGAAAGCGGGAGAATGGGGCGGGGTGATGGAAAGCGGGAGAATGGGGCGGGGTGATGGAAAGCGGGAGAATGGGGCTGGGTGATGGAAAGCGGGAGAATGGGGCGGGGTGATGGAAAGCGAGAGAATGGGGCGGGGTGATGGAAGGAGGGAGAATGGGGCGGGGTGATGGAAAGCGGGAGATTGGGGCAGGGTGATGGAAAGCGGGAGAATGGGGCGGGGTGATGGAAAGCGGAAAAATGGGGCGCGGTGATGGAAAGCGGGAGAATGGGGCTAATTGATGGAAAGCAGGAGAATGGGGCGGGGTGATGGAAAGCGGGAGAATGGTGCGGGGTGATGGAAGGAGGGAGAATGAGGCGGGGTGATGGAAGAAGGGAGAATGGGGCGGGGTGATGGAAAGTGGGAGAATGGGTCAGGGGGATGGAAAGCGGGAGAATGGGGCGGAGTGATGGAAAGCGGGAGAATGGGGCGGGGTGATGGAAAGCGGGAGAATGGGGCGGGGTGATGGAAAGCGGGAGAATGGGGCGGGGTGATGGAAAGCGGGAGAAAGGGGCGGGGTGATGGACAGCGGGAGAATGGGGCGGGCTGATGGAAAGCGGGAGAATGGGGCGGGGTGATGGAAGGAGGGAGAATGGGGCGGGGTGATGGAAGGAGAAAGAAGGGGGCGGGGTGATGGAAAGTGGGAAAATGTGGCGGGGTGATGGAAAGCGGGAGAATGGGGTGGGGTGATGGAAAGCGGGAGAATGGAGCGGGGTGATGGAATGAGGGAGAATGGGGCGGGGTGATGGAAGGAGGGAGAATGGGGCGGGGTGATGGAAAGCGGGAGAATGGGGCGGGGTGATGAAAGGAGGAAGAATGGGGCGGGGTGATGGAAAGTGGGAGAATGGGGCGGGGTGATGGAAAGCGGGAGAATGGGGCGGGGTGATGGAAAGCGAGAGAATGGGGCGAGGTGATGGAAGAAGGAAGAATGGGGAGGGGTGATGGAAAGCGGGGGAATGGGGCGGGGTGATGGAAAGCGGGAGAATGGGGTGGGGTTATGGGGAGCGGGAGAACAGGGCGGGGTGATGGAAAGCGGGAGAATGGGGCGGGGTGATGGAAGGAGGGAGAATGGGGCGAGGTGATGGAAGGAGGGAGAATGGGGCGGGGTGATGGAAAGCGGGAGAATGGGGCGGGGTGATGGAAGGAGGGAGATTGGGGCGGGGTGATGGAAAGCGGGAGAATGGGGCGGGGTGATGGAAAGCGGGAGATTGGGGCAGGGTGATGGAAAGCGGGGGAATGGGGCGGGGTGATGGAAGGAGGGAGAATGGGGCGGGGTGATGGAAAGCGGGAGATTGGGGCAGGGTGATGGAAAGCGGGAGAATGGGGCGGGGTGATGGAAAGCGAAAAAATGGGGCGGGATGATGGAAAGCGGGAGAATGGGGCTAAGTGATGGAAAGCGGGACAATGGGGCGGGGTGATGGAAAGCGGGAGAATGGGGCGGGGTGATGGAAGGAGGGAGAATGAGGCGGGGTGATGGAAGGAGGGAGAATGGGGCGGGGTGATGGAAAGTGGGAGAATGGGTCGGGGTGATGGAAAGCGGGAGAATGGGGCGGAGTGATGGAAAGTGGGAGAATGGGGCGGGGTGATGGAAAGCGGGAGAATGGGGCGGGGTGATGGAAAGCGGGAGAATGGGGCGGGGTGATGGAAAGCGGGAGAAAGGGGCGGGGTGATGGAAAGCGGGAGAATGGGGCGGGCTGATGGAAAGCGGGAGAATGGGGCGGGGTGATGGAAGGAGGGAGAATGGGGCGGGGTGATGGAAGGAGAGAGAAGGGGGCGGGGTGATGGAAAGTGGGAAAATGTGGCGTGGTGATGGAAAGCAGGAGAATGGGGTGGGGTTATGGGAAGCGGGAGAATGGGGCGGGGTGATGGAAAGCGGGAGAATGGGGCGGGGTGATGGAATGAGGAAGAATGGGGTGGGGTGATGGAAGGAGGGAGAATGGAGCGGGGTGATGGAAAGCGGGGGAATGGGGTGTGGTGATGGAAGGAGGAAGAATGGGGCGGTGTGATGGAAAGCGGGAGAATGGGGCGGGGTGATGGAAAGCGGGAGAATGGGGCGGGGTGATGGAAAGCGAGAGAATGGGGCGGGGTGATGGAAGGAGGGAGAATGGGGAGGGGTGATGGAAAGCGGGGGAATGGGGCGGGATGATGGGAAGCGGAAGAATGGGGCGGGGTGATGGAAAGCGGGAGAATGGGGTGGGGTGATGGGAAGCGGGAGAATGGGGCGGGGAGATGGAAAGCGGGAGAAAAGGGAGGGGTGATGGAAAGCGGGAGAGTGGGGCGGGCTGATGGAAAGCGGGAGAATGGGGCGGGGTGATGGAAGGAGGGAGAAGGGGGCGGGGTGATGGAAAGTGGGAGAATGTGGCGGGGTGATGGAAAGCGGGAGAATGGGGTGGGGTTGTGGGAAGCGGGAGAATGGGGCGGGGTGATGGAAAGCGGGGGAATGGGGCGGGGTGATGGAAGGAGGAAGAATGGGGCGGGGTGATTGAAAGCGGGAGAATGGGGCGGGGTGATGGAAAGCGGGAGAATGGGGCGGGGTGATGGAAAGCGAGAGAATGGGGCGGGGTGATGGAAGGAGGGAGAATGGGGAGGGGTGATGGAAAGCGGGGGAATGGGGCGGGATGATGGGAAGCGGAAGAATGGGGCGGGGTGATGGAAGGAGGGAGAATGGGGCGGGGTGATGGAAAGCGGGAGAATGGGGCGGGGTGATGGAAAGCGGGAGAATGGGGCGGCGTGATGGAAAGCAGGAGAATGGGGCGGGGTGATGGAAAGCGAGAGAATGGGGCGGGGTGATGGAAGGAGGGAGAATGGGGAGGGGTGATGGAAAGCGGGGGAATGGGGCGAGATGATGGGAAGCGGAAGAATGGGGCGGGGTGATGGAAAGCGGGAGAATGGGGTGGGGTGATGGAAAGCGGGAGAATGGGGTGGCGTGATGGAAGGAGGGAGAATGGGGCTGGGTGATGGAAGGAGGGAGAAGGGGGCGGGGTGATGGAAAGTGGGAGAATGTGGCGGGGTGATGGAAAGCGGGAGAATGGGGTGGGGTTATGGGAAGCGGGAGAATGAGGCGGGGTGATGGAAAGCGAGAGAATGGGGCGGGGTGATGGAAGGAGGGAGAATGGGGCGGGGTGATGGAAGGAGGGATAATGGGGCGGAGTGATGGAAAGCGGGAAAATGGGGAGGGGTGATGGAAAACGGGAGAATGGGGCGGGGTGATGGAAAGCGAGAGAATGGGGCGGGGTGATGGAAGGAGGGAGGATTGGGAGGGGTGATGGAAAGTGGGGGAATGGGGCGGGATGATGGGAAGCGGAAGAATGGGGCGGGGTGATGGAAGGAGGGAGAATGGGGCGGGATGATTGAAAGCGGGAGAATGGGGCGGGGTGATGGAAAGCGGGAGAATGGGGCGGGGTGATGGAAAGCGGGAGAATGGGGCGGGGTGATGGAAATCGGGAGAATGGGGCGGGGTGATGGAAAGCGGGAGAATGGGGCGGGGTTATGGAAGGAGGGAGAATGGGGCGGGGTGATAGAAAGCGGGAGAATGTGGCGGGGTGATGGAAAGCGGGAGAATGGGGTGGGGTTATGGGAAGCGGGAGAATGGGGCGGGGTGATGGAAAGCGGGAGAATGGGGCGGGGTGATTGAAGGAGGGAGAATGGGGCGGGGGGATGGAAGGAGGGAGAATGGGGCGGGGTGATGGAAAGCGGGAGAATGGGGCGGGGTGATGGAAGGAGGGAGAATGGGGCGGGGTGATGGAAGGAGGGAGAATGGGGTGGGGTGATGGAAAGCGGGAGAATGGGGCGGGGTGATGGAAAGCGGGAGAATGGGGCGGGGTGATGGAAGGAGGGAGAATGGGGAGGGGTGATGGAAAGCGGGGAAATGGGGCGAGATGATGGGAAGCGGAAGAATGGGGCGGGGTGATGGAAAGCGGGAGAAAGGGGAGGGGTGATGGAAAGTGGGGGAATGGGGCGGGCTGATGGAAAGCGGGAGAATGGGGCGGGGTGATGGAAGGAGGGAGAATGGGGCGGGGTGATGGAAGGAGAGAGAAGGGGGCGGGGTGATGGAAAGTGGGAGAATGTGGCGGGTGATGGAAAGCGGGAGAATGGGGTGGGGTTATGGGAAGCGGGAGAATGAGGCGGGGTGATGGAAAGCGGGAGAATGGGGCGGGGTGATGGAAGGAGGGAGAATGGGGCGGGGTGATGGAAAGAGGGATAATGGGGCGGAGTGATGGAAAGCGGGAAAATGCGGCGGGGTGATGGAAAGCGGGAGAATGGGGCGGGGTGATGGAAAGCGAGAGAATGGGGCGGGGTGATGGAAGGAGGGAGAATGGGGAGGGGTGATGGAAAGTGGGGGAATGGGGCGTGATGATGGGAAGCGGAAGAATGGGGCGGGGTGATGGAAGGAGGGAGAATGGGGCGGGGTGATGGAAAGCGGGAGAATGGGGCGGGATAATTGAAAGAGGGAAAATGGAGGGAGGTGATGGAAAGCGGGAGAATGGGGTGGTGTGATGGAAAGCGGGAGAATGGGGCGGTGTGATGGAAAGAGGGAGAATGGGGCGGGGTGATGGAAAGCGGGAGAATGGGGCGGGGTGATGGAAAGAGGGAGAATGGGGCGGGTTGATGGAAGGCGGGAGAATGGGGCGGGGTGATGCAAATCTGGAGAATGGGGCGGGGTGATGCAAATCGGGAGAATGGGGTGGGGTGATGGAAAGAGGGAGAATGGGGCGGGGTGATGGAAAGCGGGAGAATGGGGCGGGGTGATGGAAAGCGGGAGAATGGGGCGGGGCGATGGAAAGCTGGAGAACGGGGCGGGGTGATGGAAAGTGGGAGAACGAGGCGGGGTGATGGAAAGAGGGAGAATGGGGCGGGGTGATGGAAAGCGGGAGAATGGGGCGGGGTGATGGAAAGCGGGAGAATGGGGCGGGGTGATGGAAAGCGGGAGAATGGGGCGGGGTGATGGAAAGCGGGAGAATGGGGCGGGGTGATGGAAAGCGGGAGAATGGGGCGGGGTGATGGAAAGTGGGAGAATAGGGAGGGTTGATGGAAAGAGGGAGAATTGGGCGGGGTGATGGAAAGCGGGAGAATGGAGCGGGGTGATAGAAAGCGGGAGAATGGGGCGGGGTGATGGAAAGCGGGAGAATGGGGCGGGGTGATGGATAGTGGTAGAATGGGGCGGGGTGATGGATAGAGGGAGAATTGGGCGGGGTGATGGAAAGCGGGAGAATGGGGCGGGATGATGGAAAGAGGGAGAATGGGGCGGGGTGATGGAAAGAGGGAGAATGGGGCGGGGTGATGGAAAGCGGGAGAATGGGGCAGGCTGATTGAAAGAGGGAGAATGGGGCGGGGTGATGGAAAGCGGGAGCATGGGGCAAGGTGATGGAAAGAGGGAGAATGGGGTGGGGTGATGGAAAGCGGGAGAATGGGGCGGGGTGATGCAAATCGGGAGAATTGGGTGGGGTGATGGAAAGCGGGAGAATGGAGCGGGGTGATGGAAAGCGGGAGAATGGGGCGGGGTGATGGAAAGTGGTAGAATAGGGCGGGGTGATGGATAGAGGGAGAATGGGGCGGGGTGATGGAAAGCGGGAGAATGGGGCGGGCTGATGGAAAGAGGGAGAATGGGGAGGCGTGATAGAAAGAGGGAGAATTGGGCGGGGTGATGGAAAGCAGGAGGATGGAGCGGGGTGATGGAAAACGGGAGAATGGGGCGGGGTCATGGAAAGCGGGAGAATGGGGCGGGGTGATGGAAAGAGGGAGAATGGGGCGGGGTGATGGAAAGCGGGAGAATGGGACCGGGTGATGGAAAGCGGGAGAATCGGGCGGAGTGATGGATAGAGGGAGAATGGGGCAGGGTGATGGAAAGTGGGAGAATGGGGTGGGGTGATGGAAGGAGGGAACATGGTGCGGGGTGATGGAAAGCGGGAGAATGGGGCAAGGTGATGGAAAGAGGGAGAATGGGACGGGGTGATGGAAAGAGGGAGAATGGGGTGGGGTGATAGAAAGCGGGAGAATGGGGCGGGGTGATGGAAAGAGGGAGAATGGGGCGGGGTGATGGACAGAGGGAGAATGGGGTGGGGTGACGGAAAGCGGTAGAATGGGGCGGGGTGATGGAAAGCGGGAGAATGGGGCGGGGTGATGGAAAGAGGGAGAATGGGGCGGGGTGATGGAAAGAGGGAGAATGGGGCGGGGTGATGGAAAGCAGGAGAATGGGGCGGGAGATGGAAAAAGGGAGAATGGGGAGGGGTGATGGAAAGAGTGAGAATTGGGCGGGGTGATAGAAAGCGGGACAATGGAGAGGGATGATGGAAAGCGAGAGAATGGGGCGGGGTGATGGAAAGCGGGAGAATGGGGCGGGGTGATGGAAAGGCGGAAAATGGCGCGGGGTGATGGAAAGCGGGAGAATGGGGCGGGTTGATGGAAAGAGGGAGAATGGGGCGGGGTGATGGAAAGAAGGAGAATGGGGCGGAGTGATGGAAAGCGGGAGAATGGGGCGGGGTGATGGAAAGAGGGAGAATGGGGCGGGGTGATGGAAAGAGGGAGAATTGGGCGGGTTGATGGAAGGCGGGAGAGTGGGGCGGGGTGATGGAAAGAGGGAGAATGGGGCGGGGTGATGGAAAGCGGGAGAATGGGGCGGGGTGATGGAAAAAGGGAGGATGGGGAGGGGTGATGGAAAGAGGGAGAATTGGGCGGGGTGATGGAAAGGGGGACAATGGAGCGGGATGATGGAAAGCGGGAGAATGGGGCGGGGTGATGGAAAGCGGGAGAATTGGGCGGGGTGATGGAAAGAGGGAAAATGGCGCGGGGTGATGGAAAGCGGGAGAATGGGGCGGGGTGATGGAAAAAGGGAGAATGGGGAGGGGTGATGGAAAGAGGGAGAATTGGGCGGGGTGATGGAAAGCGGGACAATGGAGCGGGATGATGGAAAGCGAGAGAATGGGGCGGGGTGATGGAAAGCGGGAGAATGGGGCGGGGTGATGGAAAGAGTGAAAATGGCGCGGGCTGATGGAAAGCGGGAGAATGGGGCGGGGTGATGGAAAGAGGGAGAATGGGGCGGGATGATGGAAAGAGGGAGAATGGGGCGGGGTGATGGAAAGCGGGAGAATGGGGCGGGGTGATGGAAAGAGGGAGAATGGGGCGGGGTGATGGAAAGAGGGAGAATTGGGCGGGGTGATGGAAGGCGGGAGAGTGGGGCGGGGTGATGGAAAGAGGGAGAATGGGGCGGTGTGATGGAAAGCGGGAGAATGGGGCGAGGTGATGGAAAAAGGGAGAATGGGGAGGGGTGATGGAAAGAGGGAGAATTGGGCGGGGTCATGGAAAGCGGGACAATGGAGCGGGATGATGGAAAGCGAGAGAATAGGGCGGGGTGATGGAAAGCGGGAGAATGGGGCGGGGTGATGGAAAGAGGGAAAATGGCGCGGGGTGATGGAAAGTGGGAGAATGGGGCGGGGTGATGGAAGGCGGGAGAGTGGGGCGGGGTGATGGAAAGAGGGAGAATGGGGCGGGGTGATGGAAAGAGGGAGAATGGGGCGGGGTGATTGAAAGTGGGAGAATGGGCGGGGTGATGGAAATCGGGAGAATGGAGCGGGGTGATGGAAAGAGGAAGAATGGGGCAGGGTGATGGAAAGCGGGAGAATGGGGCGGGATGATGGAAAGCAGGAGAATTGGGCGGGTTGATGGAAAGCAGGGGAACGGGGCGGGGTGATGGAAATAGGGAGAATGGGGCGGGGTGATGGAAAGAGGGAGGATGGGGTGGGGTGATGGAAAGCAAAAGAATGGGGCGGGGTGATGGAAAGCGGGAGAATGGGACCGGGTGATGGAAAGCGGGAGAATAGAGCGGGGTGGTGGATAGAGGAAGAATGGGGCAGGGTGATGGGAAGAGGGAGAATGGGGCGGGGTGATGGAAAGCGGGAGAATGGGGCGGGGTGATGGATAGAGGGAGAATGGGGCGGGCTGATGGAAAGAGGGAGAATGGGGCGGGATGATGGAAAGCGGGAGAATGGGGAGGGGTGATGGTTATCGGGAGAATTGGGCGGGGTGATGGAAAGCGGGAGAATGAGGCGGGGTGATGGAAAGGGGGAGAATGGGGCGGGGTGATGGAAAGCGGGAGAACGGGGCGGGGTGATGGAAAGCGGGAGAACGGGGCGGGGTGATGGAAAGCGGGAGAACGGGGCGGGGTGATGGAAAGCGGGAGAACGGGGCGGGGTGATGGAAAGAGGGAGAATGTGGCGGGTTGATGGAAAGCGGGAGAATGTGGCAAGGTGATGGAAAGGGGGAGAATGGGGCGGGGTGATGGAAAGCGGGAGAACGGGGCGGGGTGATGGAAAGCGGGAGAACGGGGCTGGGTGATGGAAAGAGGGAGAATGGGGCGGGGTGATGGAAAGCGGGAGAATGTGGCAAGGTGATGGAAAGGGGGAGAATGGGGCGGGGTGATGGAAAGCAGGAGAACGGGGCGGGGTGATGGAAAGCGGGAGAACGGGGCAGGGTGATGGAAAGAGGGAGAAAGGGGCGGGTTGATGGAAAGCGAGAGAATGGGGCGGGGTGATGGAAAGCGGGAGAATGGGGCGGGGTGATGGAAAGCGGGAGAATGGGGCGGGGTGATGGAAAGCGGGAGAATGGGGCGGGGTGATGGAAAGCGGGAGAATGGGGCAGGGTGATGGAAAGAGGGAGAATGGGGAGTGGTGATAGAAAGAGGGAGAATTGGGCGGGGTGATGGAAAGCGGCAGAATAGAGCGGGGTGATGGAAAGTGTGAGAATGGGGCGGGGTGATGGAAAGTGGGAGAATGGGGCGGGGTGATGGAAAGAGGGAGAATGGGGCAGGGTGATGGAAAGCGGGAGAACGGGGCGGGGTGATGGAAAGAGGGAGAATGGGGCGGGGTGATGGAAAGCGGGAGAATGGGGCGGGGTGATGGAAAGCGGGAGAATGGAGCGGTGTGATGGAAAGAGGGAGAATGGGGCGGGGTGATGGAAGGCGGGAGAATGGGGCGGGGTGATGGAAAGAGGGAGAATGGGGCGGGGTGATGGAAAGAGGGAGAATGGGGCGAGGTGATGGAAAGCGGGAGATTGGGGCGGGGTGATGGAAAGAGGGAGAATGGGGCGGGGTGATGGAAAGCAGGAGAATGGGGCGGGGTGATGGAAAGAGGGAGAATGGGGCGGGGTGATGAGAAGAGGGAGAACGGGGCGGGGTGATGGAAAGCGGGAGAATGGGGCGGGGTGATAGAAAAAGGGAGAATGGGGAGGGGTGATAGAAAGAGGGAGAATTGGGCGGGGTGATGGAAAGCAGGAGAATAGTGAGGGGTGATAGAAAGAGCGAGAATGGGGCGGGGTGATGGAAAGCGGGAGAATGGGGCGAGGTGATGGAAAGAGGGAGAATGGGGCGGGGTGATGGAAAGCGGGAGAATGGGGCGGGGTGATGGAAAGAGGGAGAATGGGGAGGGTTGATGGAAAGAGGGAGAATTGGGCGGGGTGATGGAAAGGGGGAGAATGGAGGGGGATGATGGAAAGCGGGAGAATGGGGCGGGGTGATAGAAAGCGGGAGAATGGGGAAGGGTGATGGAAAGAGGGAGAATGGGGCGGGGTGATAGAAAGAGGGAGAATGGGGAGGGGTGATGGAAAACGGGAGAATGGGGCGGGGTCATTGAGAGCGGGAGAATGGGGCAGGGTGATGGAAAGGGACACCGCGACAGCTGACGAAGCGGCGTGAATGTGGTGCGGTCGCGAAAGAAGGAGCGAGAGGCCCCAGAGTCAAGAGTGAAGGTGAGGGAGGCCGAAGCCGGCGCAGTACCTGACAGCGCAGACTCACCAGTACCTGAGAGCGCAGACTCACCAGTACCTGAGGAAGCTGACGTGGGAGAATGGGGCGGGGTGATGGAAAGCGGGAGAATGGGGCGGGGTGATGGAAAGCGGGAGAATGGAGCGGGGTGATGGAAAGAGGGAGAACAGGGCGGGGTGATGGAAAGCGGGAGAATGGGGCGGGGTGATGGAAAGCGGGAGAATGGGGCGGGGTGATAGAAAGCGGGAGAATGGGGCGGGGTGATGGAAAGCGGGAGAATAGGGCGGGGTGATGAAAAGCAAGTGAATGGGGCAAGGTGATGGAAAGCGGGTGAATGGGACAGGGTGATGGAAAGCGGGAGAATGGGGCGGGGTGATGGATAGAGGGAGAATGGGGCGGGGGTGATGGAAAGCGGGAGAATGGAGCGGGGTGATGGAAAGCTGGAGAATGGGGCGGAGTGATGGAAAGCGGGAGAATGGGGCGGGGTTATGGAAAGATGAAGAATGGGGCTGGGTGATGGAAAGCGGGAGAGTGGGGCGGGGTGATGGAAAGCGGGAGAATGTGGCGCGGTGATGGAAAGAGGGAAAATGGGGCGGGGTGATCGAAAGCGGGAGAATGGGGCGGGGTGATGGAAAGAGGGAGAATAGGGGAGGGTGATGGAAAGCGGGAGAATGGGGCGGGGTGATGGAAAGCGGGAGAATGGGGCGGGGTGATGGAAAGCGGGAGAATGGGGCGGGGTGATGGAAAGCGGGAGAATGGGGCAGGGTGATTGAAAGCGGGAGAACAGGGCCGGGTGATGGAAAGAGGGAGAATGGGGCGGGGTGATGGAAAGAGGGAGAATGGGGAGGGGTGATGGAAAACGGGAGAATGGGGAGGGGTGATTGAGAGCAGGAGACTGGGGCGGGGTGATGGAAAGCGGGAGAATGGGGTGGGGTGATGGAAAGAGGGAGAAAGGGGCGGGTTGATGGAAAGCGAGAGAATGGGGCGGGGTGATGGAAAGCGGGAGAATGGGGCGGGGTGATGGAAAGCGGGAGAATGGGGCGAGGTGATGGAAAGCGGGAGAATGGGGCGGGGTGATGGAAAGCGGGAGAATGGGGCGGGGTGATGGAAAGAGGGAGAATGGGGAGGGGTGATAGAAAGAGGGAGAATTGGGCGGGGTGATGGAAAGCGGGAGAATAGAGCGGGGTGATGGAAAGCGTGAGAATGGGGCGGGGGGATGGAAAGAGGAAGAATGGGGCTGGGTGATGGAAAGCGGGAGAGTGGGGCGGGGTGATGGAAAGCGGGAGAATGTGGCGCGGTGATGGAAAGAGGGAAAATGGGGCGGGGTGATCGAAAGCGGGAGAATGGGGCGGGGTGATGGAAAGAGGGAGAATAGGGCGGGGTGATGGAAAGCGGGAGAATGGGGCGGGGTGATGGAAAGCGGGAGAATGGGGCGAGGTGATGGAAAGCGGGAGAATGGGGCGGGGTGATGGAAAGCGGGAGAATGGGGCAGGGTGATTGAAAGCGGGAGAACAGGGCCGGGTGATGGAAAGAGGGAGAATGGGGCGGGGTGATGGAAAGAGGGAGAATGGGGAGGGGTGATGGAAAACGGGAGAATGGGGAGGGGTGATTGAGAGCAGGAGACTGGGGCGGGGTGATGGAAAGCGGGAGAACGGGGTGGGGTGATGGAAAGAGGGAGAAAGGGGCGGGTTGATGGAAAGCGAGAGAATGGGGCGGGGTGATGGAAAGCGGGAGAATGGGGCGGGGTGATGGAAAGCGGGAGAAGGGGATGGAATCTGGGAGAAGGGGATGGAATGAGGGAGAAGGGGATGGAATCTGGGAGAAGGGGATGGGATCTGGGAGAAGGGGATGGAATCTGGGAGAAGGGGATGGAATCTGGGAGAAGGGGATAGAATCTGGGAGAAGGGGATGGAATCTGGGAGAAGGGGATGGAATCTGGGAGAAGGGGATGGAATCTGGGAGAAGGGGGTGGAATCTGGGAGAAGGGGATGGAATCTGGGAGAAAGGGATGGAATCTGCGAGAAGGGGATGGAATATGGGAGAAGGGGATGGGATCTGGGAGAATGGGATGGAATCTGGGAGAAGGGTATGGAATCTGGGAGAAGGGGATGGAATCTGGGAGAAGGGGATGGAATCTGGGAGAAGGCGATGGAATCTGGGAGAAGGGGATGGAATCAGGGAGAAGGGGATGGAATCTGGCAGAAGGGGATGGAATCTGGGAGAAGGGGATGGAATCTGGGAGAAGGGGAAGGAATTTGGGAGAAGGGGATGCAATCTGGGAGAAGGGGATGGAATCTAGGAGAAGGGGGTGGAATCTGGGAGAAGGGGATGAAATCTGGCAAAAGGGGATGGAATCTGGGAGATGGGGATGGAATCTGGGAGAAGGGGATGGAATTTGGGAGAAGGGGATGGAATCTGGGAGAAGGGGATGGAATCTGGGAGAAGGGGATGGAATCTGGGAGAAGGGATGGAATCAGGGAGAAGGGGATGGAATCTGGGAGAAGGGGATGGAATATGGGAGAAGGGGGTGGAATCTGGGAGAAGGGGATGGAATCTTGGAGAAGGGGGTGGAATCTGGGAAAAGGGGGTGGAATCTGGGAGAAGGGGATGGAATCAGGGAGAAGGGGATGGAATCTGGGAGAAGGGGATGGAATCTGGGAGAAGGGAATGGAATCTGGGAGAAGGGAATGGAATCTGGGAGAAGGGGATGGGATCTGGGAGAAGGGGATGGAATCAGGGAGAAGGGGATGGAATCTGGGAGAAGGGGATAGAATCTGGGAGAAGGGGATGGAATCTGGGAGAAGGGGATGGAATCTGGGAGAAGGGGATGGAATCTGGGAGAAGGGGATGGAATATGGGAGAAGGGGATGGTATCAGGGAGAAGGGGATAGAATCCAGGAGAAGGGGATGGAATGAGGGAGAAGGGGATGCAATCTGGGAGAAGGGGATGGAATCTGGGAGAAGGGGATGGAATCTGGGAGAAGGGGATGGAATCTGGGAGAAGGGGATGGAATCTGGGAGAAGGGGATAGAATCTGGGAGAAGGGGGTGGAATCTGGAAGAAGGGGATGTAATCTGGGAGAAGGGGATGGAATCTGGGAGAAGGGGATGGAATCTGGGAGAAGGGGATGGAATCTGCGAGAAGGGGATAGAATATGGGAGAAGGGGATGGGATCTGGGAGAAGGGGATGGAATCTGGGAGAAGGGTATGGAATTGGGAGAAGGGGATGGAATCTGGGAGAAGGGGATGGAATGAGGGAGAAGGGGATGGAATCTGGGAGAAGGGGATGGAATCTGGGAGAAGGGTATGGAATCTCGGAGAAGGGGATGGAATCTGGGAGAAGGGGATGGAATCTGGGAGAAGGGGATGGAATCTGGGAGAAGGGGATGGAATATGGGAGAAGGGGATGGAATCTGGGAGAAGGGGATGGAATCTGGGAGAAGGGGATGGAATCTGGGAGAAGGGGATAGAATCTGGGAGAAGGGGATGGAATCTGGGAGAAGGGGATGGAATCTGGGAGAAGGGGGTGGAATCTAGGAGAAGAGGATGAAATCTGGGAGAAGGGGATGGAATCTGGGAGAAGGGGATGGAATCTGGGAGAAGGGGATGGAATCTAGGAGAAGGGGATGGAATCAATAAGAATGGGGTGGAATCTGGAAGAAGGGGATAGAATCTGGGAGAAGGGGATGGAATCTGGGAGAAGGGGATGGAATCTGGGAGAAGGGGGTGGAATCTGGGAGAAGGGGATGGAATCTGGGAGAAGGGGATGGAATCTGGGAGAAGGGGATGGAATCAGGGAAAAGGGGATGGAATTTGGGAGAAGGGGATGGAATCTGGGAGAAGGGGATGGAATCTGGGAGAAGGGGATGGAGTCTGGGAGAAGGGATGGAATCTGGGAGAAGGGTATGGAATCTGGGAGAAGGGGATGGAATCTGGGAGAAGGGGATGGAATCTGCGAGAAGGGGATGGAATATGGGAGAAGGGGATGGGATCCGGGAGAAGAGGATGGAATCAGGGAGAAGGGTATGGAATCTGGGAGAAGGGGATGGAATATGGGAGAAGGGGATGGAATCAGGGAGAAGGGGATGGAATCAGGGAGAAGGGGATGGAATCTGGGAGAAGGGGATGGAATATGGGAGAAGGGGATGGAATCTGGGAGAAGGGGATGGAATCTGGGAGAAGGGGATGGAATCTGGGAGAAGGGGATGGGATCTGGGAGAAGGGGATGGAATCTGGGAGAAGGGGATGGAATCTGGGAGAAGGGGATAGAATCTGGGAGAAGGGGATGGAATCTGGGAGAAGGGGATGGAATCTGGGAGAAGGGGATGGAATCTGGGAGAAGGGGGTGGAATCTGGGAGAAGGGGATGGAATCTGGGAGAAGGGGATGGAATCTGGGAGAAGGGGATGGAATCTGGGAAAAGGGGATGGAATCTGGGAGAAGGGGATGGAATCGGGGAGAAGGGGATGGAATCTGGGAGAAGGGGATAGTATCTGGGAGAAGGGGATGGAATCTGGGAGAAGGGGATAGAATCAGGGAGAAGGGGATGGAATCTGGGAGAAGGGGATGGAATCTAGGAGAAGGGGATAGAATCCGGGAGAACGGGATGGAATCACGGAGAAGGGGATGCAATCTGGGAGAAGGGGATGGAATCTGGGAGAAGGGGATGGAATCTGGGAGAAGGGGATGGAATCTGGGAGAAGTGGGTGGAATCTGGGAGAAGGGGATGTAATTTGGGAGAACGGGATGGAATCAGGGAGAAGGGGATGGAATCTGGGAGAAGGGGATGGAATCTGCGAAAAGGGGATGGAATATGGGAGAAGGGGATGGGATCTGGGAGAAGGGGATGGAATCTGGGAGAAGGGTATGGAATCTGGGAGAAGGGGATGGAATATGGGAGAAGGGGATGGAATCTGGGAGAAGGGGATGGAATCTGGGAGAAGGGGATAGTATCTGGGAGAAGGGGATGGAATCTGGGAGAAGGGGATGGAATCTGGGAAAAGGGGATGGAATCTGGGAGAAGGGGATGGAATCTGGGAGAAGGGGATGGAATCTGGGAGAAGGGGATAGAATCCGGGAGAACGGGATGGAATCAGGGAAAAGGGGATGCAATCTGGGAGAAGGGGATGGAATCTGGGAGAAGGGGATGGAATCTGGGAGAAGTGGGTGGAATCTGGGAGAATGGGATGTAATTTGGGAGAACGGGATGGAATCTGGGAGAAGGGGATGGAATCGGGGAGAAGGGGATGGAATCTGCGAAAAGGGGATGGAATATGGGAGAAGGGGATGGGATCTGGGAGAAGGGGATGGAATCTGGGAGAAGGGTATGGAATCTGGGAGAAGGGGATGGAATTTGGGAGAAGGGGATGGAATGAGGAAGAAGGGGATGGAATCCGGGAGAAGGGGATGGAATCTGGGAGAAGGGTATGGAATCTGGGAGAAGGGGATGGAATCTGGGAGAAGGGGATGGAATCTGGGAGAAGGGGATGGAATCTGGGAGAAGGGGATAGAATCTGGGAAAAGGGGATGGAATCTGGGAGAAGGGGATGGAATCTGGGAGAAGGGGATAGAATCCGGGAGAACGGGATGGAATCAGGGAGAAGGGGATGCAATCAAGGAGAAGGGGATGGAATCTTGGAGAAGGGGATAGAATCTGGGAGAAGGGGATATAATCTGGAGAAGGGGGTGGAATCTGGGAGAAGGGGAAGTAATTTGGGAGAAGGGGATGGAATCTGGGAGAAGGGGATGGAATCTGGGAGAAGGGGATGGAATCTGCGAGAAGGGGATGGAATATGGGAGAAGGGGATGGGATCTGGGAGAAGGGGATGGAATCTGGGAGAAGGGTATGGAATCTAAAAGAAGGGGATGGAATCTGGGAGAAGGGGATGGAATGAGGAAGAAGGGGATGGAATCTGGGAGAAGGGGATGGAATCTGGGAGAAGGGAATGGAATCTGGGAGAAGGGGATGGAATCTGGGAGAAGGGGATGGAATCTGGGAGAAGGGGATGGAATCTGGGAGAAGGGGATGGAATCTGGGAGAAGGGGATGGAATCTGGGAGAAGGGGATAGAATCTGGGAGAAGGGGATGGAATCTGGGAGAAGGGGATGGAATCTGGGAGAAGGGGGTGGAATCTAGGAGAAGGGGATGAAATCTGGGAGAAGGGGATGGAATCTGAGAGAAGGGGATGGAATCTGAGAGAAGGGGATGGAGTCTGGGAGAAGGGGATGGAATCTAGGAGAAGGGGATGGAATCAGTGAGAAGGGGGTGGAATCTGGGAGAAGGGGATAGAATCTGGGAGAAGGGGATAGAATCTGGGAGAAGGGGATGGAATCTGTGAGAAGGGGGTGGAATCTGGGAGAAGGGGATGTAATTTGGGAGAAGGGGATGGAATCTGGGAGAAGAGGATGGAATCTAGGAGAAGGGGATGGAATCTGCGAGAAGGGGATGGAATATGGGAGAAGGGGATGGGATCTGGGAGAAGGGGATGGAATCTGGGAGAAGGGTATGGAATCTAAAAGAAGGGGATGGAATCTGGGAGAAGGGGATGGAATGAGGAAGAAGGGGATGGAATCTGGGAGAAGGGGATGGAATCTGGGAGAAGGGAATGGAATCTGGGAGAAGGGGATGGAATCTGGGAGAAGGGGATGGAATCTGGGAGAAGGGGATGGAATCAGGGAGAAGGGGATGGAATCTGGGAGAAGAAGATGGAATCTGGGAGAAGGGGATAGAATCTGGGAGAAGGGGATGGAATCTGGGAGAAGGGGATGGAATCTGGGAGAAGGGGGTGGAATCTAGGAGAAGGGGATGAAATCTGGGAGAAGGGGATGGAATCTGGGAGAAGGGGATGGGATCTGGGAGAAGGGGATGGAATCTGGGAGAAGGGGATGGAATCTGGGAGAAGGGGATGGAATCTGGGAGAAGGGGATGGAATCTGGGAGAAGGGGATGGAATCTGGGAGAAGGGGATGGAATCTGGGAGAAGGGGGTGGAATTTGGGAGAAGGGGATGGAATCTGGGAGAAGGGGATAGAATCTGGGAGAAGGGGATGGAATCTGGGGGAAGGGGATGGAATCTGGGAGAAGGGGATGGAATCTGGGAGAAGGGGGTGGAATCTGGAAGAAGGGGATGTAATCTGGGAGAAGGGGAAGGAATCTGGGAGAAGGGGATGGAATCTGGGAGAAGGGGATGGAATCTGCGAGAAGGGGATGAAATATGGGAGAAGGGGATGGGATCCGGGAGAAGCGGATGGAATCTGGGAGAAGGGTATGGAATCTGGGAGAAGGGGATGGAATCCGGGAGAAGGGGATGGAATCTGGGAGAAGGGGATGGAATCTGGGAGAAGGGGATGGAATCTGGGAGAAGGGGATGGAATCAGTGAGAAGGGGGTGGAATCTTGGAGAAGGGGATAGAATCTGGGAGAAGGGGATGGAATCTGGGAGAAGGGGATGGAATCTGGTAGAAGGGGGTGGAATCTGGGAGAAGGGGATGGAATCTGGGAGAAGGGGATGGAATCTGGGAGAAGGGGATGGAATCTGGGAAAAGGGGATGGAATCTGGGAGAAGGGGATGGAATCTGGGAGAAGGGGATGGAATCTGGGAGAAGGGGATGGAATCTGGGAGAAGGGATGGAGTCTGGGAGAAGGGTATGGAATCAGGGAGAAGGGGATGGAATCTGGGAGAAGGGGATGGAATCTGCGAGAAGGGGATGGAATATGGGAGAAGGGGATGGGATCCGGGAGAAGAGGATGGAATCAGGGAGAAGGGTATGGAATCTGGGAGAAGGGGATGGAATATGGGAGAAGGGGATGGAATCTGGGAGAAGGGGATGGAATCTGGGAGAAGGGGATGGAATATGGGAGAAGGGGATGGAATCTGGGAGAAGGGGATGGAATCTGGGAGAAGGGGATGGGATCTGGGAGAAGGGGATGGGATCTGGGAGAAGGGGATGGAATCTGGGAGAAGGGGATGGAATCTGGGAGAAGGGGATAGAATCTGGGAGAAGGGGATGGAATCTGGGAGAAGGGGATGGAATATGGGAGAAGGGGATGGAATCTGGGAGAAGGGGATGGAATTTGGGAGAAGGGGATGGAATCTGGGAGAAGGGGATGGAATCTGGGAGAAGGGGATGGAATCTGGGAGAAGGGGATGGAATCTAGGAGAAGGGGATGGGATCTGGGAGAAGGGGATGGAATGTGGGAGAAGGGGGTGGAATCTGGGAGAAGGGGATGAAATCTGGGAGAAGGGGATGGAATCTAGGAGAAGGAGATGGAATCTGGGAGAAGGGGATGGAATCTGGGAGAAGGGGATGGAATCTGGGAGAAGGGGATAGAATGAGGGAGAAGGGGATGGAATCTGGGAGAAGGGGATGGAATCTGGGAGGAGGGGATGGAATCTGGTAGAAGGGGATGGAATCTGGGAGAAGGGGATGGAATCTGGGAGAAGGGGATGGAATCTGAGAGAAGGGGATGGAATCTGGGAGAAGGGGATGAAATCTGGGAGAAGGGGGTGGACTCTGGGAGAAGGGGATGGAATCTGGGAGAAGAGGATAGAATCTGGGAGAAGGGGATGGAATCTGGGAGAAGGGGATGGAATCTGGGAGAAGGGGATGGAATCAGGGAGAAGGGGATGGAACCTGGGAGAAGGGGATGGAATCTGGGAGAAGGGGGTGGAATCTGGGAGAGAGGGATGGAATCGGGGAGAAGGGGATGGAATATGGGAGAAGGGGATGGAATCTGGAAGAAGGGGATGGAATATGGGAGAACAATATGGAATGAGGGAGAAGAGGATGGAATCTGGAAGAAGGGGATGGAATCTGGGAGAAGGGGATGGAATCTGGGAGAAGGGGACAGAATCTGGTAGAAGGGGATGGAATGATGGAGAAGGGGATGGAATCTGGGAGAAGGGGATAGAATATGGGAGAAGGGGATGGAATCTGGGAGAGGGATGGAATCTGGGAGAAGGGGATGGAATCTGGGAGAAGGGGATGGAATGAGGGAAAAGGGGATGGAATCTGGGAGAAGGGGATGGAATCTGGGAGAAGGGGATGGAATCTAGGAGAAGGGGATGAAATCTGGGAGAAGGGATGGAATCTGGGAGAAGGGTATGGAATAAGGGAGAAGGGGATGGAATCTGGGAGAAGGGGATAGAAACTGCGAGAAGGGGATGGAATATGGGAGAAAGGGATGGGATCTGGGAGAAGAGGATGGAATCAGGGAGAAGGGTATAGAATCTGGGAGAAGGGGATGGAATATGGGAGAAGGGGATGGAATCTGGGAGAAGGGGATGGAATATGGGAGAAGGGGATGGAATCTGGAAGAAGGGGATGGAATATGGGAGAAGGGGATGGAATCAGGGAGAAGGGGATGGAATGTGGGAGAAGGGGATGGAATCTGGGAGAAGGGGATGGGATCTGGGAGAAGGGGATGGAATATGGGAGAAGGGGATGGAATCTGGGAGAAGGGGATAGAATCTGGGAGAAGGGGATGGAATCTGGGAGGAGGGGATGGAATCTGAGAGAAGGGGATGGAATCCGGGAGAAGGGGGTGGAATCTGGAAGAAGGGGATGGAATCTGGGAGAAGGGGATAGAATCTGGGAGAAGGGGATGGAATCTGGGAGAAGGGGATGGAATCTAGGAGAAGGGGATGGAATCTGGGAGAAGGGGATGGAATCTGGGAGAAGGGGATGGTATCAAGGAGAAGGGGATAGAATCCGGGAGAAGGGGATGGAATGAGGGAGAAGGGGATGCAATCTGGGAGAAGGGGATGGAATCTGGGAGAAGGGGATGGAATCTGGGAGAAGGGGATGGAATCTGGGAGAAGGGGATGGAATTTGGGAGAAGGGGATGGAATCAGGGAGAAGGGGGTGGAATCTGGAAGAAGGGGATGTAATCTGGGAGAAGGGGATGGAATCTGGGAGAAGGGGATGGAATCTGGGAGAAGGGGATGGAATCTGCGAGAAGGGGATGGAATATGGGAGAAGGGGATGGGATCCGGGAGAAGGGGATGGAATCTGGGAGAAGGGTATGGAATCTAGGAGAAGGGGATGGAATCTTGGAGAAGGGGATGGAATCTGGGAGAAGGGGATGGAATCTGGGAGAAGGGGATGGAATCAGTGAGAAGGGGGTGGAATCAAGGAGAAGGGGATAGAATCTGGGAGAAGGGGATGGAATCTGGGAGAAGGGGATGCAATCTGGGAGAAGGGGGTGGAATCAGGGAGAAGGGGATGGAATCTGGGAGAAGGGGATGGAATCTGGGAGAAGGGGATGGAATCTGGGAAAAGGGGATGGAATCTAGGAGAAGGGGATGAAATCTGGGAGAAGGGGATGGAATCTGGGAGAAGGGGATGGAATCTGGGAGAAGGGATGGAATCTAGGAGAAGGGTATGGAATCAGGGAGAAGGGGATGGAATCAGGGAGAAGGGGATGGAATCTGCGAGAAGGGGATGGAATATGGGAGAAGGGGATGGGATCCGGGAGAAGAGGATGGAATCATGGAGAAGGGTATGGAATCTGGGAGAAGGGGATGGAATCTGGGAGAAGGGATGGAATCTGGGAGAAGGGGATGGAATCTGGGAGAAGGGGATGGAATCTGGGAGAAGGGGATGGAATATGGGAGAAGGGGATGGAATCTGGGAGAAGGGGATGGAATCTGGGAGAAGGGGATGGAATCTAGGAGAAGGGGATGGGATCTGGGAGAAGGGGATGGAATCTTGGAGAAGGGGATGGAATCTGGGAGAAGGGGATAGAATCTGGGAGAAGGGGATGGAATCTGGGAGAAGGGGATGGAATATGGGAGAAGGGGATGGAATCTGGGAGAACGTGATGGAATTTGGGAGAAGGGGATGGAATCTGGGAGAAGGGCATGGAATCTGGGAGAAGGGGATGGAATCTGGGAGAAGGGGATGGAATCTAGGAGAAGGGGATGGGATCTGGGAGAAGGGGATGGAATGTGGGAGAAGGGGGTGGAATCTGGGAGAAGGGGATGAAATCTGGGAGAAGGGGATGGAATCTAGGAGAAGGGGATGGAATCTGGGAGAAGGGGATGGAATCTGGGAGAAGGGGATGGAATCTGGGAGAAGGGGATAGAATGAGGGAGAAGGGGATGGAATCTGGGACAAGGGGATGGAATCTCGGAGGAGGGGATGGAATCTGGGAGAAGGGGATGGAATCTGGGAGAAGGGGATGGAATCTGGGAGAAGGGGATGGAATCTGGGAGAAGGGGATGGAATCTGGGAGAAGGGGATGAAATCTGGGAGAAGGGGGTGGACTCTGGGAGAAGGGGATGGAATCTAGGAGAAGGGGATAGAATCTGTGAGAAGGGGATGGAATCTGGGAGAAGGGGATGGAATCTGGGAGAAGGGGATGGAATCAGGGAGAAGGGGATGGAATCTGGGAGAAGGGGATGGAATCTGGGAGAAGGGGGTGGAATCTGGGAGAGAGGGATGGAATCGGGGAGAAGGGGATGGAATATGGGAGAAGGGGATGGAATCTGGAAGAAGGGGATGGAATATGGGAGAACGATATGGAATGAGGGAGAAGAGGATGGAATCTGGAAGAAGGGGATGGAATCTGGGAGAAGGGGATGGAATATGGGAGAAGGGGACAGAATCTGGGAGAAGGGGATGGAATGATGGAGAAGGGGATGGAATCTGGGAGAAGGGGATAGAATATGGGAGAAGGGGATGGAATCTGGGAGAAGGATGGAATCTGGGAGAAGGGGATGGAATCTGGGAGAAGGGGATGGAATGAGGGAAAAGGGGATGGAATCAGGGAGAAGGGGATGGAATCTGGGAGAAGGGGATGGAATCTGGGAAAAGGGGATGGAATCTGAGAGAAGGGGATGGAATATGGGAGAAGGGGATGGAATCTGGGAGAAGGGGATGGAATCTGGGAGAAGGGGATGGAATCTGGGAGAAGGGGATGAAATTTGGGAGAAGGGGATGGAATCGGGGAGAAGGGGATGGAATATGGGAGAAGGGGATGGAATCTGGGAGAAGGGGGTGGAATCGAGGAGAAGGGGATTGAATCTGGGAGAAGGGGATGGAATCGGGGAGAAGGGAATGGAACGAGGGAGAAGGGGATGGAATCGAGGAGAAGGGGATGGAATCTGGGAGAAGGGGATGGAATATGGGAGAAGGGGATGGAATCTGGGAGAAGGGGATGGAATTCGGGAGAGGGTATGGAATCTCGGAGAAGGGGATGGAATCTGGGAGAAGGGGATGGAATCTGGGAGAAGGGGATGGAATCTAGGAGAAGGGGATGGGATCTGAGAGAAGGGGATGGAATGTGGGAGAAGGGGGTGGAATCTGGGAGAAGGGGATGAAATCTGGGAGAAGGGGATGGAATCTAGGAGAAGGGATGGAATCTGGGAGAAGGGGATGGAATCTGGGAGAAGGGGATGAAATCTGGGAGAAGGGGGTGGACTCTGGGAGAAGGGGATGGAAGCTAGGAGAAGGGGATAGAATCTGGGAGAAGGGGATGGAATCTGGGAGAAGGGGGTGGAATCTGGGAGAGAGGGATGGAATCTGGGAGAAGGGGATGAAATCTGGGAGAAGGGGATGGAATCAGGGAGAAGGGGATGGAATCTGGGAGAAGGGGATGGAATCTGGGAGAAGGGGGTGGAATCTGGGAGAGAGGGATGGAATCGGGGAGAAGGGGATGGAATATGGGAGAAGGGGGTGGAATCTGGAAGAAGGGGATGGAATATGGGAGAACGATATAGAATGAGGGAGAAGAGGATGGAATCTGGAAGAAGGGGATTAGAATCTGGGAGAAGGGGGTGGAATCTGGGAGAAGGGGATGGAATCTGGGAGAAGGGGACAGAATCTGGGAGAAGGGGATGGAATGATGGAGAAGGGGATGGAATCTGGGAGAAGGGGATAGAATATGGGAGAAGGGGATGGAATCTGGGAGAAGGATGGAATCTGGGAGAAGGGGATGGAATCTGGGAGAAGGGGATGGAATGAGGGAAAAGGGGATGGAATCTGGGAGAAGGGGATGGAATCTGGGAGAAGGGGATCGAATCTGGGAAAAGGGGATGGAATCTGAGAGAAGGGGATGGAATATGGGAGAAGGGGATGGAATCTGGGAGAAGGGGATGGAATCTCGGAGAAGGGGATGGAATTTGGGAGAAGGGGATGGAATCGGGGAGAAGGGGATGGAATATGGGAGAAGGGGATGGAATCTGGGAGAAGGGGGTGGAATCGGGGAGAAGGGGATTGAATCTGGGAGAAGGGGATGGAATCGGGGAGAAGGGGATGGAACGAGGGAGAAGAGGATGGAATCGAGGAGAAGGGGATGGAATCTGGGAGAAGGGGATGGAATATGGGAGAAGGGGATGGAATCTGGGAGAAGGGGATGGAATTTGGGAGAAGGGTATGGAATCTGGGAGAAGGGGATGGAATCTGGGAGAAGGGGATGGAATCTGGGAGAAGGGGATGGAATCTAGGAGAAGGGGATGGGATCTGAGAGAAGGGGATGGAATGTGGGAGAAGGGGGTGGAATCTGGGAGAAGGGGATGAAATCTCGGAGAAGGGGATGGAATCTAGGAGAAGGGGATGGAATCTGGGAGAGGGGGATGGAATCTGGGAGAAAGGGATGGAATCTGGGAGAAGGGATGGAATCTGGGAGAAGGGGATGGAATCAGGGAGAAGGGGATGGAATCTGGGAGAAGGAGATGGAATCTGGGAGAAGGGGATGGAATCTGGGAGAAGGGGATGGAGTATGGGAGAAGGGGATGGAATCTGGGAGAAGGGGATGGAATCTGGGAGAAGGGGATGGAATCTGGGAGAAGGGGATGGAATCTGGGAGAAGGGGATGGAATCTGGGAGAAGGGGATGGAATATGGGAGAAGGGGATGGAATCTGGGAGAAGGGGATGGAATCTGGGAGAAGGGGATGGAATCTAGGAGAAGGGGATGGGATCTGGGAGAAGGGGATGGAATCTTGGAGAAGGGGATGGAATCTGGGAGAAGGGGATAGAATCTGGGAGAAGGGGATGGAATCTGGGAGAAGGGGATGGAATATGGGAGAAGGGGATGGAATCTGGGAGAACGTGATGGAATTTGGGAGAAGGGGATGGAATCTGGGAGAAGGGCATGGAATCTGGGAGAAGGGGATGGAATCTGGGAGAAGGGGATGGAATCTAGGAGAAGGGGATGGGATCTGGGAGAAGGGGATGGAATGTGGGAGAAGGGGGTGGAATCTGGGAGAAGGGGATGAAATCTGGGAGAAGGGGATGGAATCTAGGAGAAGGGGATGGAATCTGGGAGAAGGGGATGGAATCTGGGAGAAGGGGATGGAATCTGGGAGAAGGGGATAGAATGAGGGAGAAGGGGATGGAATCTGGGACAAGGGGATGGAATCTCGGAGGAGGGGATGGAATCTGGGAGAAGGGGATGGAATCTGGGAGAAGGGGATGGAATCTGGGAGAAGGGGATGGAATCTGGGAGAAGGGGATGGAATCTGGGAGAAGGGGATGAAATCTGGGAGAAGGGGGTGGACTCTGGGAGAAGGGGATGGAATCTAGGAGAAGGGGATAGAATCTGTGAGAAGGGGATGGAATCTGGGAGAAGGGGATGGAATCTGGGAGAAGGGGATGGAATCAGGGAGAAGGGGATGGAATCTGGGAGAAGGGGATGGAATCTGGGAGAAGGGGGTGGAATCTGGGAGAGAGGGATGGAATCGGGGAGAAGGGGATGGAATATGGGAGAAGGGGATGGAATCTGGAAGAAGGGGATGGAATATGGGAGAACGATATGGAATGAGGGAGAAGAGGATGGAATCTGGAAGAAGGGGATGGAATCTGGGAGAAGGGGATGGAATATGGGAGAAGGGGACAGAATCTGGGAGAAGGGGATGGAATGATGGAGAAGGGGATGGAATCTGGGAGAAGGGGATAGAATATGGGAGAAGGGGATGGAATCTGGGAGAAGGATGGAATCTGGGAGAAGGGGATGGAATCTGGGAGAAGGGGATGGAATGAGGGAAAAGGGGATGGAATCAGGGAGAAGGGGATGGAATCTGGGAGAAGGGGATGGAATCTGGGAAAAGGGGATGGAATCTGAGAGAAGGGGATGGAATATGGGAGAAGGGGATGGAATCTGGGAGAAGGGGATGGAATCTGGGAGAAGGGGATGGAATCTGGGAGAAGGGGATGAAATTTGGGAGAAGGGGATGGAATCGGGGAGAAGGGGATGGAATATGGGAGAAGGGGATGGAATCTGGGAGAAGGGGGTGGAATCGAGGAGAAGGGGATTGAATCTGGGAGAAGGGGATGGAATCGGGGAGAAGGGAATGGAACGAGGGAGAAGGGGATGGAATCGAGGAGAAGGGGATGGAATCTGGGAGAAGGGGATGGAATATGGGAGAAGGGGATGGAATCTGGGAGAAGGGGATGGAATTCGGGAGAGGGTATGGAATCTCGGAGAAGGGGATGGAATCTGGGAGAAGGGGATGGAATCTGGGAGAAGGGGATGGAATCTAGGAGAAGGGGATGGGATCTGAGAGAAGGGGATGGAATGTGGGAGAAGGGGGTGGAATCTGGGAGAAGGGGATGAAATCTGGGAGAAGGGGATGGAATCTAGGAGAAGGGATGGAATCTGGGAGAAGGGGATGGAATCTGGGAGAAGGGGATGAAATCTGGGAGAAGGGGGTGGACTCTGGGAGAAGGGGATGGAAGCTAGGAGAAGGGGATAGAATCTGGGAGAAGGGGATGGAATCTGGGAGAAGGGGGTGGAATCTGGGAGAGAGGGATGGAATCTGGGAGAAGGGGATGAAATCTGGGAGAAGGGGATGGAATCAGGGAGAAGGGGATGGAATCTGGGAGAAGGGGATGGAATCTGGGAGAAGGGGGTGGAATCTGGGAGAGAGGGATGGAATCGGGGAGAAGGGGATGGAATATGGGAGAAGGGGGTGGAATCTGGAAGAAGGGGATGGAATATGGGAGAACGATATAGAATGAGGGAGAAGAGGATGGAATCTGGAAGAAGGGGATTAGAATCTGGGAGAAGGGGGTGGAATCTGGGAGAAGGGGATGGAATCTGGGAGAAGGGGACAGAATCTGGGAGAAGGGGATGGAATGATGGAGAAGGGGATGGAATCTGGGAGAAGGGGATAGAATATGGGAGAACGGGATGGAATCTGGGAGAAGGATGGAATCTGGGAGAAGGGGATGGAATCTGGGAGAAGGGGATGGAATGAGGGAAAAGGGGATGGAATCTGGGAGAAGGGGATGGAATCTGGGAGAAGGGGATCGAATCTGGGAAAAGGGGATGGAATCTGAGAGAAGGGGATGGAATATGGGAGAAGGGGATGGAATCTGGGAGAAGGGGATGGAATCTCGGAGAAGGGGATGGAATTTGGGAGAAGGGGATGGAATCGGGGAGAAGGGGATGGAATATGGGAGAAGGGGATGGAATCTGGGAGAAGGGGGTGGAATCGGGGAGAAGGGGATTGAATCTGGGAGAAGGGGATGGAATCGGGGAGAAGGGGATGGAACGAGGGAGAAGAGGATGGAATCGAGGAGAAGGGGATGGAATCTGGGAGAAGGGGATGGAATATGGGAGAAGGGGATGGAATCTGGGAGAAGGGGATGGAATTTGGGAGAAGGGTATGGAATCTGGGAGAAGGGGATGGAATCTGGGAGAAGGGGATGGAATCTGGGAGAAGGGGATGGAATCTAGGAGAAGGGGATGGGATCTGAGAGAAGGGGATGGAATGTGGGAGAAGGGGGTGGAATCTGGGAGAAGGGGATGAAATCTCGGAGAAGGGGATGGAATCTAGGAGAAGGGGATGGAATCTGGGAGAGGGGGATGGAATCTGGGAGAAGGGGATGGAATCTGGGAGAAGGGATGGAATCTGGGAGAAGGGGATGGAATCAGGGAGAAGGGGATGGAATCTGGGAGAAGGAGATGGAATCTGGGAGAAGGGGATGGAATCTGGGAGAAGGGGATGGAGTATGGGAGAAGGGGATGGAATCTGGGAGAAGGGGATGGAATCTGGGAGAAGGGGATAGAATGAGGGAGAAGGGGATGGAATCTGGGAGAAGGGGATGGAATCTGGGAGGAGGGGATGGAATCTGCGAGAAGGGGATGGAATCTGGGAGAAGGGGATGGAATCTGGGAGAAGGGGAGAGAATCTGGGAGAAGGGGATGGAATCTGGCAGAAGGGGATGGAATATGGGAGAAGGGGATGGAATATGGGAGAAGGGGATGGAATCTGGGAGAAGGGGATGGAATGTGGGAGAAGGGGATGGAATATGGGAGAAGGGGGTGGAATCTGGGAGAAGGGGATGAAATCTGGGAGAAGGGGGTGGACTCTGGGAGAAGGGGATGGAATCTGGGAGAAGGGGATAGAATCTGGGAGAAGGGGATGGAATCTGGGAGAAGGGGATGGAATCTGGGAGAAGGGGATGTTATCAGGGAGAAGGGGATGGAATCTGGGAGAAGGGGATGGAAAATGGGAGAAGGGGGTGGAATCTGGGAGAGAGGGATGGAATCTGGGAGAAGGGGGTGGAATCTGGGAGAAGGAGATGGAATCTGGGAGAAGGGGATGGAATCTGGGAGAAGGGGATGGAATCTGGGAGAAGGGGATGGAATATGGGAGAAGGGGATGGAATCTGGGAGAAGGGGATGGAATCTGGGAGAAGGGGATGGAATCTGCGAGAAGGGGATGGAATATGGGAGAAGGGGATGGGATCCGGGAGAAGAGGATGGAATCAGGGAGAAGGGTATGGAATCTGGGAGAAGGGGATGGAATATGGGAGAAGGGGATGGAATCTGGGAGAAGGGGATGGAATCTGGGAGAAGGGGATGGAATCTGGGAGAAGGGGATGGAATATGGGAGAAGGGGATGGAATCTGGGAGAAGGGGATGGAATCTGGGAGAAGGGGATGGAATCTGGGAGAAGGGGATGGGATCTGGGAGAAGGGGATGGAATCTGGGAGAAGGGGATGGAATCTGGGAGAAGGGGATGGAATCTCGGAGAAGGGGATGGAATCTGGGAGAAGGGGATGGAATCTGGGAGAAGGGGATGGGATCAGGGAGAAGGGGATGGAATCTGGGAGAAGGGGATGGAATCTAGGAGAAGGGGATAGAATTTGGGAGAAGGGGATGGAATCTGGGAGAAGGGGATGGAATATGGGAGAAGGGGATGGAATCTGGGAGAACGGGATGGAATTTGGGAGAAGGGGATGGAATCTGGGAGAAGGGGATGGAATCTGGGAGAAGGGGATGGAATCTGGGAGAAGGGGATAGAATCTAGGAGAAGGGGATGGGATCTGGGAGAAGGGGATGGAATGTGGGAGAAGGGGGTTGAATCTGGGAGAAGGGGATGGAATCTAGGAGAAGGGGATAGAATCTGGGAGAAGGGGATGGAATCTGGGAGAAGGGGATGGAATCTCGGAGAAGGGGATGGAATCAGGGAGAAGGGGATGGAATCTGGGAGAAGGGGATGGAATCTGGGAGAAGGGGAGAGAATCTGAGAGAAGGGGATGGAATCTGGCAGAAGGGGATGGAATATGGGAGAAGGGGATGGAATATGGGAGAAGGGGATGGAATCTGGGAGAAGGGGATGGAATGTGGGAGAAGGGGATGGAATATGGGAGAAGGGGGTGGAATCTGGGAGAAGGGGATGAAATCTGGGAGAAGGGGGTGGACTCTGGGAGAAGGGGATGGAATCTGGGAGAAGGGGATAGAATCTGGGAGAAGGGGATGGAATCTGGGAGAAGGGGATGGAATCTGGGAGAAGGGGATGGAATCAGGGAGAAGGGGATGGAATCTGGGAGAAGGGGATGGAAAATGGGAGAAGGGGGTGGAATCTGGGAGAGAGGGATGGAATCTGGGAGAAGGGGGTGGAATCTGGGAGAAGGAGATGGAATCTGGGAGAAGGGGATGGAATCTGGGAGAAGGGGATGGAATCTGGGAGAAGGGGATGGAATATGGGAGAAGGGGATGGAATCTGGGAGAAGGGGATGGAATCTCGGAGAAGGGGATAGAATGTGGGAGAAGGGGATAGAATCTGGGAGAAGAAAGATGGAACCTGGGAGAAGGGGATGGAATCTGGGAGAAGGGGATGGAATCTGGGAGAAGGGGATGGAATCTGGGAGAAGGGGATGGAATCTGGGAGAAGGGATGGAATCTGGGAGAAGGGTATGGAATCAGGGAGAAGGGGATGGAATCTGGGAGAAGGGGATGGAATCTGCGAGAAGGGGATGGAATATGGGAGAAGGGGATGGGATCCGGGAGAAGAGGATGGAATCAGGGAGAAGGGTATGGAATCTGGGAGAAGGGGATGGAATATGGGAGAAGGGGATGGAATTCCATCCCCTTCTCCCAGATTCCATCCCCTTTTCCCTCATTCCATCCCCTTCTCCTAGATTCCATCCCCTTCTCCCATATTCCATCCCCTTCTCCCAGATTCCATCCCCTTCTCACAGATTCCATCCCCTTCTCCCAGATTCCATCCCCTTCTCCCAGCTTCCATCCCCTCCTCCCTAATTCCATCCCCTTCTCCCCGATTCCATCCCCTTCTCCTAGATTCCATCCCCTTCTCCCAGATTCAACCCCCTTCTCCCACATTCCATCCCCTTCTCCCAGATCCCATCCCCTTCTCCTAGATTCCATCCCCTTCTCCCTGATTCCATCCCCTTCTGCCAGATTCTATCCCCTTCTCCCAGATTCCATCCCCTTCTCCCTGATTCCATCCCCTTCTCCCACATTCCATCCCCTTCTCCCTGATTCCATCCCCTTCTCCCCGATTCCATCCCCTTCTCCCATATTCCATCCCCTTCTCCCTGATTCCATCCCCTTCTCCCAGATTCCATCCCCTTCTCCCAGATTCCATCCCCTTCTCCCAGATTCCATCCCCTTCTCCCAGATTCCATCCCCGTCTCCTAGATTCCATCCCCTTCTCCCAGATTCCAGCCCCTTCTCCCAGATTCCATCCCCTTCTCCCAGATTCCATCCCCTTCTCCCAGATTCCATCCCCTTCTCCCAGATTCCATCCCCTTCTCCCAGCTTCCATCCCCTCCTCCCTAATTCCATCCCCTTCTCCCCGATTCCATCCCCTTCTCCCGGATTCCATCCCCTTCTCCCAGATTCCATCCCCTTTTCCCTCATTCCATCCCCTTCTCCTAGATTCCATCCCCTTCTCCCATATTCCATCCCCTTCTCCCAGATTCCATCCCCTTCTCACAGATTCCATCCCCTTCTCCCAGATTCCATGCCCTTCTCCCAGATTCCATCCCCTTCTCCCAGATTCCATCCCCTTCTCCCTGATTCCATCCCCTTCTCCCAGATTCCATCCCCTTCTCCCAAATTCCATCCCCTTCTCCCAGACTCCATCCCCATCTCCCAGATTCCATCCCCTTCTCCCAGATTCCATCCCCTTCTCCCAGATTCCATCCCCTTCTCCCAGATTCCATCCCCTTCTCCCTGACTCCATCCCCTTCTCCCCGATTCCATCCCCTTCTCCCTCATTCCATCCCCTTCTCCCAGATTCCACCCCCTTCTTCCAGATTCCATCCCCTTCTCCCAGATTCCATCCCCTTCTCCCAAATTCCATCCCCTTCTTCCAGATTCCATCCCCTTCTCCCAGATTCCATCCCCTTCTCCCAGATTCCATCCCCTTCTCCCAGATTCCATCCCCTTCTCCCAGATTACATCCCCTTCTCCCTGATTCTATCCCCTTTTCCCAGATTCCATCCCCTTCTCCCAGATTCCATCCCCTTCTCCCATATTCCATCCCCTTCTCCCAGATTCCATCCCCTTCTCCCAGATTCCATCCCCTTCTCCCTGATTCCATCCCCTTCTCCCACATTCCATCCCCTTCTCCCAGATTCCATCCCCTTCTCCCAGATTACATCCCCTTCTCCCATATTCCATCCCCTTCTCCTAGATTCCATCCCTTTCTCCCAGATTCCATCCCCTTCTCCTTGATTCCATCCCCTTTTTCCAGATTCCATCCCCTTCTACGAGATTCCATCCCTTACTCCCAGATTCCATCCCCTTCTCCCAGATTCCATCCCCTTCTCCCAGATTCCATCCCCTTCTCCCAGATTCCATCCTGCCCTCCCAGACTCCATCCCCTTCTCCTAGATTCCATTCCCTTCTCCCAGATTCTATCTCCTTCTCCCAGATTCCACCACCTTCTTCCAAATTCCATCCCCTTCTCCCCGATTCCATCCCCTTCACCCAGATTCCATCCCCTTCTTCCAGATTCCATCCCCTTCTCCTAGATTCCATCCCCTTCTCCCAAATTCCATCCCCTTCTTTCAGATTCCATCCCCTTCTGCCAGATTCCATCCCCTTCTCCCAGATTCCATCCCCTCCTCCCAGATTCCAACCCCTTCTCCCTCATTCCATCCCCTTCTCCCAGATTCTATCCCCTTCTCCCAGGTTCCATCCCGCCCTCCCAGACTCCATCCCCTTCTCCCAGATTCCATCCCCTTCTCCCAGATTCTATCCCCTTGTCCCAGATTCCATCCCTTTCTCCCTCATTCCATCTCCTTCTCCCAGACGCCACCCCCTTCTCCCAGATTCCAGCCCCTTCTCCCAGATTCCATCCCCTTCTCCCAGATTCCATCCCCTTCTCCCAGATTCCATCCCCTTCTCCCAGATTCCATCCCCTTCTCCCAGCTTCCATCCCCTCCTCCCTAATTCCATCCCCTTCTCCCCGATTCCATCCCCTTCTCCCGGATTCCATCCCCTTCTCCCAGATTCCATTCCCTTCTCCCAGATTCCATCCCCTTCTCCTAGATTCCATCCCCTTCTCCCATATTCCATCCCCTTCTCCCAGATTCCATCCCCTTCTCACAGATTCCATCCCCTTCTCCCAGATTCCATGCCCTTCTCCCAGATTCCATCCCCTTCTCCCAGATTCCATCCCCTTCTCCCTGATTCCATCCCCTTCTCCCAGATTCCATCCCCTTCTCCCAAATTCCATCCCCTTCTCCCAGACTCCATCCCCATCTCCCAGATTCCATCCCCTTCTCCCAGATTCCATCCCCTTCTCCCAGATTCCATCCCCTTCTCCCAGATTCCATCCCCTTCTCCCTGACTCCATCCCCTTCTCCCCGATTCCATCCCCTTCTCCCTCATTCCATCCCCTTCTCCCAGATTCCACCCCCTTCTTCCAGATTCCATCCCCTTCTCCCAGATTCCATCCCCTTCTCCCAAATTCCATCCCCTTCTTCCAGATTCCATCCCCTTCTCCCAGATTCCATCCCCTTCTCCCAGATTCCATCCCCTTCTCCCAGATTCCATCCCCTTCTCCCAGATTACATCCCCTTCTCCCTGATTCTATCCCCTTTTCCCAGATTCCATCCCCTTCTCCCAGATTCCATCCCCTTCTCCCATATTCCATCCCCTTCTCCCAGATTCCATCCCCTTCTCCCAGATTCCATCCCCTTCTCCCTGATTCCATCCCCTTCTCCCACATTCCATCCCCTTCTCCCAGATTCCATCCCCTTCTCCCAGATTACATCCCCTTCTCCCATATTCCATCCCCTTCTCCTAGATTCCATCCCTTTCTCCCAGATTCCATCCCCTTCTCCCTGATTCCATCCCCTTTTTCCAGATTCCATCCCCTTCTACGAGATTCCATCCCTTACTCCCAGATTCCATCCCCTTCTCCCAGATTCCATCCCCTTCTCCCAGATTCCATCCCCTTCTCCCAGATTCCATCCTGCCCTCCCAGACTCCATCCCCTTCTCCTAGATTCCATTCCCTTCTCCCAGATTCTATCTCCTTCTCCCAGATTCCACCACCTTCTTCCAAATTCCATCCCCTTCTCCCCGATTCCATCCCCTTCACCCAGATTCCATCCCCTTCTTTCAGATTCCATCCCCTTCTCCTAGATTCCATCCCCTTCTCCCAAATTCCATCCCCTTCTTCCAGATTCCATCCCCTTCTGCCAGATTCCATCCCCTTCTCCCAGATTCCATCCCCTCCTCCCAGATTCCAACCCCTTCTCCCTCATTCCATCCCCTTCTCCCAGATTCTATCCCCTTCTCCCAGGTTCCATCCCGCCCTCCCAGACTCCATCCCCTTCTCCCAGATTCCATCCCCTTCTCCCAGATTCTATCCCCTTGTCCCAGATTCCATCCCTTTCTCCCTCATTCCATCTCCTTCTCCCAGACGCCACCCCCTTCTTCCAGATTCCATCCCCTTCTCCCAGATTCCATCCCCTTCTCCCAGATTCCATCCCCTTCTCCCAGATTCCATCCCCTTCTCCCAGATTCTATCCCCTTCTCCCATATTCCATCCCCTTCTCCCAGATTCTATCCCCTTCTCCCTCATTCCATCCACTTCTCTCGGATTCCATCCCTTTTTCATAGATTCCATCCCCTTCTCCCAGATTCCATCCCCTTCTCCCAGATTCCATCCCCTTCTCCCCGATTCCATCCCCTTCTCCCCGATTCCATCCCCTTCTCCCAGATTCCATCCCCTTCTTCCAAATTCCATCCCCTTCTCCTAGATTCCATCCCCTTCTCCCAAATTCCATCCCCTTCTTCCAGATTCCATCCCCTTCTCCCAGATTCCATCCCCTTCTCCCAGATTCCATCCCCTCCTCCCAGATTCCAACCCCTCCTCCCTCATTCCATCCCCTTCTCCCAGATTCTATCCCCTTCTCCCAGGTTCCATCCCGCCCTCCCAGACTCCATCCCCTTCTCCCAGATTCTATCCCCTTGTCCCAGATACCATCCCTTTCTCCCTCATTCCATCTCCTTCTCCCAGACGCCACCCCCTTCTTCCAGATTCCATCCCCTTCTCTCAGATTCCATCCCCTTCTCCCAAATTCCATCCCCTTCTCCCAAACTCCATCCCCTTCTCCCAGATTCCATCCCCTTCTCCCAGATTCCATCCCCTTCTCCCAGATTCCATCCCCTTCTCCCAGATTCCATCCCCTTCTCCCTGATTCCATCCCCTTCTCCCCGATTCCATCCCCTTCTCCCTCATTCCATCCCCTTCTCCCAGATTCCACCCCCTTCTTCCAGATTCCATCCCCTTCTCCCAGATTCCATCCCCTTCTCCCAAATTCCATCCCCTTCTTCCAGATTCCATCCCCTTCTCCCAGATTCCATCCCCTTCTCCCAGATTCCATCCCCTTCTCCCAGTTTCCATCCCCTTCTCCCAGATTACATCCCCTTCTCCCAGATTCTATCCCCTTCTCCCAGATTCCATCCCCTTCTCCCAGATTCCATCCCCTTCTCCCATATTCCATCCCCTTCTCCCAGATTCCATCCCCTTCTCCCAGATTCCATCCCCTTCTCCCTGATTCCATCCCCTTCTCCCAGATTCCATCCCCTTCTCCCATATTCCATCCCCTTCTCCTAGATTCAATCCCTTTCTCCCAGATTCCATCCCCTTCTCCCAGATTCCATCCCCTTCTCCCAGATTCCATCCCCTTCTCCCAGTTTCCATCCCCTTCTCCCAGATTACATCCCCTTCTCCCAGATTCTATCCCCTTCTCCCAGATTCCATCCCCTTCTCCCAGATTCCATCCCCTTCTCCCAGATTCCATCCCCTTCTGCCAGATTCCATCCCCTTCTCCCTCATTCTATCCCCTTCTCCCAGATTCCATCCCGCCCTCCCAGACTCCATCCCCTTCTCCCAGATTCCATCCCTTCTCCCAGATTCCATCCCCTTCTCCCAGATTCCATCCCCTTCTCCCTCATTCCATCTCCTTCTCCCAGATTCCACCCCCTTCTTCGAGATTCCATCCCCTTCTCCCAAATTCCATCCCCTTCTGACAAATTCCATCCCCTTCTCCCATATTCCATCCCCTTCTCCCAGATTCCATCCCCTTCTCCCAGATTCCATCCCCTTCTCCCTGATTCGATCCCCTTCTCCCAGATTCCATCCCCTTCTCCCAATTCCATCCCCTTCCCCCATATTCCATCCCCTTCTCCCAGATTCCATCCCCTTCTTCCAGATTCCATCCCCTTCTCCCAGATTCCATCCCCTTCTCCCAAATTCCATCCCCTTCTCCCAGATTCCATCCCCTTCTCCCAGATTCCATCCCCTTCTCCCAGATTCCATCCCCTTCTCCCAGATTCCATCCCCTTCTCCCTGATTCCATCCCCTTCTCTCTGATTCGATCCCCTTCTCCCAGATTCCATCCCCTTCTCCCAGATTCCATCCCCTTCTCCCAGATTCCATCCCCTTGTCCAAGATTCCATCCCCTTCTCCCTCATTCCATCTCCTTCTCCCAGGTTCCATCCCCTTCTCCCAGATTCCATCCCCTTCTCCCATATTCCATCCCCTTCTCTCCGATTCCATCCCCTTCTCCCAGATTCCATCCCCTTCTCCCATTTTCCATCCCCTTCTCCCTGATTCCATCCCCTTCTCCCAGATTCCATCCCCTTCTCCCAGATTCCATCCCCTTCTCCCAGATTCCATCCCCTTCTCCCAGATTCCATCCCCTTCTCCCCGATTCCATCCCCTTCTCCCAGATTCCAGCCCCTTCTCCCAGATTCCATCCCCTTCTCCCAGATTCCATCCCCTTCTCCCAGATTCCATCCCCTTCTCCCAGATTCCATCCCCTTCTCCCAGCTTCCATCCCCTTCTCCCTAATTCCATCCCCTTCTCCCAGATTCCATCCCCTTCTCCCAGATTCCATCCCCTTCTCCCATATTCCATTCCCTTCTCCCAGATTCCATCCCCTTCTTCCAGATTCCATCCCCTTCTCCCAGATTCCATCCTCTTCTCCCTCATTCCATCTCCTTCTCCCTGATTCTATCCCCTTCTCCCAGATTCCATCCCCTTCTCCCATATTCCATCCCCTTCTCCCTGATTCCATCCCCTTCTCCCCGATTCCATCCCCTTCTCCCAGATTCCATCCTCTTCTCCCTAATTGCATCTCCTTCTCCCAGATTCCATCCCCTTCTCCCAGATTCCATCCCCTTCTCCTATATTCCATCCCCTTCTCTCCGATTCCATCCCCTTCTCCCAGATTCCATCCCCTTCTCCCATATTCCATCCCCTTCTCCCTGATTCCATCCCCTTCTCCCAGATTCCATCCCCTTCTCCCAGATTCCATCCCCTTCTCCCAGATTCCATCCCCTTCTCCCAGATTCCATCCCCTTCTCCCAGATTCCATCCCCTTCTCCCAGATTCCAGCCCCTTCTCCCAGATTCCATCCCCTTCTCCCAGATTCCATCCCCTTCTCCCAGATTCCATCCTCTTCTCCCAGATTCCATCCCCTTCTCCCAGCTTCCATCCCCTTCTCCCTAATTCCATCCCCTTCTCCCAGATTCCATCCCCTTCTCCCAGATTCCATCCCCTTCTCCCAGATTCCATTCCCTTCTCCCAGATTCGATCCCCTTCTCCTAGTTTCCATCCCCTTCTCCCTTATTCCATCCCCTTCTCCCAGATTCCATCCCCTTCTCCCAGATTCCATTCCCTTCTCCCAGATTCCATCCCCTTCTCTTAGATTCCATCCCCTTCTCCCAGATTCCATCCCCTTCTCCCAGATTCCATCCCCTTCTCCCAGATTCCATCCCCTTCTCCCTCATTCCATCCCCTTCTCTTAGATTCTATCCCCTTCTCCCAGATTCCATCCTTCTCCCAGATTCCATCCCCTTTTCCCAGATTCCATCCCCTTCTTCCAGATTCCATCCCCTTCTCCCTCATTCCATCCCCTTCTCCCAGATTCTGTCCCCTTCTCCCAGATTCCATCCCCTTCTCCCATATTCCATCCCCTTCTCCCAGATTCCATCCTCTTCTCCCTCATTCCATCTCCTTCTCCCAGATTCCATCCCCTTCTCCCAGATTCCATCCCCTTCTCCCACATTCCATCGCCTTCTCCCTGATTCCATCCCCTTCTCCCCGATTCCATCCCCTTCTCCCACATTCCATCCCCTTCTCCCACATTCCATCGCCTTCTCCCTGATTCCATCCCCTTCTCCCCGATTCCATCCCCTTCTCCTAGATTCCATCGCGCCCTCTCAGATTCAATCCCCTTCTCCCAGATTCCATCCCCTCCTCCCAGATTCCATCCCCTTCTCCCAGATTCCATCCCCTTTCTCACAGATTCCATCCCCTTCTCCTAGATTCCATCCCCTTCTCCCAGATTCCATCCCCTTCTCCCAGATTCCATCCCCTTCTCCCAGATTCCATCCCCTTCTCCCATATTCCATCCCCTTCTCTCCGATTCCATCCCCTTCTCCCAGATTCCATCCCCTTCTCCCATATTCCATCCCCTTCTCCCAGATTCCATCCCCTTCTCCCAGATTCCATCCCCTTCTCCCTCATTCCATCTCCTTCTCCCAGATTCCACCCCCTTCTTCCAGATTCCCTCCCCTTCTCCCAAATTCCATCCCCTTCTGACAAATTTCATCCCCTTCTCCCATATTCCATCCCCTTCTCGCAGATTCCATCCCCTTCTCCCAGATTCCATCCCCTTCTCCCTGATTCGATCCCCTTCTCCCAGATTCCATCCCCTTCTCCCAGATTCCATCCCCTTCTCCCATATTCCATCCCCTTCTCCCAGATTCCATCCCCTTTTCTCAGATTCCATCCCCTTCTTCCAGATTCCATCCCCTTCTCCCAGATTCCATCCCCTTCTCCCAAATTCCATCCCCTTCTCCCAGATTCCATCCCCTTCTCCTAGATTCCATCCCCTTCTCCCAGATTCCATCCCCTTCTCCCAGATTCCATCCCCTTCTCCCTGATTCCATCCCCTTCTCTCTGATTCGATCCCCTTCTCCCAGATTCCATCCCCTTCTCCCAGATTCCATCCCCTTCTCCCAGATTCCATCCCCTTGTCCAAGATTACATCCCCTTCTCCCTCATTCCATCTCCTTCTCCCAGGTTCCATCCCCTTCTCCCAGATTCCATCCCCTTCTCCCATATTCCATCCCCTTCTCTCCGATTCCATCCCCTTCTCCCAGATTCCATCCCCTTCTCCCATATTCCATCCCCTTCTCCCTGATTCCATCCCCTTCTCCCAGATTCCATCCCCTTCTCCCAGATTCCATCCCCTTCTCCCAGATTCCATCCCCTTCTCCCCGATTCCATCCCCTTCTCCCAGATTCCAGCCCCTTCTCCCAGATTCCATCCCCTTCTCCCAGATTCCATCCCCTTCTCCCAGATTCCATCCCCTTCTCCCAGATTCCATCCCCTTCTCCCAGCTTCCATCCCCTTCTCCCTAATTCCATCCCCTTCTCCGAGATTCCATCCCCTTCTCCCAGATTCCATCCCCTTCTCCCATATTCCATTCCCTTCTCCCAGATTCCATCCCCTTCTTCCAGATTCCATCCCCTTCTCCCCGATTCCATCCCCTTCTCCCACATTCCATCCCCTTCTCCCACATTCCATCGCCTTCTCCATGATTCCATCCCCTTCTCCCCGATTCCATCCCCTTCTCCCAGATTCCATCGCGCCCTCTCAGATTCAATCCCCTTCTCCCAGATTCCATCCCCTCCTCCCAGATTCCATCCCCTTCTCCCAGATTCCATCCCCTTTCTCACAGATTCCATCCCCTTCTCCTAGATTCCATCCCCTTCTCCCAGATTCCATCCCCTTCTCCCAGATTCCATCCCCTTCTCCCAGATTCCATCCCCTTCTCCCATATTCCATCCCCTTCTCTCCGATTCCATCCCCTTCTCCCAGATTCCATCCCCTTCTCCCATATTCCATCCCCTTCTCCCTGATTCCATCCCCTTCTCCTAGATTCCATCCCCTTCTCCTAGATTCCATCCCCTTCTCCCAGATTCCATCCCCTTCTCCCAGCTTCCATCCCCTTCTCCCTAATTCCATCCCCTTCTCCCAGATTCCATCCCCTTCTCCCAGATTCCATCCCCTTCTCCCATATTCCATTCCCTTCTCCCAGATTCCATCCCCTTCTTCCAGATTCCATCCCCTTCTCCCAGATTCCATCCTATTCTCCCTCATTCCATCTCCTTCTCCCTGATTCTATCCCCTTCTCCCAGATTCCATCCCCTTCTCCCATATTCCATCCCCTTCTCCCTGATTCCATCCCCTTCTCCCCGATTCCATCCCCTTCTCCCAGATTCCATCCTCTTCTCCCTAATTGCATCTCCTTCTCCCAGATTCCATCCCCTTCTCCCAGATTCCATCCCCTTCTCCTATATTCCATCCCCTTCTCTCCGATTCCATCCCCTTCTCCCAGATTCCATACCCTTCTCCCATATTCCATCCCCTTCTCCCTGATTCCATCCCCTTCTCCCAGATTCCATCCCCTTCTCCCAGATTCCATCCCCTTCTCCCAGATTCCATCCCCTTCTCCCAGATTCCATCCCCTTCTCCCAGATTCCATCCCCTTCTCCCAGATTCCAGCCCCTTCTCCCAGATTCCATCCCCTTCTCCCAGATTCCATCCCCTTCTCCCAGATTCCATCCTCTTCTCCCAGATTCCATCCCCTTCTCCCAGCTTCCATCCCCTTCTCCCTAATTCCATCCCCTTCTCCCAGATTCCATCCCCTTCTCCCAGATTCCATCCCCTTCTCCCAGATTCCATTCCCTTCTCCCAGATTCGATCCCCTTCTCCTAGTTTCCATCCCCTTCTCCCTTGTTCCATCCCCTTCTCCCAGATTCCATCCCCTTCTCCCAGATTCCATTCCCTTCTCCCAGATTCTATCCCCTTCTCTTAGATTCCATCCCCTTCTCCCAGATTCCATCCCCTTCTCCCAGATTCCATCCCCTTCTCCCAGATTTCATCCCCTTCTCCCTCATTCCATCCCCTTCTCTTAGATTCTATCCCCTTCTCCCAGATTCCATCCTTCTCCCAGATTCCATCCCCTTTTCCCAGATTCCATCCCCTTCTTCCAGATTCCATACCCTTCTCCCTCATTCCATCCCCTTCTCCCAGATTCTGTCCCCTTCTCCCAGATTCCATCCCCTTCTCCCATATTCCATCCCCTTCTCCCAGATTCCATCCTGTTCTCCCTCATTCCATCTCCTTCTCCCAGATTCCATCCCTTTCTCCCAGATTCCATCCCCTTCTCCCACATTCCATCGCCTTCTCCCTGATTCCATCCCCTTCTCCCCGATTCCATCCCCTTCTCCCACATTCCATCCCCTTCTCCCACATTCCATCGCCTTCTCCCTGATTCCATCCCCTTCTCCCCGATTCCATCCCCTTCTCCCAGATTCCATCGCGCCCTCTCAGATTCAATCCCCTTCTCCCAGATTCCATCCCCTCCTCCCAGATTCCATCCCCTTCTCCCAGATTCCATCCCCTTTCTCACAGATTCCATCCCCTTCTCCTAGATTCCATCCCCTTCTCCCAGATTCCATCCCCTTCTCCCAGATTCCATCCCCTTCTCCCAGATTCCATCCCCTTCTCCCATATTCCATCCCCTTCTCTCCGATTCCATCCCCTTCTCCCAGATTCCATCCCCTTCTCCCATATTCCATCCCCTTCTCCCTGATTCCATCCCCTTCTCCTAGATTCCATCCCCTTCTCCCAGATTCCATCCCCTTCTCCAAGATTCCATCTCCTTCTCCCAGATTCCATCCCCTTCTCCTAGATTCCATCCCATTCTCCCAGATTCCTGCCCCTCGGCGGGCGTGGTGGGAAGCTGAAGCCGAAGGCCCGGTGGGGCCTTCACCTTGGTGTGTCGGCGGCGAGCAAGGGCTGGGAGCTCCTCGACGTCGACGCCAACCGGGTGGTTACCACGTCGGACGTGGTGTTCTACGAGGAGATGTCACTGGCCGAGTGGAAGTTGGAGCATGGGCCGGTGTCCGGCTACTCGTCCACTCCGCCCTCCGACACCTCGTCGGCGACGCTGCCGCTGCTTGCCGAGGTCGGCGAGCTTGCTGATGAGGACGTCGAGGACGTCCACTCCCCTACCCCTCCGACCCCTGCCCCTCCCCTCGTGGCCGATCTGCGTGGGCTGACCTCGGTGTCGGCCTCCGGCGATGAGGGGAGTTGTGGGACGTCGCTATCGGCACCGGCCAGGTGCATCGCCGGTGGCCGACGTGACGAGAGGCTGGTCGACATGGGCTTGACGCCGACGTCGACAGGGGAGGAACAGGTCGAGGTGCAGCAGCCGACAGGGGAGCAGGCAGCCGTGAAGCCGACTATGGGGCAGTCGACGACCGGGCAGTCGGCAGGGGAGCCGACCACAGGGGAGAGGTCGACCTGGAAGTCGACCGAGGTGCAGCAGGACGACGTGTGCAGCGAAGACGGTGACGCCGGAGAGTCCACCGAGAGCGATGTGGTGGAGGTCCGTCCGGCAACCTGGAAGTCGGACAGAGTCCGGAGGCCGCCAGACCGATTTGTTCCCGCTGCCTTCACCACGGTCTACGACGTCGACGACGACGACGACCTGCTGTATGACGACGCCGAAGAAGATGAGGAGTTTCCGCAGCTCGACCCCGACATGCATGCTGACCCCGAGCACCATTGGGATACCTCGACGATGACGGTGAAGGAGGCGTTGGCGAGCTGGAAGGGCCCGGCGGTGAAGGCCGCCATGGAGGAGGAGATCCGAAGCCTAATCAACATGGGGACTTGGGAGCTGGTCAACATCATGCCCGCCGGGAGTCAACATCATGAAGAACCGGTGGGTGTTGACGATGAAGTACCACGTCGACGACACCGTCGAGCGCGAGAAGGCAAGGCTGGTCGTGAAGGGCTTCACTCAGGTGTATGGCGCCGACTACGACGAGACGTTCGCGCCGGTGGGCAGCTACGTCACGCTGAGGATCTTCCTCAGCATCGTCGCCATCCTCAACCTCAACCTGATGCAGCTCGACATGAAGAACGCCTTCCTGCAGAGCAAGCTCGACCGGGTGCTCTACATGGCCCAGCCGGACTACTTCAACGACGGAACCGGCCGGGTCTGCAAGATGCTGAAGAGCCTGTACGGGCTGAAGCAGTCGCCGCTGTTGTGGTACTTGGCGCTCAACGACGTGCTGGTCGGGGCCAGGTGGAAGAAGAGCCAGGTCGACGAGGCTCTTTACTTCAAGGTCGGAGAGGACGGAGTGGCCTGCTGGGTGCTGGTCTACATCGACGACCTGCTCGCCGCCAGCCGCAGCACCGAGATGCTGAAGGAGTTGAAGGCGCTGCTGGAGTCCGCCTTCGAGCTGCGTGAGATCTCGCCGGTGCAGAAGTACCTAGGGCTGGAGATCGTCCGCGACAGGTCGGCGGGGAAGCTGTGGCTGCACCAGCAGGGCTATGCCGACAAGCTGCGTAGGCGCTTCATAGACGAAGAGCAGACCGGGCGGACGCAGTACATCCCGACCGCTGAGCAGCCGGGAAGTGCGGGAAGCGCGGGAAGTTCTCGCTGCAGTACATGGTGAAGCGCGGGAAGTTCTCGCTGCAGTACATCCCGACCGCTGAGCAGCCGGCCGACTTCTTGACGAGGCACTGCACTATCCGGCCTTCAACCGGTGCTCCATCGCCATCGGCCAGGTGCGCTTGGCCGACGTGGGCGACGGCGACGACGACGTGCAGCAGTAGGTGCCATGCCCTCTTGCATGGCTGGTGCGGTGGACGACGTGCTGTGTGTTGGGTGCACGTCGACGAGCGAGTCTCCGAGGTATTCTGTCGTGTAGGCTGGGTGCCCAAGCGTGAACGCGGCAGGGGAGTGTCAACTGGAGTTGGGTGTTGGCCCCGTCCTCGCTTGGGTGGAGCCGACTTCGTAGTCGGGTGCGAGGGGAGCAGCTGACTTGCAGCAGTGGACGAGCTGGTCGAGGAGGAGGTCGACCTGCACGGGGGTCACTGCACGGGCGCCAACTTTGGGATGGCGCCGACTTCAGGGGAGGTCGACTTGGGAGTCGACCTGCAGAAGAGATGGTCGACGAAGGAGGGACCGACGTCGACCTCGACCCAGGACGCCGAGCTGTTGGGCGTCGAAGTGGCGGGGCGTCAACTTCTTGACGCCGACTTCGGGTGGCCGACTTGGGTGGTCGGCCGACAACTGTGCTGGTCGACGAGAAGCAGGTCGGCCAGGAGTGACGTCGACTTGGGGGAAGTCGACAGAGGGTGCCGTCGGCCTGGTGAGGTCGACGTGGAGGTGGTCGTCGACTTGGGAGGTCGACGGGCACGTACGAGAGCGGCTGGTCGACGTGGTAGCCCAATCGACCAGATACCTGGGTGACGAAGTGCTGCGGAGGAGTGCGATGATCGCCCAGGCGGAGTTGGCGAGCCCGACCTCGGTGATGGTATCCCGAGGTCGTCGCTGCGGATCAAAAGCAGTCGTCAGCGGGAAGTTGACGTGGTGTGTGCGCTGTGCAGGTGACGAGGCTCTGCACGCCAATTATCTGCGCGCACCTGCGAAGCGGATGCACTGCTGTTCTGCGTGAGCAGCGCTGGCACGCCGTCAACCTGCGTTGTTGGCACGCCGTCAACCTTGCCTTGCTGGAGCGCGGTCGAAGTAGTCGTGCTGGAACGCGGTCGACCAAGCTGCGCTGGCAGTTGGCCGACTTGGATATTTGCTCTGATGTAGTCTAGCATTGCCAACTTCATTGTACCATTGTTCTGAACTTTCTCTAGTGAAACTCTTGCCAAATTGCCTTGTGACCTAGCAAGCAGTGTGTGCACTAGGAAACGACTCAGGAACAGAGAACGCAGAGATCACACATGCATCCGTGCCTAGCCCGTAGACTAGCTCCCGTTGAAGTAGTTATCTCCGCATCCCCTTCTTTCAGATTCCATCCCCTTCTCCCAGATTCCATCCCCTTCTCCCATATTCCATCCCCTTCTCCCTGATTCCATCCCCTTCTCCCAGATTCCATCCCCTTCTCCCAGATTCCATCCCCTTCTCCCAGATTACATCCCCTTCTCCCAGATTCCATCCCCTTCTCCCAGATTCCATCCCCTTCTCCCTCGTTCCATCCCCTTCTCCCAGATTCCATCCCCTACTCCCAGATTCCATCCCCTTCTCCCAGATTCCATCCCCTTCTCCCCGATTCCAGCCCCTTCTCCCAGATTCCATCCCCTTCTCCCAAATTCCATCCCTTTCTCCCAGATTCCATCCCCTTCTCCTCGATTCCATCCCCTTCTCCCTCGTTCCATCCCCTTCTCCCCGATTCCATCCCCTTCTCCCAGATTCCATCCCCTTCTCCCTGATTCCACCCCCTTCTCCCAGATTCCATCCCCTTCTCCTAGATTCTATCACCTTCTCCCAGATTCCATCCCCTTCTCCCAGATTCCATCCCCTTCTCCCGATTCCATCCCCTTCTCCCAAATTCCATCCCCTTCTCCCAGATTCCATCCCCTTCTCCCAGATTCCATCCCCTTCTCCCAGATTCCATCCCCTTCTCCCATACTCCATCCCCTTCTCTCAGATTCCATCCCCTTCTCCCAGATTCCATCCCCTTCTCCCAAATTCCATCCCCTTCTCCCAGATTCCATCCCCTTCTCCCTCATTCCATCCCGTTCTCCCAGATTCCATCCCCTTCTCCCAGATTCCATCCTTCTCCCAGATTCCATCCCCTTCTGCCATATTCTATCCCCTTCTCCCAGATTCCATCCCCTTCTCCATCATTCCATCCACTTCTCCCAGATTCTGTCCCGTTCTCCCAGATTCCATCCCCTTCTCCCAGACTCCATCCCCTTCTTCCAGATTCCATCCTCTTCTCCCTCATTCCATATCGTTCTCCCATATTCCATCCCCTTCTTCCAGATTCCATCCCCTTCTCCCATATTCCATCCTCTTCTCCCTCATTCCATATCGTTCTCCCAGATTCCATTTCCTTCTCCAAGATTCCATCCCCTTCTCCCAGATTCCATCCCCTTCTCCCATATTCCATCCCCTTCTCCCAGATTCCATTTCCTTCTCCCAGATTCCATCCCCTTCTCCCCGATTCCATCCCCTTCTCCCAAATTCCATCCCCTTCTCCCAGATTCCATCCCCTTCTCCCAGATTCCATCCCCTTCTCCCCGATTCCATCCCCTTCTCCCATATTCCATCCCCTTCTCCCAGATTCCATCCCCTTCTCCCAGATTCCATCCCCTTCTCCCAGATTCCATCCCCTTCTCCCATACTCCATCCCCTTCTCTCAGATTCCATCCCCTTCTCCCAGATTCCATCCCCTTCTCCCAAATTCCATCCCCTTCTCCCAGATTCCATCCCCTTCTCCCTCATTCCATCCCCTTCTCCCAGATTCCATCCCCTTCTCCCAGATTCCATCCTTCTCCCAGATTCCATCCCCTTCTCCCATATTCTATCCCCTTCTCTCAGATTCCATCCCCTTCTCCATCATTCCATCCACTTCTCCTAGATTCTGTCCCGTTCTCCCCGATTCCATCCCCTTCTCCCAGACTCCATCCCCTTCTTCCAGATTCCATCTTCTTCTCCCTCATTCCATATCGTTCTCCCATATTCCATCCCCTTCTTCCAGATTCCATCCCCTTCTCCCATATTCCATCCCCTTCTCCCATATTCAATCCCCTTCTCCCAGATTCCATTTCCTTCTCCCAGATTCCATCCCCTTCTCCCAGATTCCATCCCCTTCTCCCATATTCCATCCCCTTCTCCCAGATTCCATCCCCTTCTCCCAGATTCCATCCCCTTCTCCCAGATTCCATCTCCTTCTCCCAGATTCCACCCCCTTCTCCCAGATTCCATCCCTCTCTCCCAGATTCCACCCTTTTCTCCCAGATTCCATCCCCTTCTCCCAGATTCCATCCCCTTCTCCCTGATTCCATCCCCTTCTCCCAGATTCCATCCCCTTCTCCCAGATTCCATCCCCTTCTCCCAGATTCTATCCCCTTCTCCCAGATTCCATCCCCTTCTCCCAGATTTCATCCCCTTCTCCCAGATTCCACCCCCTTCTCCCATATTCCATCCCCTTCTCCCACATTCCATCCCCTTCTCCCAGATTCCATCCCCTTCTCCCATATTCCATCCCCTTCTCCCAGATTCCATCCCCTTCTGCCAGATTCCATCCCCTTCTCCCAGATTCCATCCCCTTCTCCCAGATTCCATCCCCTTCTCCCAGATTCCATCCCCTTCTCGCAGATTCCATCCCCTCCTCCCAGATTCCATCCCCTTCTCCCAGATTCCATCCCCTTCTCCCTGATTCTATCCCCTTCTCCCAGATTCCATCCCCTTCTCCCAGATTCCATCCCCTTCTCCCTGATTCCATCCCCTTCTCCTAGATTCCATCCCCTTCTCCCAGATTTCATCCCATTCTCCCATATTCCACCCCCTTCTCCCTTGTTCTATCCCCTTCTCTCAGATCCCATCCCCTTCTCCCCGATTCCATCCCCTTCTCCCATATTCCATCCCCTTCTCCCAGATTCCATCCCCTTCTCCCAGATTCCATCCCCTTCTCCCAGATTCCATCCCCTTCTCCCATACTCCATCCCCTTCTCTCAGATTCCATCCCCTTCTCCCAGATTCCATCCCCTTCTCCCAAATTCCATCCCCTTCTCCCAGATTCCATCCCCTTCTCCCTCATTCCATCCCCTTCTCCCAGATTCCATCCCCTTCTCCCAGATTCCATCCTTCTCCCAGATTCCATCCCCTTCTCCCATATTCTATCCCCTTCTCTCAGATTCCATCCCCTTCTCCATCATTCCATCCACTTCTCCTAGATTCTGTCCCGTTCTCCCCGATTCCATCCCCTTCTCCCAGACTCCATCCCCTTCTTCCAGATTCCATCCTCTTCTCCCTCATTCCATATCGTTCTCCCATATTCCATCCCCTTCTTCCAGATTCCATCCCCTTCTCCCATATTCCATCCCCTTCTCCCATATTCCATCCCCTTCTCCCAGATTCCATTTCCTTCTCCCAGATTCCATCCCCTTCTCCCAGATTCCATCCCCTTCTCCCATATTCCATCCCCTTCTCCCAGATTCCATCCCCTTCTCCCAGATTCCATCCCCTTCTCCCAGATTCCATCTCCTTCTCCCAGATTCCACCCCCTTCTCCCAGATTCCATCCCTCTCTCCCAGATTCCACCCCCTTCTCCCAGATTCCATCCCCTTCTCCCAGATTCCATCCCCTTCTCCCTGATTCCATCCCCTTCTCCCAGATTCCATCCCCTTCTCCCAGATTCCATCCCCTTCTCCCAGATTCTATCCCCTTCTCCCAGATTCCATCCCCTTCTCCCAGAGTCCACCCCCTTCTCCCAGATTTCATCCCCTTCTCCCAGATTCCACCCCCTTCTCCCATATTCCATCCCCTTCTCCCACATTCCATCCCCTTCTCCCAGATTCCATCCCCTTCTCCCATATTCCATCCCCTTCTCCCAGATTCCATCCCCTTCTGCCAGATTCCATCCCCTTCTCCCAGATTCCATCCCCTTCTCCCAGATTCCATCCCCTTCTCCCAGATTCCATCCCCTTCTCGCAGATTCCATCCCCTCCTCCCAGATTCCATCCCCTTCTCCCAGATTCCATCCCCTTCTCCCTGATTCTATCCCCTTCTCCCAGATTCCATCCCCTTCTCCCAGATTCCATCCCCTTCTCCCAGATTCCATCCCCTTCTCCTAGATTCCATCCCCTTCTCCCAGATTTAATCCCATTCTCCCATATTCCACCCCCTTCTCCCTTGTTCTATCCCCTTCTCTCAGATCCCATCCCCTTCTCCTAGATTCCATCCCCTTCTCCCAGATTCCATCCCCTTCTCCCAGATTCCATCCCCTTCTCCCAGATTCCATACCCTTCTCCCAAATTCCATCCCCTTCTCCCAGATTCCATCCCCTTCTCCCATATTCCATCCCCTTCTCCCAGATTCCATCCCCTTCTCCTCGATTCCATCCCCTTCTCCCTCGTTCCATCCCCTTCTCCCAGATTCCATCCCCTTCTCCCAGATTCAATCCCCTTCTCCCCGATTCCACCCCCTTCTCCCATATTCCATCCCCTTCTCCCATATTCCATCCCCTTCTCCCCGATTCCATCCCCTTCTCCCAAATTCCATCCCCTTCTCCCAGATTCCATCCCCTTCTCCCAGATTCCATCCCCTTCTCCCAGATTCCATCCCCTTCTCCCATATTCCATCCCCTTCTCTCAGATTCCATCCCCTTTTCCCATATTCCATCCCCTTCTCCCAGATTCCATCCCCTTTTCCCTCATTCCATCCCCTTCTCCCAGATTCCATCCCCTTCTCCCAGATTCCATCCTTCTCCCAGATTCCATCCCCTTCTCCCATATTCTATCCCTTTCTCCCAGATTCCATCCCTTTCTCCATCATTCCATCCCCTTCTCCTAGATTCCATCCCCTTCTCCCAGATTCCATCCCCTTCTTCCTGATTCCATCCTCTTCTCCCTCATTCCATATCGTTCTCCCATATTCCATCCCCTTCTTCCAGATTCCATCCCCTTCTCCCATATTCCATCCCCTTCTCCCCGATTCCATCCCTCTCTCCCAGATTCCACCCCCTTCTCCCAGATTCCATCCCCTTCTCCCAGATTCCATCCCCTTCTCCCTGATTCCATCCCCTTCTCCCAGATTCCATCCCCTTCTCCCAGATTCCATCCCCTTCTCCCAGATTCTATCCCCTTCTCCCAGATTCCATCCCCTTCTCCCAGAGTCCACCCCCTTCTCCCAGATTTCATCCCCTTCTCCCAGATTCCATCCCCTTCTCCCAGATTCCATCCCCTTCTCCCAGATTCCATCCCCTTCTCCCAGATTCCATCCCCTTCTCCCAGATTCCATCCCCTTCTCGCAGATTCCATCCCCTCCTCCCAGATTCCATCCCCTTCTCCCAGATTCCATCCCCTTCTCCCTCATTCTATCCCCTTCTCCCCGATTCCATCCCCTTCTCCCAGATTCCATCCCCTTCTCCCAGATTCCATCCCCTTCTCCAAGATTCCATCCCCTTCTCCCAGATTCCATCCCCTTCTCCCAGATTCCATCCCCTTCTCCCTGATTCCATCCCCTTCTCCCAGATTCCATCCCTTCTCCTAGATTCCATCCCCTTCCCCCAGATTCCATCCCCCTCTCCCAGATTCCATCCCCTTCTCCTAGATTCCATCCCCTTCTCCCAGATTTCATCCCCTTCTCCCAGATTCCACCCCCTTCTCCCACATTCCATCCCCTTCTCTCAGATCCCATCCCCTTCTCCTAGATTCCATCCCCTTCTCCAAGATTCCATCCCCTTCTCCCAGATTCCATCCCCTTCTCCCAGATTCCATACCCTTCTCCAAAATTGCATCCCCTTCTCCCAGATTCCATCCCCTTCTCCCATATTCCATCCCCTTCTCCCAGATTCCATCCCCTTCTCCTCGATCCCATCCCCTTCTCCCATATTCCATCCCCTTCTCGCAGATTCCATCCCCTTCTCCCAGATTCCATCCCCTTCTCCTTGATTCCATACCCTTCTCCCAGATTCCATCCCTTCTCCCAGATTCCATCCCCTTCTCCCAGATTCCATCCCCTTCTCCCAGATTCCATCCCCTTCTCCCAGATTCCATCCCCTTCTCCCAGGTTCCATCTTTCTTCTCCCAGATTCCATCCCCTTCTCCCACATTCTATCCCCTTCTCCGAGATTCTATCCCCTTCTCCCAGATTCCATCCCCTTCTCCCATATTCCATCCCCTTCTCCCAGACTCCATCCCCTTCTCCCAGATTCCATCCCCTTCTCCCAGATTCCATCCCCTTCTCCCAGATCCCATCCCCTTCTCCTAGATTTCTTCCCCTTCTCCCAGATTCCATCCCTTTCTCCCAGATTCCATCCCCTTCTCCCAGATTCCATCCCCTTCTCCCAGATTCCATCCCCTTCTCCCAGATTCCATCCCCTTCTCGCAGATTCCATCCCCTCCTCCCAGATTCCATCCCCTTCTCCCAGATTCCATCCCCTTCTCCCTCATTCTATCCCCTTCTCCCCGATTCCATCCCCTTCTCCCAGATTCCATCCCCTTCTCCCAGATTCCATCCCCTTCTCCCAGATTCCATCCCCTTCTCCCAGATTCCATCCCCTTCTCCCAGATTCCATCCCCTTCTCCCTGATTCCATCCCCTTCTCCCAGATTCCATCCCTTCTCCTAGATTCCATCCCCTTCCCCCAGATTCCATCCCCCTCTCCCAGATTCCATCCCCTTCTCCTAGATTCCATCCCCTTCTCCCAGATTTCATCCCCTTCTCCCAGATTCCACCCCCTTCTCCCACATTCCATCCCCTTCTCTCAGATCCCATCCCCTTCTCCTAGATTCCATCCCCTTCTCCAAGATTCCATCCCCTTCTCCCAGATTCCATCCCCTTCTCCCAGATTCCATACCCTTCTCCAAAATTGCATCCCCTTCTCCCAGATTCCATCCCCTTCTCCCATATTCCATCCCCTTCTCCTCGATTCCATCCCCTTCTCCCTCGTTCCATCCCCTTCTTCCCGATTCCATCCCCTTCTCCCAGATTCAATCCCCTTCTCCCCGATTCCACCCCCTTCTCCCAGATTCCATCCCCTTCTCCCATATTCCATCCCCTTCTCCCCGATTCCATCCCCTTCTCCCAAATTCCATCCCCTTCTCCCAGATTCCATCCCCTTCTCCCAGATTCCATCGCCTTCTCCCAGATTCCATCCCCTTCTCCCATATTCCATCCCCTTCTCTCAGATTCCATCCCCTTTTCCCAGATTCCATCCCCTTCTCCCAGATTCCATCCCCTTCTCCCATATTCCATCCCCTTTTCCCTCATTCCATCCCCTTCTCCCAGATTCCATCCCCTTCTCCCAGATTCCATCCTTCTCCCAGATTCCATCCCCTTCTCCCATATTCTATCCCCTTCTCCCAGATTCCATCCCCTTCTCCATCATTCCATCCCCTTCTCCCAGATTCTGTCCCCTTCTCCCAGATTCCATCCCCTTCTCCCAGATTCCATCCCCTTCTTCCAGATTCCATCCTCTTCTCCCTCATTCTATATCGTTCTCCCATATTCCATCCCCTTCTTCCAGATTCCATCCCCTTCTCCCATATTCCATCCCCTTCTCCCCGATTCCATCCCTCTCTCCCAGATTCCACCCCCTTCTCCCAGATTCCATCCCCTTCTCCCAGATTCCATCCCCTTCTCCCTGATTCCATCCCCTTCTCCGAGATTCCATCCCCTTCTCCCAGATTCCATCCCCTTCTCCCAGATTCTATCCCCTTCTCCTAGATTCCATCCCCTTCTCCCAGATTCAACCCCCTTCTCCCACATTCCATCCCCTTCTCCCAGATCCCATCCCCTTCTCCTAGATTCCATCCCCTTCTCCCAGATTCCATCCCCTTCTCCCAGATTCCATCCCCTTCTCCCAGATTCCATCCCCTTCTCCCAAATTCCATCCCGTTCTCCCAGATTCCATCCCCTTCTCCCAGATTCCATCCCCTTCTCCCCGATTCCATCCCCTTCTCCCAAATTCCATCCCCTTCTCCCAGATTCCATCCCCTTCTCCCAGATTCCATCCCCTTCTCCCAGATTCCATCCCCTTCTCCCATATTCCATCCCCTTCTCTCAGATTCCATCCCCTTTTCCCAGATTCCATCCCCTTCTCCCAGATTCCATCCCCTTCTCCCAGATTCCATCCCCTTTTCCCTCATTCCATCCCCTTCTCCCAGATTCCATCCCCTTCTCCCAGATTCCATCCTTCTCCCAGATTCCATCCCCTTCTCCCATATTCTATCCCCTTCTCCCAGATTCCATCCCCTTCTCCATCATTCCATCCCCTTCTCCCAGATTCTGTCCCCTTCTCCCAGATTCCATCCCCTTCTCCCAGATTCCATCCCCTTCTTCCAGATTCCATCCTCTTCTCCCTCATTCTATATCGTTCTCCCATATTCCATCCCCTTCTTCCAGATTCCATCCCCTTCTCCCATATTCCATCCCCTTCTCCCCGATTCCATCCCTCTCTCCCAGATTCCACCCCCTTCTCCCAGATTCCATCCCCTTCTCCCAGATTCCATCCCCTTCTCCCTGATTCCATCCCCTTCTCCGAGATTCCATCCCCTTCTCCCAGATTCCATCCCCTTCTCCCAGATTCTATCCCCTTCTCCTAGATTCCATCCCCTTCTCCCAGATTCAACCCCCTTCTCCCACATTCCATCCCCTTCTCCCAGATCCCATCCCCTTCTCCTAGATTCCATCCCCTTCTCCCAGATTCCATCCCCTTCTCCCAGATTCCATCCCCTTCTCCCAGATTCCATCCCCTTCTCCCAAATTCCATCCCGTTCTCCCAGATTCCATCCCCTTCTCCCATATTCCATCCCCTTCTCCCAGATTCCATCCCCTTCTCCCAAATTCTATCCCCTTCTCCCAGATTCCATCCCCTTCTCCCAGATTCCATCCCCTTCTCCCTGATCCCATCCCCTTCTCCCAGATTCCATCCCCTTCCCCCAGATTCCATCCCCTTCTCCGAGATTCCATCCCCTTCTCCCAGATTCCATCCCCTTCTCCCAGCTTCCATCCCCTCCTCCCTAATTCCATCCCCTTCTCCCCGATTCCATCCCCTTCTCCCGGATTCCATCCCCTTCTCCCAGATTCCATCCCCTTTTCCCTCATTCCATCCCCTTCTCCTAGATTCCATCCCCTTCTCCCATATTCCATCCCCTTCTCCCAGATTCCATCCCCTTCTCACAGATTCCATCCCCTTCTCCCAGATTCCATGCCCTTCTCCCAGCTTCCATCCCCTCCTCCCTAATTCCATCCCCTTCTCCCCGATTCCATCCCCTTCTCCTAGATTCCATCCCCTTCTCCCAGATTCAACCCCCTTCTCCCACATTCCATCCCCTTCTCCCAGATCCCATCCCCTTCTCCTAGATTCCATCCCCTTCTCCGTGATTCCATCCCCTTCTGCCAGATTCCATCCCCTTTTCCCTCATTCCATCCCCTTCTCCTAGATTCCATCCCCTTCTCCCATATTCCATCCCCTTCTCCCAGATTCCATCCCCTTCTCACAGATTCCATCCCCTTCTCCCAGATTCCATCCCCTTCTCCCAGCTTCCATCCCCTCCTCCCTAATTCCATCCCCTTCTCCCAGCTTACCACGAATCAGGGAGAAGGGGATGGAATCTGGGAGAAGGGGATGGAATCTGCGAGAAGGGGATGGAATATGGGAGAAGGGGATGGAATCTGGGAGAAGGGGATGGAATCTGGGAGAAGGGGATGGAATCTGGGAGAAGGGGATGGAATCTAGGAGAAGGGGATGGAATCTGTGAGAAAGGGGATGGAATCTGGGAGAAGGGGATGGAATCTGGGAGGAGGGGATGGAATCTGGGAGAAGGGGATTGAATCTGAGAGGGCGCGATGGAATCTGGGAGAAGGGGATGGAATCGGGGAGAAGGGGATGGAATCATGGAGAAGGCGATGGAATGTGGGAGAAGGGGATGGAATGTGGGAGAAGGGGATGGAATCGGGGAGAAGGGGATGGAATCTGGAAGAAGGGGATGGAATCTGGGAGAAGGGAATGGAATATGGGAGAAGGGGATGGAATCTGGGAGAAGGGGATGGAATCTCGGAGAAGGGGATGGAATTAGGGAGAAGGGGATGGAAGCTGGGAGAAGGGGATGGAATCTGGGAGAAGGGGATGGAATCTGGGAGAAGGGGATGGAATCTGGGAGAAGGGGATGGAATCTGGGAGAAGGGGATGGAATCGGGGAGAAGGGGATGGAATCTGGGAGAAGGGGATGGAATCTGGGAGAAGGGGATGGAATCAGGGAGAAGGGGATGGAATATGGGAGAAGGGGATGGAATCTGGGAGAAGGGGATGGAATCGGAGAGAAGGGGATGGAATATGGGAGAAGGGGATGGAATCTGGGAGAAGGGGATGGAACCTGGGAGAAGGAGATGGAATGAGGGAGAAGGGGATGTAATCTTGGACAAGGGGATGGAATCTGGGAGAAGGGGATGGAATCTGGGAGAAGGGGATGGAATCTGGGAGAAGGGGATCGAATCAGAGAGAAGGGGATGGAATCAGGGAGAAGGGGATGGAATCTGGGAGAAGGGGATGGAATCTGGGAGAAGGGGATGGAATCTAGGAGAAGGGGATGGAATCTGGGAGAAGGGGATGGAATTTGGGAGAAGGGGATGGAATCTGGGAGAAGGGGATGGAATCTGGAAGAAGGGGATGGAATCTGAGAAAAGGGGATGGAATCTGGGAGAAGGGGATGGAATATGGGAGAAGGGGATGGAATCTGGGAGAAGGGGATGGAATCTGGGAGAAGGGGATCGAATCAGGGAGAAGGGGATGGAATCTGGGAGAAGGGGATGGAATCTGCGAGAAGGGGATGGAATATGGGAGAAGGGGATGGAATCTGGGAGAAGGGGATGGAATCTGGGAGAAGGGGATGGAATCTGGGAGAAGGGGATGGAATCTAGGAGAAGGGGATGGAATCTGTGAGAAAGGGGATGGAATCTGGGAGAAGGGGATGGAATCTGGGAGGAGGGGATGGAATCTGGGAGAAGGGGATTGAATCTGAGAGGGCGCGATGGAATCTGGGAGAAGGGGATGGAATCGGGGAGAAGGGGATGGAATCAGGGAGAAGGGGATGGAATATGGGAGAAGGGGATGGAATCGGGGAGAAGGGGATGGAATCAGGGAGAAGGGGATGGAATCTGGGAGAAGGGGATGGAATCTGGGAGAAGGGAATGGAATCTGGGAGAAGGGGATGGAATCCGGGAGAAGGGGATGGAATCGGGGAGAAGGGGATGGAATAAGGGAGGAGGGGATGGAAGCTGGGAGAAGGGGATGGAATCTGGGAGAAGGGGATGGAATCTGGTAGAAAGGGATGGAATCTGGGAGAAGGGAATGGAATCTAGGAGAAGGGGATGGAGTCTGGGAGGGCAGGATGGAATCTGGGAGAAGGGGATGGAATCTGGGAGAAGGGGATGGAATCTGGGAGAAGGGGATGGAATCTGGGAGTAAGGGATGGAATCTCGTAGAAGGGGATGGAATCTGGAAAAAGGGGATGGAATCAGGGAGAAGGGGATGGAATCTGGGAGAAAGGGATGGAATCTAGGAGAAGGGGATGGAATATGGGAGAAGGGGATGGAATCTGGGAGAAGGGGATGGAATCTGGGAGAAGGGGATGGAATGTGGGAGAAGGGGATGGAATCAGGGAGAAGGGGATGGAATCTGGGAGAAGGGGATGGAATCTGGGAGAAGGGGATGGAATATGGGAGAAGGGGATGGAATCTGGGAGAAGGGGATGGAATCTGGGAGAAGGGGATGGAATCAGGGAGAAGGGGATGTAATCCGGGAGAAGGGGATGTAATCTGGGAGAAGGGGATGGAATCTGGGAGAAGGGGATGGAATCTGGGAGAAGGGGATGGAATCTGGAAGAAGGGGATGGAATTTGGGAGAAGGGGATGGAATCTGGGAGAAGGGGATGGAATCTGGAAGAAGGGGGTGGAATCTGGGAGAAGGGGATGGAATGAGGGAGAAGGGGATGGAATCGGGGAGAAGGGGATGGAATCAGGGAGAAGGGGATGGAATCTGGGAGAAGGGGATGGAATCTGGGAGAAGGGGATGGAATCTGGGAGAAGGGGATGGAATCTGGGAGAAGGGGATGGAGTCTGGGAGAAGGGGATGGAATTTGGGAGAAGGGGATGGAATCTGGGAGAAGGGGATGGAATCAGGGAGAAGGGGATGGAATCTGGGAGAAGGGGATGGAATCTGGGAGAAGGGGATGGAATCTGGGAGAAGGGGATGGAATCTGGGAGAAGGGGATGGAATCTGGGAGAAGGGGATGGAATATGGGAGAAGGGGATGGAATCTAGGAGAAGGGGATGGAATCTGGGAGAAGGGAATGGAATCTGGGAGAAGGGGATGGAATCCGGGAGAAGGGGATGGAATTAGGGAGGAGGGGATGGAAGCTGGGAGAAGGGGATGGAATCTGGGAGAAGGGGATGGAATCTGGGAGAAGGGGATGGAATCTGGGAGAAGGGGATGGAATCTGGGAGAAGGGGCTGGAATCTGGGAGAAGGGGATGGAATCTAGGAGACGGGGATGGAATCTGGGAGAAGGGGATGGAATCTGGGAGAAGGGGATGGAATCTCGGAGAAGGGGATAGAATCTGGGAGAAGGGGATGGAATCAGGGAGAAGGGGATGGAATATGGGAGAAGGGGATGGAATCGGGGAGAAGGGGATGGAATCAGGGAGAAGGGGATGGAATCTGGGAGAAGGGGATGGAATCTGGGAGAAGGGAATGGAATCTGGGAGAAGGGGATGGAATCCGGGAGAAGGGGATGGAATCGGGGAGAAGGGGATGGAATAAGGGAGGAGGGGATGGAAGCTGGGAGAAGGGGATGGAATCTGGGAGAAGGGGATGGAATCTGGGAGAAGGGGATGGAATCTGGGAGAAGGGGATGGAATCTGGGAGAAGGGGATGGAATATGGGAGAAGGGGATGGAATCTAGGAGAAGGGGATGGAATCTAGGAGAAGGGAATGAAATCTGGGAGAAGGGGATGGAATCCGGGAGAAGGGGATGGAATCGGGGAGAAGGGGATGGAATTAGGGAGGAGGGGATGGAAGCTGGGAGAAGGGGATGGAATCAGGGAGAAGGGGATGGAATCTGGGAGAAGGGGATGGAATCTGGGAGAAGGGGATGGAATCTGGGAGAAGGGGATGGAATCTGGGAGAAGGGGATGGAATCTGGGAGAAGGGGATGGAATATGGGAGAAGGGGATGGAATCTAGGAGAAGGGGATGGAATCTGGGAGAAGGGAATGGAATCTGGGAGAAGGGGATGGAATCTGGGAGAAGGGGATGGAATTAGGGAGGAGGGGATGGAAGCTGGGAGAAGGGGATGGAATCTGGGAGAAGGGGATGGAATCTGGGAGAAGGGGATGGAATCTGGGAGAAGGGGATGGAATCTGGGAGAAGGGGCTGGAATCTGGGAGAAGGGGATGGAATCTAGGAGACGGGGATGGAATCTGGGAGAAGGGGATGGAATCTGGGAGAAGGGGATGGAATCTCGGAGAAGGGGATAGAATCGAGGAGAAGGGGATGGAATCAGGGAGAAGGGGATGGAATATGGGAGAAGGGGATGGAATCGGGGAGAAGGGGATGGAATCAGGGAGAAGGGGATGGAATGTGGGAGAAGGGGATGGAATCTGGGAGAAGGGGATGGAATCTGGGAGAAGGGGATAGAATCTGGGAGAAGGGGATGGAATCAGGGAGAAGGGGATGGAATCTGGGAGAAGGGGATGGAATCTGGGAGAAGGGGATGGAATATGGGAGAATGGGATGGATTCTGGGAGAAGGGGATGGAATCTGGGAGAAGGGGATGGAATCTGGGAGAAGGGGATGGAATCTGGGAGAAGGGGATGGAATCTGGGAGAAGGGGATGGAATCTGGGAGAAGGGGATGGAATATGGGAGAAGGGGATGGAATCTGGAAGAAGGGGATGGAATTTGGGAGAAGGGGATGGAATCTGGGAGAAGGGGATGGAATCTTGAAGAAGGGGGTGGAATCTGGGAGAAGGGGATGGAATGAGGGAGAAGGGGATGGAATCGGGGAGAAGGGGATGGAATCAGGGAGAAGGGGATGGAATCTGAGAGAAGGGGATGGAATCTGGGAGAAGGGGATGGAATCTGGGAGAAGGGGATGGAATCAGGGAGAAGGGGATGGAGTCTGGGAGAAGGGGATGGAATTTGGGAGAAGGGGATGGAATCTGGGAGAAGGGGATGGAATCTGGAAGAAGGGGGTGGCGTCTGGGAGAAGGAGATGGAATGAGGGAGAAAGGGATGGAATCTGGGAGAAGGGGATAGAATCTGGGAGAAGGGGATGGAATCTGGGAGAAGGGTATGGAGTCTGGGAGGGCGGGATGGAACCTGGGAGAAGGGGATGGAATCTGGGAGAAGGGGATGGAATGAGGGAGAAGGGGTTGGAATCTGGGAGGAGGGGATGGAATCTGGGAGAAGGGGATGGAATCTGGCAGAAGGGGATGGAATCTGGAAGAAGGGGATGGAATCTGGGAGAAGGGGATGGAATCTGGGAGAAGGGGATGGAATCTGGAAGAAGGGGATGGAATATGGGAGAAGGGGATGGAATCTAGGAGAAGGGGATGGAATCTGGGAGAAGGGAATGGAATCTGGGAGAAGGGGATGGAATCCGGGAGAAGGGGATGGAATCGGGGAGAAGGGGATGGAATTAGGGAGGAGGGGATGGAAGCTGGGAGAAGGGGATGGAATCTGGGAGAAGGGGATGGAATCTGGGAGAAGGGGATGGACTCTGGGAGAAGGGGATGGAATCTGTGAGAAGGGGATGGAATCAAGGAGAAGGGGATGGAATCTGGGAGAAGGGGATGGAATCTGGGAGAAGGGGATGGAATCTAGGAGAAGGGGATGGAATCTGAGAGAAGGGGATGGAATCTGGGAGAAGGGGATGGAATATGGGAGAAGGGGATGGAATCTAGGAGAAGGGGATGGAATCTGGGAGAAGGGAATGGAATCTGGGAGAAGGGGATGGAATCCGGGAGAAGGGGATGGAATCGGGGAGAAGGGGATGGAATTAGGGAGGAGGGGATGGAAGCTGGGAGAAGGGGATGGAATCTGGGAGAAGGGGATGGAATCTGGGAGAAGGGGATGGAATCTGGGAGAAGGGGATGGAATCTGGGAGAAGGGGCTGGAATCTGGGAGAAGGGGATGGAATCTAGGAGACGGGGATGGAATCTGGGAGAAGGGGATGGAATCTGGGAGAAGGGGATGGAATCTGGGAGAAGGGGATGGAATCTGGGAGAAGGGGATGGAATCAGGGAGAAGGGGATGGAATATGGGAGAAGGGGATGGAATCGGGGAGAAGGGGATGGAATCAGGGAGAAGGGGATGGAAAATGGGAGAAGGGGATGGAATCTGGGAGAAGGGGATGGAATCTGGGAGAAGGGGATAGAATCTTGGAGAAGGGGATGGAATCAGGGAGAAGGGGATGGAATCTGGGAGAAGGGGATGGAATCTAGGAGAAGGGGATGGAATATGGGAGAATGGGATGGAATCTGGGAGAAGGGAATGGAATCTGGGAGAAGGGGATGGAATCTGGGAGAAGGGGATGGAATCTGGGAGAAGGGGATGGAATCTGGGAGAAGGGGATGGAATATGGGAGAAGGGGATGGAATATGGGAGAAGGGGATGGAATCTGGAAGAAAGGGATGGAATTTGGGAGAAGGGGATGGAATCTGGGAGAAGGGGATGGAATCTGGAAGAAGGGGGTGGAATCTGGGAGAAGGGGATGGAATGAGGCAGAAGGGGATGGAATCGGGGAGAAGGGGATGGAATCAGGGAGAAGGGGATGGAATCTGAGAGAAGGGGATGGAATCTGGGAGAAGGGGATGGAATCTGGGAGAAGGGGATGGAATCAGGGAGAAGGGGATGGAGTCTGGGAGAAGGGGATGGAATTTGGGAGAAGGGGATGGAATCAGGGAGAAGGGGATGGAATCTGGAAGAAGGGGGTGGCGTCTGGGAGAAGGAGATGGAATGAGGGAGAAAGGGATGGAATCTGGGAGAAGGGGATAGAATCTGGGAGAAGGGGATGGAATCTGGGAGAAGGGGATGGAGTCTGGGAGGGCGGGATGGAACCTGGGAGAAGGGGATGGAATCTGGGAGAAGGGGATGGAATGAGGGAGAAGGGGTTGGAATCTGGGAGGAGGGGATGGAATCTGGGAGAAGGGGATGGAATCTGGCAGAAGGGGATGGAATCTGGAAGAAGGGGATGGAATCTGGGAGAAGGGGATGGAATCTGGGAGAAGGGGATGGAATCTGGAAGAAGGGGATGGAATCTGGGAGAAGGGGATGGAATCGGGGAGAAGGGGATGGAATCAGGGAGAAGGGGATGGAATCTGGGAGAAGGGGATGGAATCTGGGAGAAGGGGATGGAGTCTGGGAGGGCGGGATGGAACCTGGGAGAAGGGGATGGAATCTGGGATAAGGGGATGGGATGAGGGAGAAGGGGTTGGAATCTGGGAGGAGGGGATGGAATCTGGGAGAAGGGGATGGAATCTGGCAGAAGGGGATGGAATCTGGAAGAAGGGGATGGAATCTGGGAGAAGGGGATGGAATCTGGGAGAAGGGGATGGAATATGGGAGAATGGGATGGAATCTGGGAGAAGGGGATGGAATCTGGGAGAAGGGGATGGAATCTGGGAGAAGGGGATGGAATCTGGGAGAAGGGGATGGAATCTGGGAGAAGGGGATGGAATATGGGAGAAGGGGATGGAATATGGGAGAAGGGGATGGAATCTGGAAGAAGGGGATGGAATTTGGGAGAAGGGGATGGAATCTGGGAGAAGGGGATGGAATCTAGAAGAAGGGGGTGGAATCTGGGAGAAGGGGATGGAATGAGGGAGAAGGGGATGGAATCGGGGAGAAGGGGATGGAATCAGGGAGAAGGGGATGGAATCTTAGAGAAGGGGATGGAATCTGGGAGAAGGGGATGGAATCTGGGAGAAGGGGATTGAATCAGGGAGAAGGGGATGGAGTCTGGGAGAAGGGGATGGAATTTGGGAGAAGGGGATGGAATCTGGGAGAAGGGGATGGAATCTGGAAGAAGGGGGTGGCGTCTGGGAGAAGGAGATGGAATGAGGGAGAAAGGGATGGAATCTGGGAGAAGGGGATGGAATCTGGGAGAAGGGGATGGAATCTGGGAGAAGGGGATGGAATATGGGAGAATGGGATGGAATCTGGGAGAAGGGGATGGAATCTGGGAGAAGGGGATGGAATCTGGGAGAAGGGGATGGAATCAGGGAGAAGGGGATGGAATCTGGGAGAAGGGGATGGAATATGGGAGAAGGGGATGGAATATGGGAGAAGGGGATGGAATCTGGAAGAAGGGGATGGAATTTGGGAGAAGGGGATGGAATCTGGGAGAAGGGGATGGAATCTGGAAGAAGGGGGTGGAATCTGGGAGAAGGGGATGGAATGAGGGAGAAGGGGATGGAATCGGGGAGAAGAGGATGGAATCAGGGAGAAGGGGATGGAATCTGAGAGAAGGGGATGGAATCTGGGAGAAGGGGATGGAATCTGGGAGAAGGGGATGGAGTCTGGGAGAAGGGGATGGAATTAGGGAGAAGGGGATGGAGTCTGGGAGAAGGGGATGGAATTTGGGAGAAGGGGATGGAATCTGGGAGAAGGGGATGGAATCTGGAAGAAGGGGGTGGCGTCTGGGAGAAGGAGATGGAATGAGGGAGAAAGGGATGGAATCTGGGAGAAGGGGATAGAATCTGGGAGAAGGGGATGGAATCTGAGAGAAGGGGATGGAGTCTGGGAGGGCGGGATGGAACCTGGGAGAAGGGGATGGAATCTGGGAGAAGGGGATGGGATGAGGGAGAAGGGGTTGGAATCTGGGAGGAGGGGATGGAATCTGGGAGAAGGGGATGGAATCTGGCAAAAGGGGATGGAATCTGGAAGAAGGGGATGGAATCTGGGAGAAGGGGATGGAATCTGGGAGAAGGGGATGGAATATGGGAGAATGGGATGGAATCTGGGAGAAGGGGATGGAATCAGGGAGAAGGGGATGGAATCTGGGAGAAGGGGATGGAATCTGGGAGAAGGGGATGGAATCTGGGAGAAGGGGATGGAATATGGGAGAAGGGGATGGAATATGGGAGAAGGGGATGGAATCTGGAAGAAGGGGATGGAATTTGGGAGAAGGGGATGGAATCTGGGAGAAGGGGATGGAATCTGGAAGAAGGGGGTGGAATCTGGGAGAAGGGGATGGAATGAGGGAGAAGGGGATGGAATCGGGGAGAAGGGGATGGAATCAGGGAGAAGGGGATGGAATCTTAGAGAAGGGGATGGAATCTGGGAGAAGGGGATGGAATCTGGGAGAAGGGGATGGAATCAGGGAGAAGGGGATGGAGTCTGGGAGAAGGGGATGGAATTTGGGAGAAGGGGATGGAATATGGGAGAAGGGGATGGAATCTGGGAGAAGGGGATGGAATCTGGGAGAAGGGGATGGAATCTTGGAGAAGGGGATGGAATCTGGGAGAAGGGGATGGAATCTGGGAGAAGGGGATAGAATATGGGAGAAGGGGCTGGAATCTGGGAGAAGGGGATGGAATCTGGGAGAAGGGGATGGAATCTGGGAGAAGGGGATGGAATCTGGGAGAAGGGGATGGAATCTGGGAGAAGGGGATGGAATCTGGGAGAAGGGGATGGAATCTGGGAGAAGAGGATGGAATCTGGAAGAAGGGGATGGAATTTGGGAGAAGGGGATGGAATCTGGGAGAAGGGGATGGAATCTGGAAGAAGGGGATTGAATCTAGGAGAAGGAGATGGAATGAGGGAGAAGAGGATGGAATATGGGAGAAGGGGTTGGAATCTGGGAAAAAGGGATGGAATCTGGGAGAAGGGGACAGAATCTGGGAGAAGGGGATGGAATCTGGGAGAAGGGGATGGAATCTGGGAGAAGGGGATGGAATGAGGGAGAAGGGGATGGAATGTGGGAGAAGGGGATGGAATCTGGGAGAAGGGGATGGAATCTGGGAGAAGGGGATGGAATCTGGGAGAAAGGGATGGAATCTGGTAGAAGGGGATGGAATCTGGAAAAAGGGGATGGAATCAGGGAGAAGGGGATGGAATCTGGGAGAAAGGGATGGAATCTGGGAGAAGGGGATGGAATATGGGAGAAGGGGATGGAATCTGGGAGAAGGGGATGGAATATGGGAGAAGGGGATGGAATCTGGGAGAAGGGGATGGAATCAGGGAGAAGGGGATGGAATATAGGAGAAGGGGATGGAATCTGGGAGAAGGGGATGGAATATGGGAGAAGGGGCTGGAATCTGGGAAAAGGGGATGGAATCTGGGAGAAGGGGATGGAATCTGGGAGAAGGGGATGGAATCTGGGAGAAGGGGATGGAATCTGGGAGAAGTGGATGGAATCTGGGAGAAGGGGATGGAATCTGGGAGAAGGGGATGGAATCTGGAAGAAGGGGATGGAATTTGGGAGAAGGGGATGGAATCTGGGAGAAGGGGATGGAATCTGGAAGAAGGGGGTGGAATCTGGGAGAAGGGGATGGAATGAGGGAGAAGGGGATGGAATCGAGGAGAAGGGGATGGAATCAGGGAGAAGGGGATGGAATCTGGGAGAAGGGGATGGAATCTGGGAGAAGGGGATGGAAACTGGGAGAAGGCGATGGAATCTGGGAGAAGGGGATGGAATCTGGGAGAAGGGGATGGAATATGGGAGAAGGGGATGGAATCTAGGAGAAGGGGATGGAATCTGGGAGAAGGGAATGGAATCTAGGAGGAGGGGATGGAATCTGGGAGAAGGGGATGGAATCTGGGAGAAGGGGATGGAATTAGGTAGGAGGGGATGGAAGCTGGGAGAAGGGGATGGAATCTGGGAGAAGGGGATGGAATCTGGGAGAAGGGGATGGAATCTGGGAGAAGGGGATGGAATCTGGGAGAAGGGGCTGGAATCTGGGAGAAGGGGATGGAATCTAGGAGAAGGGGATGGAATCTGGGAGAAGGGGATGGAATCTGGGAGAAGGGGATGGAATCTGGGAGAAGGGGATGGAATCTGGGAGAAGGGGATGGAATCAGGGAGAAGGGGATGGAATATGGGAGAAGGGGATGGAATCTGGGAGAAGGGGATGGAATCGGAAAGAAGGGGATGGAATATGGGAGAAGGGGATGGAATCTGGGAGAAGGGGATGGAATCTGGGAGAAGGAGATGGAATTAGGGAGAAGAGGATGGAATCTGGGAGAAGGGGATGGAATCGGGGAAAAGGGGATGGAATCAGGGAGAAGGGGATGGAATGTGGGAGAAGGGGATGGAATCTGGGAGAAGGGGATGGAATCTGGGAGAAGGAGATGGAATGAGGGAGAAGAGGATGGAATCTGGGAGAAGGGGATGGAATATGGGAGAAGAAGATGGAATCTGGGAGAAGGGGACAGAATCTGGGAGAAGGGGATGGAATGAGGGAGAAGGGGATGGAATCTGGAAGAAGAGGATGGAATCTGGGAGAAGGGGATGGAATCTGGGAAAAGGGGATGGAATCTAGGAGAAGGGGATGGAATCTGTGAGAAGGGGATGGAATCTGAGAGAAGGGGATGGAATCTGGGAGAAGGGGATGGAATCTGGGAGAAGGGGATTGAGTCTGAGAGGGCGCGATGGAATCTGGGAGAAGGGGATGGAATCTGGGAGAAGGGGATGGAATGAGGGAGAAGGGGATGGAATCGGGGAGAAGGGGATGGAATCTGGGAGAAGGGGATGGAATCTGGGAGAAGGGGATGGAATCTGGGAGAAGGGGATGGAATCTGGGAGAAGGGGATGGAATCTGGGAGAAGGGGATGGAATCTGGGAGAAGGGGATTGAGTCTGGGAGGGCGCGATGGAATCTGGGAGAAGGGGATGGAATCTGGGAGAAGGGGATGGAATGAGGGAGAAGGGGATGGAATCGGGGAGAAGGGGATGGAATCTGGGAGAAGGGGATGGAATCTGGGAGAAGGGGATGGAATCTGGGAGAAGGGGATGGAATCTGGGAGAAGGGGATGGAGTTTGGGAGAAGAGGATGGAATCGGGGAGAAGGGGATGGAATCAGGAAGAAGGTGGTGGAATCTGGGAGAAGGAGATGGAATGAGGGAGAAGGGGATGGAATCTGGGAGAAGGGGATGGAATCTGGGAGAAGGGAATGGAATCTAGGAGAAGGGGATGGAGTTTGGGAGGGCGGGATGGAATCTGAGAGAAGGGGATGGAATCTGGGAGAAAGGGATGGAATCTGGGAGAAGGGGATGGAATCTGGGAGAAAGGGATGGAATCTGGTAGAAGGGGATGGAATCTGGAAAAAGGGGATGGAATCTGGGAGAAGGGGATGGAATCTGGGAGAAGGGGATGGAATCAGGGAGAAGGGGATGGAATCGGGGAGAAGGGGATGGAATATGGGAGAAGGGGATGGAATGTGGGAGAAGGGGATGGAATGAGGGAGAAGGGGATGGAATCGGGGAGAAGGGGATGGAATATGGGAGAAGGGGATGGAATCTGGGAGAAGGGGATGGAATCTAGGAGAAGGAGATGGAATGAGGGAGAAGAGGATGGAATCTGGGAGAAGGGGATGGAATCTGGGAAAAAGGGATGGAATCTGGTAGAAGGGGATGGAATCTGGAAAAAGGGGATGGAATCTGGGAGAAGGGGATGGAATCTGGGAGAAGGGGATGGAATCAGGGAGAAGGGGATGGAATCGGGGAGAAGGGGATGGAATATGGGAGAAGGGGATGGAATGTGGGAGAAGGGGATGGAATGAGGGAGAAGGGGATGGAATCGGGGAGAAGGGGATGGAATATGGGAGAAGGGGATGGAATCTGGGAGAAGGGGATGGAATCTAGGAGAAGGAGATGGAATGAGGGAGAAGAGGATGGAATCTGGGAGAAGGGGATGGAATCTAGGAGAAGGAGATGGAATGAGGGAGAAGAGGATGGAATCTGGGAGAAGGGGATGGAATCTGGGAAAAAGGGATGGAATCTGGTAGAAGGGGATGGAATCTGGAAAAAGGGGATGGAATCTGGGAGAAGGGGATGGAATCTGGGAGAAGGGGATGGAATCAGGGAGAAGGGGATGGAATCGGGGAGAAGGGGATGGAATATGGGAGAAGGGGATGGAATGTGGGAGAAGGGGATGGAATGAGGGAGAAGGGGATGGAATCGGGGAGAAGGGGATGGAATATGGGAGAAGGGGATGGAATCTGGGAGAAGGGGATGGAATCTAGGAGAAGGAGATGGAATGAGGGAGAAGAGGATGGAATCTGGGAGAAGGGGATGGAATCTGGGAAAAAGGGATGGAATCTGGTAGAAGGGGATGGAATCTGGAAAAAGGGGATGGAATCTGAGAGAAGGGGATGGAATCTGGGAGAAGGGGATTGAATCAGGGAGAAGGGGATGGAATCGGGGAGAAGGGGATGGAATATGGGAGAAGGGGATGGAATGTGGGAGAAGGGGATGGAATGAGGGAGAAGGGGATGGAATCGGGGAGAAGGGGATGGAATATGGGAGAAGGGGATGGAATCTGGGAGAAGGGGATGGAATCTAGGAGAAGGAGATGGAATGAGGGAGAAGAGGATGGAATCTGGCAGAAGGGGATGGAATCTGGAAGAAGGGGATGGAATCAGGGAGAAGGGGATGGAATCTGGGAGAAGGGGATGGAATCTTGAAGAAGGGGATGGAATCTGGGAGAAGGGGATGGAATCGGGAGAAGGGGATGGAATCAGGGAGAAGGGGATGGAATCTGGGAGAAGGGGATGGAATCTGGGAGAAGGGGATGGAATCTATGAAAAAGGGATGGAATCTGAGAGAACTGGATGGAATGAGGGAGAAGGGGATGGAATCTGGGAGAAGGGGATGGAATATGGAAGAAGGGAATGGAATCTGGGAGAAGGGGATGGAATCTGGGAGAAGGGGATGGAATCTGGGAGAAGGGGATGGAGTCTGGGAGAATGGGATGGAATGAGGGAGAAGGGGATGGAATCGGGGAGAAGGGGATGGAATATGGGAGAAGGGGATGGTATCTGGGAGAAGGGGATGGAATCTAGGAGAAGGAGATGGAATGAGGGAGAAGAGGATGGAATATGGGAGAAGGGGTTGGAATCTGGGAAAAAGGGATGGAATCTGGGAGAAGGGGACAGAATCTGGGAGAAGGGGATGGAATCTGGGAGAAGGGGATGGAATGAGGGAGAAGGGGATGGAATCTGGGAGAAGGGGATGGAATCTGGGAGAAGGGGATGGAATCTGGGAGAAGGGGATGGAATCTGGGAGAAAGGGATGGAATCTGGTAGAAGGGGATGGAATCTGGAAAAAGGGGATGGAATCAGGGAGAAGGGGATGGAATCTGGGAGAAGGGGATGGAATCTGGGAGAAGGGGATGGAATCTGGGAGAAGGGGATGGAATCTGGGAGAAGGGGATGGAATCTGGGAGAAGGGGATGGAATATGGGAGAAGGGGATGGAATCTGGGAGAAGGGGATGGAATATGGGAGAAGGGGATGGAATCTGGAAGAAGGGGATGGAATTTGGGAGAAGGGGATGGAATCTGGGAGAAGGGGATGGAATCTTGGAGAAGGGGATGGAATCTGGGAGAAGGGGATGGAATCTGGGAGAAGTGGATGGAATCTGGAAGAAGGGGATGGAATTTGGGAGAAGGGGATGGAATCTGGGAGAAGGGGATGGAATCTAGAAGAAGGGGGTGGAATCTGGGAGAAGGGGATGGAATGAGGGAGAAAGGGATGGAATTGGGGAGAAGGGGATGGAATCAGGGAGAAGGGGATGGAGTCTGGGAGAAGGGGATGGATTGAGGGAGAAGGGGATGGAATCGGGGAGAAGGGGATGGAATATGGGAGAAGGGGATGGAATATGGGAGAAGGGGATTGAATCTAGGAGAAGGAGATGGAATGAGGGAGAAGAGGATCGAATATGGGAGAAGGGGTTGGAATCTGGGAGAAAGGGACAGAATCTGGGAGAAGGGGATGGAATCTGGGAGAAGGGGATGGAATGAGGGAGAAGGGGATGGAATCTAGGAGAAGGGGATGGAATCTGGGAGAAGGGGATGGAATCTGGGAGAAGGGGATGGAATCTGGGAGAAAGGGATGGAATCTGGTAGAAGGGGATGGAATCTGGAAAAAGGGGATGGAATCAGGGAGAAGGGGATGGAATCTGGGAGAAAGGGATGGAATCTGGGAGAAGGGGATGGAATATGGGAGAAGGGGATGGAATCTGGGAGAAGGGGATGGAATATGGGAGAAGGGGATGGAATCTGGGAGAAGGGGATGGAATCAGGGAGAGGGGGATGGAATCTGGGAGAAGGGGATGGAATCTGGGAGAAGGGGATGGAATATGGGAGAAGGGGCTGGAATCTGGGAGAAGGGGATGGAATCTGGGAGAAGGGGATGGAATCTGGGAGAAGGGGATGGAATCTGGGGGAAGGGGATGGAATCTGGGAGAAGGGGATGGAATCTGGGAGAAGGGGATGGAATCTGGGAGAAGGGGATGGAATCTGGAAGAAGGGGATGGAATTTGGGAGAAGGGGACGTCCACCTCCACGTCCACGTCCGCGTCCACGTCCACGTCCACGTCCACGTCCACCTCCGCCTTCACCTCCACGTCCACCTCCACGTCCACGTCCGCGTCCACGTCCACGTCCACGTCCACGTCCACGTCCACGACCACGTCCATGTCCACGTCCAAGTCCTCCACGTCCATGTCCACGTCCATGTCCACGTCCACGTCCACGTCCACGTCCATGTCCATGTCCACGTCCACGTCCTAGTCCATGTCCACGTCCACGTCCACGTCCACGTCCATGTCCACGTCCACGTCCATGTCCACGTCCACGTCCATGTCCACGTCCATGTCCATGTCCATGTCCATGTCTACGTCCACGTACACGTCTACGTCCACGTCCACGTCCATGTCCACGTCCATGTCCATGTCCACGTCCACGTCCATGTCCACGTCCACGTCAATGTCCACGTCCACGTCCACGTCCATGTCCACGTCGACGTCCACGTCCACGTCGACCTCCACGTCCACGTCCATGTCCACGTCCACGTCCAAGTCGGCGTCCATGTCCACGTCCATGTCCTCGTCGGCGTCCATGTCTACGTCCACGTCCACATCTACGTCCACGTCCACGTCCACGTCCATGTCCACGTCCACGTCCATGTCCACGTCCACGTCAATGTCCACGTCCACGTCCACGTCCATGTCCACGTCCACGTCCACGTCGACCTCCACGTCCACGTCCATGTCCACGTCCACGTCTACGTCCACGTCCACGTCCACGTCCACGTCCATGTCCACGTCCACGTCCATGTCCACGTCCACGTCCACGTCCAAGTCCACGTCCACGTCTATCCACGTCCACGTCCACGTCCACGTCCATGTCCATGTCCACGTCCACGTCCACGTCCATGTCCACGTCCACGTCCATGTCCATGTCCATGTCCATGTCCACGTCCACGTCCACGTCCACGTCCACGTCCAAGTCCACGTCCACGTCCACGTCCACGTCCACGTCCATGTCCACGTCCATGTCCACGTCCAAGTCCTCCACGTCCACGTCCCCGTCCACGTCCACGACCACGTCCATGTCCACGTCCAAGTCGTCCAAGTCCATGTCCACGTCCATGTCCACGTCCACGTCCACGTCCAAATCCATGTCCACGTCACGTCCACGTCCACGTCCACGTCCAAATCCATGTCCACGTCACGTCCATGTCCACGTCCACGTCCACGTCGGCGTCCACGTCCAGGTCCACGTCCACGTCCACGTCCACGTCCACGTCCACGTCCACGTCCATGTCCACGTCCATGTCCATGTCCACGTCCACGTCCATGTCCATGTCCATGTCCACGTCCACGTCCATGTCCATGTCCATGTCCACGTCCACGTCCATGTCCACGTCCAGGTCCACGTCTATGTCCACGTCCACGTCCACGTCCATGTCCATGTCCACGTCCATGTCCACGTCCATGTCCATGTCCATGTCCATGTCCACGTCCACGTCCACGTCCATGTCCACGTCCATGTCCATGTCCATGTCCACGTCCACGTCCACGTCCACGTCCACGTCCACCTCCACGTCCACGTCCACGTCCACGTCCACGTCCACGTCCAAGTCCTCCACGTCCACGTCCAAGTCCTCCACGTCCACGTCCACGTCCACGTCCACGTCCATGTCCACGTCCATGTCCACGTCCACGTCCACGTCCACGTCCACGTCCAAGTCCAAGTCCACGTCCACGTCCAAGTCCACGTCCGCGTCCATCCACGTCCACGTCCACGTCCATGTCCATGTCCACGTCCACGTCCACGTCCATGTCCACGTCCACGTCCATGTCCACGTCCATGTCCACGTCCACGTCCACGTCCACGTCCACGTCCAAGTCCACGTCCACGTCCATGTCCACGTCCATGTCCACGTCCATGTCCAAGTCCATGTCCACGTCCAAGTCCTCCACGTCCACGTCCATGTCCATGTCCACGTCCACGTCCTCCACGTCCACGTCCACGTCCACGTCCATATCCATGTCCACGTCCACGTCCATGTCCACGTCCCCACGTCCACGTCCGCGTCCACGTCCGCATCCACGTCCGCGTCCGCGTCCGCGTCCACGTCCGCGTCCACGTCCACGTCCACGTCCACGTCCAGGTCCATGGTCCATGTCCACGTCCACGTCCACGTCCACGCTTGTCCACGTCCACGTCCACGTCCACGTCCACGACCACGACCACGACCACGTCCACGACCACGTCCACGTCCACGTCCGCGTCCACGACCACGTCCATCCACGTCCACGTCCACCGTCCACGTCCACGTCCACCTCCACGTCCACGTCCACGTCCACGTCCACGTCCACGTCCACATCCCCGTCCACGTCCACGTCCGCGTCCATCCACGTCCACGTCCACGTCCACGTCCGCGTCTACGTCCACGTCCACGTCCGCGTCCATGTCCATGGTCCATGTTCACGTCCACGTCCATGTCCACGTCCACGTCCACGTCCATGTCCACGTCCACGTCCACGTCCACGTCCACAACCGCGTCCACGACCACGTTCATCCACGTCCAAGTCCACGTCCGCGTCCACGTCCACGTCCACGTCCGCGTCCACGTCCGCGTCCACGTCCACGTCCACGTCCACGTCCACGTCCACGTCCACGTCCAAGTCCTCCACGTCCATGTCCACGTCCGCTTTCCATCACCCCGCCCCATTCTCTTGCTTTCCATCACCCCGCCCCATTCTCCCGCTTTCCATCACCCCGCCCCATTCTCCTGCTTTCCATCACCTCGCCCCATTCTCCCACTTTCCATAACTCCGCCCCATTCTCCCGCTTTCCATCACCCCGCCCCATTCTCCCGCTTTCCATCACCCCGCCCCATTCTCCCGCTTTCCATCACCCCGCCCCATTCTCCCGCTTTCCATCACCCCGCCCCATTCTCCCTCCTTAACCCCGCCCCATTCTCCCTCCTTCCATTACCCCGCCCCATTCTCACTCCTTCCATCACCCCGCCCCATTCTCCCGCTTTCAATCACCCCGCCCCATTCTCCCGCTTTCCATCACCCCGCCCCTGTCTCTCGCTTTCCATAGCCCCGCCCCATTCTCCCGCTTTCCATCACCCCGCCCCCTTCTCCTGCTTTCCATCACCGCACCCCGTTCTCCCGCTTTCCATCACCCCGCCCCATTCTCCCGCTTTCCATCACCCCGCCCCGTTCTCCCGCTATCCATCACCCCGCCCCGTTCTCCCGCTTTCCATCATCCCGCCCCATTCTCCCGCTTTCCATCACACCGCCCCATTCTCCCGTTTTCCATCACCCCGCCCCATTCTCCCGCTTTCAATCACCCCGCCCCATTCTCCCGCTTTTCCTCACCCCGCCCCATTCTCCCGCTTTCCATCACCCCGCCCCATTCTCCCGCTTTCCCTCACCGCGCAACCAGTCTTCCGCTTTCCAAAGCCCCCCCCCCATTCTCCCGCTTTCCATCACCCCGCCCCCTTCTCCCGCTTTCCATCACCCCTCCCCATTCCCCGTCCTTCCATCACCCCACCCCATTCTCCCTCCTTCCATAACCCCGCCCCATTCTCCTGCTTTCCATCACCCCGCCCCATTCTCCCGCTTTCCCTCACCCTGCCCCAGTCTACTTCTTTCTGTCACCCCGCCCCACTCTCCCGCTTTCCATCACCCCGCCCTATTCTCCCTCCTTCCATCACCCCGCCCCATTCTCACTCCTTCCATCATCCCGCCCCATTCTCCCGCTTTCAATCACCCCACCCCATTCTCCCTCCTTCCATCACCCCCCCCCCTTCTCCCTCCTTCCATAACCCCGCCCAATTCTCCCGCTTTCCATCACCCCGCCCCATTCTCCCGCTTTCCATCACCCCGCCCCATTCTCCTGCTTTCCATCACCTCGCCCCATTCTCCCGCTTTCCATCACTCCGCCTCATTCTCCCGCTTTCCATCAGCCCGCCCCATTCTCACTCTTTCCATCAACCCACCCCATTCTCCCTCCGTCCATCACCCCGCCCCATTCGCCTGATTTCCATCGCCCCGCCCTATTCTCCCATTGTCCATCACCCCGCCTCATTATCCCGCTTTCCATCACCCGCCCCATTCTCTCGCTTTCCATCACCCCGCCCCATTCTCCCGCTTTCCATCACCCCGCCCCATTCTCCCGCTTTCCATTATCCCACCCCATTCTCCCTCCTTCCATCGCCCCGCCCCTTTCCCCCGCTTTCCATCGCCCCGCCCCATTCTCTCGCTTTCCATCACCCGGCCCCATTCACCCGCTTTCCATCACCCCGCCCCATTCTCTCGCTTTCCATCACCCCGCCCCATTCTCCCAATCTCCATCACCCCGCCCCATTCTCCCTCCTTCCATCACCCCGCCCCATTCTCCCTCCTTCCATCACCCCGCCCAATTCTCCCGCTTTCCATCACCCTGCCCCATTTTCCCGCTTTCCATCACCCCGCCCCATTCTTACTCTTTCCATCATCCCATCTCATTCTCCCTCCTTCAAACACCCCGCCCCATTCTCCCTCTTTCCATCACCCCGCCCCATTGTCCCGCTTTCCATCACCACGCCTCATTCTCCCTCCTTCCATCACCCCGCCCCATTCTCCCTCCTTCCATCACCCCGCCCCATTCTCCCGCTTTCCATCACCCCGCCCCATTCTCCCGCTTTCCATCACCCCGCCCCATTCTCCCGCTTTCCATCACCTCGCCCCTTTCTCCCGCTTTCCATCACCCCGCCCCATTCTCCCTCCTTCCATCACCCCGCCCCATTCTCCCACTTTCCATCACCTCGCCCCATTCTCCCGCTTTCCATCACCCCGCCCCATTCTCCCGCTTTCCATCACCCCGCCCCATTCTCCCTCCTTAACCCCGCCCCATTCTCCCTCCTTCCATCACCCCGCCCCATTCTCACTCCTTCCATCACCCCGCCCCATTCTCACTCCTTCCATCACCCCGCCCCATTCTCCCGCTTTCAATCACCCCGCCCCATTCTCCCGCTTTCCATCACCCCGCCCCCTTCTCCTGCTTTCCATCACCGCACCCCGTTCTCCCGCTTTCCATCACCCTGCCCCATTCTCCCGCTTTCCATCATCCCGCCCCGTTCTCCCGCTTTCCATCACCCCGCACTGTTCTCCCGCTTTCCATCACCCCGCCCCATTCCCCCGCTTTCCATCACACCGCCCCATTCTCCCGTTTTCCATCACCCGGCCCCATTCTCCCGCTTTCCATCACCCCGCCCCATTCTACCGCTTTCCATCACCCTGTCCCATTCTCCCGCTTTCCATCACCCCGCCCCATTCTCTCGCTTTCCATCACCTCGCCCCATTCTCTCGCTTTCCATCACCCCGCCCCATTCTCTCGCTTTCCATCACCCCGCCCCATTCTCTCGCTTTCCACCACCCCACCCCATTCTCCCCCTTTCAATCACCCCACCCTATTCTCCCGCGTTCAATCACCCCGCCCCATTCTCCCTCCTTCCATCACCCCGCCCCATTCCCCCTCCTTCCATCACCCCGCCCCATTCTCCCTCCTTCCATCACCCCGCCCCATTCTCCCGCTTTCCATCACCCCGCCCCATTCTCCCGCTTTCCATCACCCCGCCAAATTCTCCCGCTTTCCATCACACCGCCCCATTCTCCCTCCTTCCATCACCCCGCCCCATTCTCCCTCCTTCCATAACCCTGCCCCATTCTCCCGCTTTCGATCACCCTGCCCCATTCTCCTACTTTCCATCACCCTGCCCCCTTCTCCCGCTTTCCATCACCCCGTCCCATTCTCCCTCCTTCCATCACCCCGCCACTTCCTCCCTCCTTCCATCACCCCGCGCCATTCTCCCTCCTTCCATCACCCCGCCCCATTCCCCCGCTTTCCATCACCCCGCCCGATTCTCCCGCTTTCCATCACCTTGCCCCATTCTCCCGCTTTCCATCGCCCCGCCCCATTCTCCCTCCTTCTTCACCACGCCCCATTCTCCTGCTTTCCATCATCCCGCCCCATTCTCCCGTTTCCATCACCCCGCCCCATTCTCCCGCTTTCCATCACCCCGCCCCATTCTCCCGCTTTCCATCACCCCGCCCCATTCTCCCGCTTTCCATCACCCCGCCCCGTTCTCCCGCTTTCCGTCACCCCGCCCCGTTCTCCTGCTCTCTGTCACCCCGCCCCGTTCTCCCGCACTCCGTCACCCCGCCTCATTTTCCCGCTTTCCATCACCCCTCCCCATTCTCCTTCCTTCCATCACCCCGCCCCATTCTCCCTCCTTCCATCACCCCGCCCCATTCTCACTCCTTCCATCACCCCGCCCCATTCTCCCGCTTTCAATCACCCCGCCACATTCTCTAGCTTTCCATCACCCCGCCCCCTTATCACGCTTTCCATCACCCCTCCGCATTCACCCGCTTTCCATCACCCCGCCCCATTCTCCCGAAATCCAACAGCCCGCCCCATTCTCCCTCCTTCCATCACCCCGCCCCATTCTCCCTCCTTCCATCACCCCCCCCCCTTTCTCCCTCCTTTCATAACCCCGCCCCATTCTCCCGCTTTCCATCACCCTGCCTCATTCTCCCGCTTTCCCTCACCTCGCCACAGTCTCCCGCTTTCCATAGCCCCGCCCCATTCTCCCGCTTTCCATCACCCCGCCCCTTTCTCCCGCTTTCCATCACTGCGCCCCATTCTCCCTCCTTCCATCATCCCGCCCCATTCTCCCGCTTTCCATCACCCCGCCCCATTCTCCCGTTTTCCATCACCCCGCCCCATTCTCCCACTTTCCATCACCCCGCCCCATTCTCCCGCTTTCCATCACCCCGCCCCATTCTTCCGCTTTCCATCACCCCACCCCATTCTCCTGCTTTCCATCACCCCGCCCCATTCTCCCTCCTTCCATCACCCCGCCCCATTCTGCCCCATTCTCCCTCCTTCCATCACCCCACCCCATTCTCCCGCTTTCCATCACCCCGCCCCATTCTCCCGCTTTCCATCACTCCGCCCCATTCTCCCGCTTTCCATCAACCCGCCCCATTCTCCTGCTTTCCATCACCCCGCCCCATTCTCCCGCTTTCCATCACCCCTCCCCATTCTCTTGCTTTCCATCACCTCGCCCCATTCTCCCGCTTTCCATCACCCTGCCCCATTCTCTCGCTTTCCACCACCCCACCCCATTCTGCCGCTTTCCATCACCCTGCCCTATTCTCCTGCGTTCAATCACCCTGCCCCATTCTCCCTCCTTCCATCACCCCACCCCATTCTCCCTCCTTCCATCACCCCGCCCCATTCTCCCTCCTTCCATCACCCCGCCCCGTTCTCTCGCTTTACATCACCCCGCCCCATTCTCCCGTTTTCCATCACCCCGCCCCATTCTCTCGCTTTCCATCACCCCGCCCCATTCTGCTTCCTTCCATCACCCCGCCTCATTCTCCCGCTTTCCATCACCCCGCCCCGTTCTCCCGTTTCCATCACCCCGCCCCATTCTCCCTCCTTCCATCACCCCCCCCCCTTTCTCCCTCCTTTCATAACCCCGCCCCATTCTCCCGCTTTCCATCACCCTGCCTCATTCTCCCGCTTTCCCTCACCTCGCCACAGTCTCCCGCTTTCCATAGCCCCGCCCCATTCTCCCGCTTTCCATCACCCCGCCCCTTTCTCCCGCTTTCCATCACTGCGCCCCATTCTCCCTCCTTCCATCATCCCGCCCCATTCTCCCGCTTTCCATCACCCCGCCCCATTCTCCCGTTTTCCATCACCCCGCCCCATTCTCCCACTTTCCATCACCCCGCCCCATTCTCCCGCTTTCCATCACCCCGCCCCATTCTTCCGCTTTCCATCACCCCACCCCATTCTCCTGCTTTCCATCACCCCGCCCCATTCTCCCTCCTTCCATCACCCAGCCCCATTCTGCCCCATTCTCCCTCCTTCCATCACCCCACCCCATTCTCCCGCTTTCCATCACCCCGCCCTATTCTCCCGCTTTCCATCACTCCGCCCCATTCTCCCGCTTTCCATCAACCCGCCCCATTCTCCTGCTTTCCATCACCCCGCCCCATTCTCCCGCTTTCCATCACCCCTCCCCATTCTCTTGCTTTCCATCACCTCGCCCCATTCTCCCGCTTTCCATCACCCTGCCCCATTCTCTCGCTTTCCACCACCCCACCCCATTCTGCCGCTTTCCATCACCCTGCCCTATTCTCCTGCGTTCAATCACCCTGCCCCATTCTCCCTCCTTCCATCACCCCACCCCATTCTCCCTCCTTCCATCACCCCGCCCCATTCTCCCTCCTTCCATCACCCCGCCCCGTTCTCTCGCTTTACATCACCCCGCCCCATTCTCCCGTTTTCCATCACCCCGCCCCATTCTCTCGCTTTCCATCACCCCGCCCCATTCTGCTTCCTTCCATCACCCCGCCTCATTCTCCCGCTTTCCATCACCCCGCCCCATTCTCCCGCTTTCCATCACCCCGCCCCATTCTCCCTCCTTCCATCACCCCGCCCCATTCTCCCGCTTTCCATCATCCCGCCCCATTCTCCCGCTTTCCATCACCCCGCCCCATTCTCCCGCTTTCCATCACCCCGCCCCATTCTCCCTCCTTCCATCACCCCGCCCCATTCTCCCTCCTTCCATCACCCCGCCCCATTCTCCCTCCTTCCATCACCCCGCCCCATTCTCCCGCTTTCCATCACCCCGCCCCATTCTCCCTCCTTCCATCACCCTGCCCCATCCTCCCTCCTTCCATCACCCCGCCCCATTCCCCCGCTTTCCATCACCGAGCCCCGTTCTCTTGCTTTCTATCACCCCGCCCCATTCTCCCGCTTTCCATCACCCCGTCCCATTTTCCCGCTTTCCCTCACCCCGCCCCAGTCTCCCGCTTTCCATAGCCCCGCCCCATTCTACCGCTTTCCATCATCCCGCCCCCTTCTCCTACTTTCCATCACCACACCCCATTCTCCCGCTTTCCATCACCCCGCCCCATTCCCCCGCTTTCCATCACCCCGCCCTACTCTCCCGCTTTCCATCACCCCGCCCCATTCTCCCACTTTCCATCACCCTGCCCCATTCTCCCGCGTTCCATCACTCCGCCCCATTCTCCCGCTTTCCATCACCCCGCCCAATTCTCCTGCTTTCCATCACCCCGCCCCATTCTCCCGCTTTCCATCACCCCGCCCAATTCTCCCGCTTTCCATCACCCCGCCCCATTCTCCCTCCTTCCATCACCCCGCCCCATTGTCTCGCTTTCCATCACCCCGCCCCATTCTCCCGCTTTCCATCACCCCGCCCCATTCTCCCACTTTCCATCACCCCACCCTATTCTCCCGCGTTCAATCACCCCGCCCCATTCTCCCTCGTTCCATCACCCCGCCTCATTCTCCCTCCTTCCATCACCCCGCCCCATTCTCCCTCCTTCCATCACCCCGCCCCATTCTCCCGCTTTCCATCACCCCGCCCCATTCTCCCGCTTTCCATCACCCTGCCCCATTCTCCCGCTTTCCATCACCCCGCCCCATTCTCCCTCCTTTCATCACCCCGCCTCATTCTCCCTCCTTCCATAACCCTGCCCCATTCTCCTGCTTTCCATCACCCCGCCCCATTCTCCTACTTTCCATCACCCCGCCCCATTCTCCTGCTTTCCATCACCCCGCCCCATTCTCCCTCCTTTCATCACCCCGCCCCATTCTCCCTCCTTCCAAAACCCTGCCCCATTCTCCTGCTTTCCATCACCCCGCCCCATTCTCCTACTTTCCATCACCCCGCCCCATTCTCCTGCTTTCCATCACCCTGCCCCATTCTCCCTCCTTCCATAACCCTGCCCCATTCTCCCGCTTTCCATCACCCCGCCCCATCCTCCCTCCTTCCATCACCCCGCCCCATTCTCCCTCCTTCCATCACCCCGCCCCATTCTCCCGCTTTCCATCACCCCGCCCCATTCTCCTGCTTTCCATCACCTCGCCCCATTCTCCCGCTTTCCATCGCCCCGCCCCATTCTCCCTCCTTCCATCACCACGCCCCATTCTCCTGCTTTCCATCACCCCGCCCCATTCTCCCGTTTCCATCACCCCGCCCCATTCCCCCGCTTTCCATCACCCTGCCCCATTCTCCCGCTTTCCATCACCCCGCCCCATTCTCCCGCTTTCCATCACCCCGCCCCGTTCTCCCGCTTTCCATCACCTCGCCCCATTCTCCCGCTTTCAATCACCCCACCCCATTCTCCCTCTTTCCATCACCCCGCCCCATTCTCCCTCCTTCCATCACCCCGCCCCATTCTCCCTCCTTCCATCACCCCGCCCCATTCTCCCGCTTTCCACGTCCAGGTCCACGTCCACGTCCACGTCCACCTCCACCTCCACGACCACGTCCACCTCCACCTCCACCTCCACGTCCACCTCCATGTCCACGTCCACGTCCACGTCCACGTCCACGTCCACGTCCACCTCCACGTCCACCTCCATGTCCACGTCCACGTCCAAGTCCTCCACGTCCACGTCCACGTCCATGTCCACGTCCACGTCCACGTCCACGTCCATGTCCACGTCCACGTCCGCGTCCACGTCCACGTCCACGTCCGCGTCCACGTCCACCTCCACGTCCACGTCCGCGTCCACGTCCAGGTCCACATCCACGTCCATCCACGTCCACGTCCACGTCCACGTCCATGTCCACGTCCACGTCCACGTCCACGTCCGCGTCCACGTCCGCGTCCATGTCCACGTCCACGTCCACGTCCACGTCCTCGTCCATATCCATGTCCATGTCCATGTCCATGTCCACGTCCTCGTCCATATCCATGTCCATATCCATGTCCACGTCCACGTCCTCGTCCATATCCATATCCATATCCATATCCATGTCCATGTCCACGTCCACGTCCACGTCCGCGTCCACGTCCGCGTCCATGTCCACGACCACGTCCATGTCCACGTCCAAGTCCTCCACGTCCATGTCCACGTCCACGTCCACGTCCACGTCCATGTCCACGTCCACGTCCACGTCCACGTCCACGTCCACGTCCACGTCCATGTCCATGTCCATGTCCATGTCCACGTCCACGTCCATGTCCACGTCCACGTCCACGTCCATGTCCATGTCCATATCCATGTCCATGTCCACGTCCGCGTCCACGTCCATGTCCACGTCCGCGTCCACGTCCATGTCCACGTCCGCGTCCACGTCCATGTCCACGTCCGCGTCCACGTCCATATCCACGTCCGCGTCCACGTCCATGTCCACATCTGCGTCCACGTCCATGTCCACGTCCATGTCCGCGTCCATGTCCATGTCCGCGTCCATGTCTATGTCCACGTCCACGTCCACGTTCGCGTCCACGTCCACGTCTACGTCCGTGTCCACGTCCACGTCCACGTCCACGTCCATGTCCATGTCCACGTCCACATCCATGTCCATGTCCGCGTCCACGTCCGCGTCCACGTCCACGTCCACGTCCACGTCCATGTCCACGTCCACGTCCGCGTCCACGTCCACGTCCATGTCCACGTCCACGTCCGCGTCCACGTCCACGTCCACGTCCGCGTCCGCGTCCACGTCCACGTCCACGTCCGCGTCCACGTCCAGGTCCACGTCCACGTCCATCCACGTCCACGTCCACGTCCACGTCCGCGTCCACGTCCGCGTCCATGTCCACGTCCACGTCCACGTCCACGTCCACGTCCTCGTCCATATCCATGTCCATGTCCATGTCCATGTCCATGTCCACGACCACGTCCACGTCCAGGTCCACGTCCACGTCCTCCACGTCCATGTCCACATCCATATCCACGTCCACGTCCACGTCCACATCCACTTCCACGTCCACGTCCACGTCCACGTCGACGTCCACGTCCACGTCCACGTCCACGTCCACGTCCATGTCCATGTCCATGTCCATGTCCATGTCCACGTCCAAGTCCATGTCCACGTCCACGTCCACGTCCACGTCCATGTCCATGTCTATATCCATGTCCATGTCCATGTCCACGTCCACGTCTACGTCCATGTCCACGTCCACGTCCACGTCCATGTCCACGTCCGCGTCCACGTCCAAGTCCACGTCCGCGTCCACGTCCATGTCCACGTCCGCGTCCACGTCCATGTCCACGTCCGCGTCCACGTCCACGTCCATGTCCACGTCCATGTCCGCGTCCATGTCCATGTCCGCGTCCATGTCTATGTCCACGTCCACGTTCGCGTCCACGTCCACGTCCACGTCCGTGTCCACGTCCACGTCCACGTCCACGTCCACGTCCAAGTCCATGTCCACGTCCACATCCATGTCCATGTTCGCGTCCACGTCCAGGTCCACGTCCACGTCCACGTCCACGTCCAGGTCCACGTCCACGTCCACGTCCACCTCCACCTCCACGTCCACCTCCACCTCCACGACCACCTCCACGTCCACGTCCACTTCCACCTCCACATCCACGTCCACGTCCACGTCCGCCTCCACGTCCACGTCCACGTCCGCGTCCATGTCCATGTCCACGTCCACATCCACGTCCGCGTCCACGTCCACGTCCACGTCCGCGTCCACGTCCACGTCCACGTCCGCGTCCACGTCCATGTCCACGTCCACGTCCATCCACGTCCATGTCCACGTCCATGTCCATGTCCACGTCCACGTCCACGTCCGTGTCCACGTCCATGTCCACGTCCATGTCCATGTCCATGTCCACGTCCATGTCCACGACCACGTCCATGTCCACGTCCAAGTCCTCCACGTCCATGTCCACGTCCATGTCCACGTCCACGTCCACGTCCACGTCCACGTCCACGTCCACGTCCACGTCCACGTCCACGTCCACGTCGACGTCCACGTCGACGTCCACGTCCACGTCGACGTCCACGTCCACGTCCACGTCCACGTCCACGTCCACGTCCACGACCACGTCCACGACCATGTCCACGTCCATGTCCACGTCCACGTCCACGTCCACGTCCACATCCATGTCCACGTCCATGTCCACGTCCACGTCCACGTCCACGTCCACGTCCACGACCACGTCCACGTCCACGTCCAAGTTCTCCACGTCCACGTCCACGTCCACGTCCACGTCCACGTCCACGTCTACGTCCACGTCCACGTCCACGTCCACGTCCATGTCCACGTCCACGTCCATGTCCACGTCCCTGTCCATGTCCCTGTCCACATCCACGTCCACGTCCACGTCCACGTCCACGTCCATGTCCACGTCCATGTCCACGTCCACGTCCACGTCCACGTCCATGTCCACGTCCATGTCCCTGTCCACGTCCACGTCCGCGTCCACGTCCACGTCCACGTCTACGTCCGCGTCCACGTCCACGTCCACGTCCACGTCCACGTCCGCGTCCATCCACGTCCACGTCCACGTCCACGTCCGCGTCCACGTTCACGTCCACGTCCACATCCGCGTCCACGTCCACGTCCATGTCCACGTCCACGTCCATGTCCATGTCCACGTCCACGTCCACGTTCATGTCCACGTCCACGTCCACGTCCACGTCCACGTCCACGTCCACGTCCGCGTCCATGTCCACGTCCATGTCCATGTTCATGTCCATGTGCACGTCCATGTCCACGACCACGTCCATGTCCACGTCCAAGTCCTCCACGTCCATGTCCACGTCCATGTCCACGTCCACGTCCACGTCCACGTCCATGTCCACGTCCACGTCCACGTCCATGTCCACGTCCACGTCCACGTCCACGTCCACGTCCACGTCGACGTCGATGCCACGTCCACGTCCACGTCCACGTCCACGTCCACGTCCACGACCACGTCCACGTCCACGTCCACGTCCACGACCACGTCCACGTCCACGTCCAGGTCCAGGTCCACGTCCACGGTCCATGTCCACGTCCACGTCCAGGTCCACGTCCACGACCACGTCCACGTCCACGTCCACGTCCACGACCACGTCCACGACCATGTCCACGTCCACGTCCACGTCCACGTCCATGTCCATGTCCACGTCCAAGTCCTCCACGTCCACGTCCACGTCCACGTCCACGACCACGTCCACGTCCACGTCCACGTCCACGTCCAAGTCCTCCACGTCCACGTCCACGTCCACGTCCACGTCTACGTCCACGTCCACGTCCATCTCCACGTCCATGTCCACGTCCAAGTCCTCCACGTCCACGTCCACGACCACGTCCACGTCCATGTCCACGTCCATGTCCACGTCCACGTCCACGTCCACGTCCATGTCCACGTCCATGTCCACGTCCACGTCCACGTTCATGTCCCCGTCCACGTCCACGTCCACGTCCGCGTCCACCTCCACGTCTACGTCCACGTCCACGTCCGCGTCCATCCACGTCCACGTCCACGTCCACGTCCGCGTCCACGTCCACGTCCACGTCCACGTCCGCGTCCATCCACGCCCACGTCCACGTCCACGTCCGCGTCCACGTCCAGGTCCATGTCCACGTCCACGTCCACGTCCACGTCCATGTCCACGTCCAAGGCCACGTCCACGTCCACGTCCACGTCCATGTCCACGTCCACGTCCATGTCCACGTCCATGTCCATGTCCATGTCCACGTCCATGTCCATGTCCATGTCTACGTCCGGTTCCACGTCCACGTCCGCGTCCATGTCCACGTCTATGTCCACATCCACGTCCACGTCCATGTCCATGTCCATGTCCATGTTCACGTCCATGTCCACGACCACGTCCATGTCCACGTCCAAGTCCTCCACGTCCACGTCCACATCCACATCCACGTCCATGTCCACGTCCACGACCACGTCCACGTCCACGTCCACGTCCACGTCCACGTCCACGTTCACGTCCACGTCCACGTCCACGTCCACGTCACGTCCACGTCCACGTCCACGTCCATGTCCACGTCCACGTCCACGTCCACGTCCACGTCCACTTGCACGTCCGCGTCCACGTCCGCGTCCATGTCCACGTCCGCGTCCAGGTCCACGTCCATATCCATGTCCATGTCCATGTCCACGTCCATGTCCACGACCACGTCCATGTCCACGTCCAAGTCCTCCACGTCCATGTCCACGTCCATGTCCACGTCCACGTCCACGTCCACGTCCATGTCCACGTCCACGTCCACGTCCACGTCCATGTCCACGTCCACGTCCACGTCCACGTCCATGTCCATGTCCACGTCCACGTCCATGTCCACGTCCACGTCCACGTCCACGTCCACGTCCACGTCCATGTCCACGTCCATATCCATGTCCATGTCCACGTCCATGTCCATGTCCATATCCACGTCCATGTCCATGTCCACGTCCACGTCCACGTCCATGTCCACGTCCACGTCCACGTCCATGTCCACGTCCACGTCCACGTCCATGTCCACGTCCACGTCCACGTCCATGTCCACGTCCGCGTCCACGTCCATGTCCACGTCCGCGTCCACGTCCATGTCCACGTCCGCGTCCACGTCCAGGTCCACGTCCGCGTCCACGTCCAGGTCCACGTCCGCGTCCACGTCCACGTCCACGTCCGCGTCCGCGTCCACGTCCACGTCCGCGTCCGCGTCCACGTCCACGTCCGCGTCCACGTCCACGTCCACGTCCGCGTCCACGTCCACGTCCACGTCCGCGTCCACGTCCACGTCCACGTCCGCGTCCACGTCCACGTCCACCTCCGCGTCCGCGTCCACGTCCACCTCCGCGTCCACGTCCACGTCCACGTCCACGTCCACGTCCACGTCCATGTCCATGTCCATGTACACATCCATGTCCATGTCCATGTCCACGTCCGCGTCCACGTCCACGTCCACGTCCACGTCTGGGTCCACGTCCACCTCCACCTCCACGTCCACCTTCACCTCCACGTCCACCTCCACGTCCATGTCCACGTCCACGACCACGTCCACGTCCACGTCCACGTCCACGTCCACCTCCACCTCCACGTCCACGTCCACGTCCACGTCCGCGTCCACGTCCATGTCCACGTCCACATCCACGTCCGCGTCCACGTCCACGTCCACGTCCGCGTCCACGTCCATGTCCACGTCCACGTCCATCCACGTCCACGTCCACGTCCACGTCCATGTCCATGTCCACGTCCACGTCCACGTCCACGTCCAGGTCCAGGTCCACGTCCACGTCCATGTCCACGTCCACGTCCACGTCCACGTCCGCGTCCACGTCCACGTTCACGTCCACGTCCACGTCCACATCCGCGTCCACGTCCATGTCCACGTCCCCGCCTATCCACGTCCACGTCCACGTCCACGTCCACGTCCGTGTCCACGTCCATGTCCACGTCCATGTCCATGTCCATGTCCACGTCCATGTCCACGACCACGTCCATGTCCACGTCCAAGTCCTCCACGTCCATGTCCACGTCCAGGTCCACGTCCACGTCCACGTCCACGTCCACGTCCATGTCCACGTCCACGTCCACGTCCAGGTCCACGTCGACGTCCACGTCGACGTCCACGTCCACGTCGACGTCGACGTCCACGTCCACGTCCACGTCCACGTCCACGACCACGTCCACGACCATGTCCACGTCCATGTCCACGTCCACGTCCACGTCCACATCCATGTCCACGTCCATGTCCACGTCCACGTCCACGTCCACGTCCACGTCCACGACCACGTCCACGTCCACGTCCAAGTTCTCCACGTCCACGTCCACGTCCACGTCCACGTTCACGTCCACGTCCACGTCCACGTCCACGTCACGTCCACGTCCACGTCCACGTCCATGTCCACGTCCACGTCCACGTCCACGTCCACGTCCACTTGCACGTCCGCGTCCACGTCCGCGTCCATGTCCACGTCCGCGTCCAGGTCCACGTCCATATCCATGTCCATGTCCATGTCCATGTCCATGTCCACGACCACGTCCATGTCCACGTCCAAGTCCTCCACGTCCATGTCCACGTCCATGTCCACGTCCACGTCCACGTCCACGTCCATGTCCACGTCCACGTCCACGTCCACGTCCATGTCCACGTCCACGTCCACGTCCACGTCCACGTCCACGTCCATGTCCATGTCCACGTCCACGTCCATGTCCACGTCCACGTCCACGTCCACGTCCACGTCCATGTCCATGTCCATATCCATGTCCATGTCCATGTCCACGTCCACGTCCACGTCCATGTCCACGTCCACGTCCACGTCCATGTCCACGTCCGCGTCCACGTCCATGTCCACGTCCGCGTCCACGTCCATGTCCACGTCCGCGTCCACGTCCATGTCCACGTCCGCGTCCACGTCCATGTCCACGTCCGCGTCCACGTCCAGGTCCACGTCCGCGTCCACGTCCAGGTCCACGTCCGCGTCCACGTCCAGGTCCACGTCCGCGTCCACGTCCAGGTCCACGTCCGCGTCCGCGTCCACGTCCACGTCCGCGTCCGCGTCCACGTCCACGTCCACGTCCGCGTCCACGTCCACGTCCACGTCCGCGTCCACGTCCACGTCCACGTCCGCGTCCACGTTCACGTCCACGTCCGCGTCCACGTCCACGTCCGCGTCCACGTCCACGTCCACATCCGCGTCCGCGTCCACGTCCACGTCCACGTCCGCGTCCACGTCCACGTCCACGTCCACGTCCACGTCCACGTCCACGTCCATGTCCATATCCACGTCCACGTCCATGTCCATGTCCACGTACACATCCATGTCCATGTCCGCATCCACGTCCGCGTCCACGTCCACGTCCACGTCCACGTCTGGGTCCACGTCCACGTCCACCTCCACCTCCACGTCCACCTTCACCTCCACGTCCACCTCCACGTCCATGTCCACGTCCACGACCACGTCCACGTCCACGTCCACGTCCACGTCCACGTCCACCTCCACCTCCACGTCCACGTCCACGTCCACGTCCACGTCCACGTCCATGTCCACGTCCACATCCACGTCCGCGTCCACGTCCACGTCCACGTCCGCGTCCACGTCCATGTCCACGTCCACGTCCATCCACGTCCACGTCCACGTCCACGTCCACGTCCATGTCCATGTCCACGTCCACGTCCACGTCCACGTCCACGTCCACGTCCACGTCCATGTCCACGTCCACGTCCACGTCCACGTCCGCGTCCACGTCCACGTTCACGTCCACGTCCACGTCCACATCCGTGTCCACGTCCATGTCCACGTCCCCGCCTATCCACGTCCACGTCCACGTCCACGTCCACGTCCGTGTCCACGTCCATGTCCACGTCCATGTCCACGTCCATGTCCACGTCCATGTCCACGACCACGTCCATGTCCACGTCCAAGTCCTCCACGTCCATGTCCACATCCAGGTCCACGTCCACGTCCACGCCCACGTCCACGTCCACGTCCATGTCCACGTCCACGTCGACGTCCACGTCCACGACCACGTCCACGACCACGTCCACGTCCATGTCCACGTCCACGTCCACGTCCACGTCCACATCCATGTCCACGTCCATGTCCACGTCCACGTCCACGTCCACGTCCACGTCCACGACCACGTCCACGTCCACGTCCAAGTTCTCCACGTCCACGTCCACGTCCACGTCCACGTCCACGTCTACGTCCACGTCCACGTCCACGTCCATGTCCACGTCCATGTCCACGTCCATGTCCACGTCCACGTCCATGTCCACGTCCACGTCCACGTCCATGTCCACGTCCACGTCCACGTCCACGTCCACGTCCACGTCCACGTCCATGTCCACGTCCATGTCCACGTCCATGTCCACGTCCACGTCCACGTCCACGTCCACGTCCACGTCCACGTCCATGTCCACGTCCACGTTCACGTCCACGTCCACGTCCACGTCCACGTCCCTGTCCATGTCCCTGTCCACATCCACGTCCACGTCCACGTCCACGTCCACGTCCATGTCCACGTCCATGTCCACGTCCACGTCCACGTCCACGTCCATGTCCACGTCCATGTCCCTGTCCACGTCCACGTCCGCGTCCACGTCCACGTCCACGTCCACGTCCGCGTCCACGTCCACGTCCACGTCCACGTCCACGTCCACGTCCGCGTCCATCCACGTCCACGTCCACGTCCGCGTCCACGTTCACGTCCACGTCCACGTCCGCGTCCACGTCCACGTCCACGTCCACGTCCACGTCCATGTCCATGTCCACGTACACATCCATGTCCATGTCCACGTCCACGTCCGCGTCCACGTCCACGTCCACGTCCACGTCTGGGTCCACGTCCACGTCCACCTCCACCTCCACGTTCACCTTCACCTCCACGTCCACCTCCACGTCCATGTCCACGACCACGTCCACGTCCACGTCCACGTCCACCTCCACCTCCACGTCCACGTCCACGTCCACGTCCGCGTCCACGTCCATGTCCACGTCCACATCCACGTCCGCGTCCACGTCCACGTCCACGTCCGCGTCCACGTCCATGTCCACGTCCACGTCCATCCACGTCCACGTCCACGTCCACGTCCACGTCCATGTCCATGTCCACGTCCACGTCCACGTCCACGTCCAGGTCCACGTCCACGTCCATGTCCACGTCCACGTCCACGTCCACGTCCGCGTCCACGTCCACGTTCACGTCCACGTCCACGTCCACATCCGCGTCCACGTCCATGTCCACGTCCCCGCCTATCCACGTCCACGTCCACGTCCACGTCCACGTCCGTGTCCACGTCCATGTCCACGTCCATGTCCATGTCCATGTCCACGTCCATGTCCACGACCACGTCCATGTCCACGTCCAAGTCCTCCACGTCCATGTCCACGTCCAGGTCCACGTCCACGTCCACGTCCACGTCCACGTCCATGTCCACGTCCACGTCCACGTCCAGGTCCACGTCGACGTCCACGTCGACGTCCACGTCCACGTCGACGTCCACGTCCACGTCCACGTCCACGTCCACGTCCACGTCCACGTCCACGACCACGTCCACGACCATGTCCACGTCCATGTCCACGTCCACGTCCACGTCCACGTCCACATCCATGTCCACGTCCATGTCCACGTCCACGTCCACGTCCACGTCCACGACCACGTCCACGTCCACGTCCAAGTTCTCCACGTCCACGTCCACGTCCACGTCCACGTCTACGTCCACGTCCACGTCCACGTCCATGTCCACGTCCAAGTCCTCCACGTCCACGTCCACGACCACGTCCACGTCCATGTCCACGTCCATGTCCACGTCCACGTCCACGTCCACGTCCACATCCACGTCCACGTCCATGTCCACGTCCATGTCCACGTCCACGTCCACGTCCACGTCCACGTCCACGTCCACGTCCACGTCCCTGTCCATGTCCCTGTCCACATCCACGTCCACGTCCACGTCCACGTCCACGTCCATGTCCACGTCCATGTCCACGTCCACGTCCACGTCCACGTCCATGTCCACGTCCATGTCCCTGTCCACGTCCACGTCCGCGTCCACGTCCACGTCCACGTCCACGTCCGCGTCCACGTCCACGTCCACGTCCACGTCCACGTCCACGTCCGCGTCCATCCACGTCCACGTCCACGTCCGCGTCCACGTTCACGTCCACGTCCACGTCCGCGTCCACGTCCACGTCCATGTCCACGTCCACGTCCATGTCCATATCCACGTCCACGTCCACGTCCATGTCCACGTCCACGTCCACGTCCACGTCCACGTCCACGTCCACGTCCGCGTCCATGTCCACGTCCATGTCCATGTTCATGTCCATGTGCACGTCCATGTCCACGACCACGTCCATGTCCACGTCCAAGTCCTCCACATCCATGTCCACGTCCATGTCCACGTCCACGTCCACGTCCACGTCCATGTCCACGTCCACGTCCACGTCCATGTCCACGTCCACGTCCACGTCCACGTCCACGTCCACGTCGACGTCGATGCCACGTCCACGTCCACGTCCACGTCCACGTCCACGTCCACGACCACGTCCACGTCCACGTCCACGTCCACGACCACGTCCACGTCCACGTCCAGGTCCACGTCCACGGTCCATGTCCACGTCCACGTCCAGGTCCACGTCCACGACCACGTCCACGTCCACGTTCACGTCCACGACCACGTCCACGACCATGTCCACGTCCACGTCCACGTCCACGTCCATGTCCATGTCCACGTCCAAGTCCTCCACGTCCACGTCCACGTCCACGACCACGTCCACGTCCACGTCCACGTCCACGTCCAAGTCCTCCACGTCCACGTCCACGTCCACGTCTACGTCCACGTCCACGTCCATCTCCACGTCCATGTCCACGTCCAAGTCCTCCACGTCCACGTCCACGACCACGTCCACGTCCATGTCCACGTCCATGTCCACGTCCACGTCCACGTCCACGTCCACGTCCATGTCCACGTCCATGTCCACGTCCATGTCCACGTCCACGTCCACGTCCATGTCCCCGTCCACGTCCACGTCCGCGTCCACCTCCACGTCCACGTCCACGTCCACGTCCGCGTCCATCCACGTCCACGTCCACGTCCTCGTCCGCGTCCACGTCCACGTCCACGTCCACGTCCGCGTCCATCCACGCCCACGTCCACGTCCACGTCCGCGTCCACGTCCACGCCCACGTCCACGACCACGTCCACGACCATGTCCACGTCCATGTCCACGTCCACGTCCACGTCCACGTCCATGTCCACGTCCAAGGCCACGTCCACGTCCACGTCCACGTCCATGTCCACGTCCACGTCCACGTCCATGTCCACGTCCATGTCCATGTCCATGTCCACGTCCATGTCCATGTCCATGTCTACGTCCAGTTCCACGTCCACGTCCGCGTCCATGTCCACGTCCATGTCCACATCCACGTCCACGTCCATGTCCATGTCCATGTCCATGTTCACGTCCATGTCCACGACCACGTCCACGTCCACGTCCACGTCCATGTCCACGTCCATGTCCACGTCCATGTCCACGTCCATGTCCACGTCCACGTCCACGTCCACGTCCATGTCCACGTCCACGTCCACGTCCACGTCCATGTCCACGTCCACGTCCACGTCCACGTCCACGTCCATGTCCATGTCCATGTCCATGTCCATGTCCACGTCCACGTCCATGTCCACGTCCACGTCCACGTCCACGTCCACGTCCACGTCCATGTCCATGTCCATATCCATGTCCATGTCCATGTCCACGTCCACGTCCACGTCCATGTCCACGTCCACGTCCACGTCCATGTCCACGTCCACGTCCACGTCCATGTCCACGTCCACGTCCACGTCCATGTCCACGTCCGCGTCCACGTCCATGTCCACGTCCGCGTCCACGTCCATGTCCACGTCCGCGTCCACATCCATGTCCACGTCCGCGTCCACGTCCATGTCCACGTCCGCGTCCACGTCCAGGTCCACGTCCGCGTCCCGTCCACGTCCACGTCCGCGTCCACGTCCACGTCCACGTCCGCGTCCACGTCCACGTCCACGTCCGCGTCCACGTCCACGTCCACGTCCACGTCCGCGTCCACGTCCACGTCCACGTCCGCGTCCACGTCCACGTCCACATCCGCGTCCGCGTCCACGTCCACGTCCACGTCCGCGTCCACGTCCACGTCCACGTCCGCGTCCGCGTCCACGTCCACGTCCGCGTCCACGTCCACGTCCACGTCCACGTCCGCGTCCACGTCCACGTTCGCGTCCACGTCCACGTCCACGTCCACGTCCACGTCCATGTCCATGTCCACGTCCACGTCCATGTCCATGTCCACGTACACATCCATGTCCATGTCCGCGTCCACGTCCGCGTCCACGTCCACGTCCACGTCTGGGTCCACGTCCACGTCCACCTCCACCTCCACGTCCACCTTCACCTCCACGTCCACCTCCACGTCCATGTCCACGTCCACGACCACGTCCACGTCCACGTCCACGTCCACGTCCACCTCCACCTCCACGTCCACGTCCACGTCCACGTCCGCGTCCACGTCCATGTCCACGTCCACATCCACGTCCGCGTCCACGTCCACGTCCACGTCCGCGTCCACGTCCATGTCCACGTCCACGTCCATCCACGTCCACGTCCACGTCCACGTCCACGTCCACGTCCATGTCCATGTCCACGTCCACGTCCACGTCCACGTCCAGGTCCACGTCCACGTCCACGTCCACGTCCGCGTCCACGTCCACGTCCGCGTCCACGTCCACGTCCACGTCCACGTCCGCGTCCACGTCCACGTCCACGTCCACGTCCACGTCCGCGTCCACGTCCATGTCCACGTCCCCGCCTATCCACGTCCACGTCCACGTCCACGTCCACGTCCACGTCCACGTCCATGTCCACGTCCAAGTCCTCCACGTCCACGTCCACGACCACGTCCACGTCCATGTCCACGTCCATGTCCACGTCCACGTCCATGTCCACGTCCACGTCCACGTCCACGTCCATGTCCACGTCCATGTCCACGTCCACGTCCACGTCCACGTCCATGTCCACGTCCATGTCCCCGTCCACGTCCGCGTCCACGTCGACGTCCACGTCCACGTCCACGTCCACGTCCGCGTCCATCCACGTCCACGTCCACGTCCACTTCCGCGTCCACGTCCACGTCCACGTCCACGTCCATGTCCACGTCCACGTCCACGTCCACGTCCACGTCCATGTCCCCGTCCATGTCCATGTCCATGTCCACGTCCACGTCCACGTCCATGTCCACGTCCACGTCCACGTCCACGTCCGCGTCCATGTCCACGTCCATGTCCATGTTCATGTCCATGTGCACGTCCATGTCCAAGACCACGTCCATGTCCACGTCCAAGTCCTCCACGTCCATGTCCACGTCCATGTCCACGTCCACGTCCACGTCCACGTCCACATCCACGTCCATGTCCACGTCCACGTCCACGTCCACGTCCACGTCGACGTCGATGCCACGTCCACGTCCACGTCCATGTCCACGTCCACGTCAACGTCCACGTCCACGTCCACGTCCACGTCCACGACCACGTCCACGTCTACGTCCACGTCCACGTCCACGACCACGTCCACGTCCACGTCCAGGTCCACGTCCACGTCCACAGTCCATGTCCACGTCCACGTCCAGGTCTACGTCCACGACCACGTCCACGTCCACGTCCACGACCACGTCCACGACCATGTCCACGTCCACGTCCACGACCACGTCCACGTCCACGTCCAGGTCCACGTCCACGTCCACGGTCCATGTCCACGTCCACGTCCAGGTCCACGACCACGTCCACGTCCACGTCCACGACCACGTCCACGACCATGTCCACGTCCACGTCCACGTCCACGTCCACGTCCATGTCCACGTCCAAGTCCTCCACGTCCACGTCCACGTCCACGTCCACGACCACGTCCACGTCCACGTCCACGTCCACGACCACGTCCACGTCCACGTCCAAGTCGTCCACATCCACGTCCACGTCCACGTCTACGTCCACGTCCACGTCCATGTCCACGTCCATGTCCACGTCCACGTCCACGTCCACGTCCACGTCCACGTCCATGTCCCCGTCCACGTCCACGTCTGCGTCCACGTCCACGTCCACGTCCACGTCCATCCTCGTCCGCGTCCATCCACGTCCACGTCCGCGTCCACGTCCGCGTCCACGTCCACGTCCACGTCCACGTCCGCGTCCATCCACGTCCACGTCCGCGTCCACGTCCGCGTCCACGTCCACGTCCACGTCCACGTCCGCGTCAATCCACGTCCACGTCCGCGTCCACGTCCACGTCGGATTCCACGTCCACGTCCAGGTCCACGTCCATGTCCACGTCCACGTCCACATCCATGTCCACGTCCAAGGCCACGTCCACGTCCACGTCCACGTCCATGTCCACGTCCACGTCCACGTCCATGTCCACGTCCATGTCCATGTCCATGTCCATGTCCACGTCCATGTCCATGTCCATGTCTACGTCCAGTTCCACGTCCACGTCCGCGTCCATGTCCACGTCCATGTCCACGTCCACGTCCACGTCCATGTCCACGTCCATGTCCATGTCCATGTCCATGTCCACGTCCATGTCCATGTCCATGTCTACGTCCAGTTCCACGTCCACGTCCGCGTCCATGTCCACGTCCATGTCCACGTCCACGACCACGTCCATGTCCACGTCCAAGTCCTCCACGTCCATGTCCACGTCCATGTTCACGTCCACGTCCACGTCCACGTCCAAGTCCATGTCCACGTACACGTCCACGTCCACGTCCATGTCCACGTCCACGTCCACGTCCACGTCGACGTCGACGTCGATGCCACGTCCACGTCCACGTCCATGTCCACGTCCACGTCCACGTCCACGTCCACGTCCACGTCCACGTCCACGTCCACGACCACGTCCACGTCCACGTCCACGTCCACGACCACGTCCACGTCCACGTCCAGGTCCACGTCCACGTCCAGGTCTACGTCCACGACCACGTCCACGTCCACGTCCACGACCACGTCCACGACCATGTCCACGTCCACGTCCACGTCCATGTCCACGTCCACGTCCACGTCCACGTCCACGTCCACGTCCACGACCACGTCCACGTCCATGTCCACGTCCACGTCCACGTCCACGACCACGTCCACGTCCACGTCCAGGTCCACGTCCACGTCCAGGTCTACGTCCACGACCACGTCCACGTCCACGACCACGTCCACGACCATGTCGACGTCCACGTCCACGTCCACGTCCACGTCCATGTCCACGTCCAAGTCCTCCACGTCCACGTCCACGTCCACGTCCATGTCCAAGTCCTCGTCCACGACCACGTCCACGTCCACGTCCACGTCTACGTCCACGTCCAGGTCCATGTCCACGTCCATGTCCACGTCCAAGTCCTCCACGTCCACGTCCACGACCACGTCCACGTCCATGTCCACGTCCATGTCCACGTCCACGTCCATGTCCACGTCCACGTCCACGTCCACGTCCATGTCCACGTCCATGTCCACGTCCATGTCCACGTCCATGTCCACGTACACGTCCACGTCCACGTCCATGTCCACGTCCATGTCCCCGTCCACGTCCACGTCCGCGTCCACGTCCACGTCCATGTCCACGTCCGCGTCCATCCACGTCCACGTCCACGTCCGCGTCCACGTCCACGTCCGCGTCCATCCACGTCCACGTCCACGTCCACGTCCATGTCCGCGTCCACGTCCACGTCCACGTCCACGTCCAGGTCCACGTCCATGTCCACGTCCACGTCCACGTCCACGTCCATGTCCACGTCCAAGGCCACGTCCACGTCCACGTCCACGTCCATGTCCACGTCCAAGGCCACGTCCACGTCCACGTCCACGTCCATGTCCACGTCCACGTCCACGTCCATGTCCACGTCCATGTCCATGTCCATGTCCATGTCCACGTCCATGTCCATGTCCATGTCTACGTCCAGTTCCACGTCCACGTCCGCGTCCATGTCCACGTCCACGTCCACGTCCATCCACGTCCACGTCCACGTCCACGTCCACGTCCATGTCCATGTCCACGTCCACGTCCACGTCCACGTCCAGGTCCACGTCCACGTCCACGTCCAAGTCCATGTCCACGTACACGTCCACGTCCACGTCCATGTCCACGTCCACGTCCACGTCCACGTCGACGTCGATGCCACGTCCACGTCCACGTCCATGTCCACGTCCACGTCCACGTCCACGTCCACGTCCACGACCACGTCCACGTCCACGTCCACGTCCACGTCCACGTCCACGACCACGTCCACGTCCACGTCCAGGTCCACGTCCACGTCGAGGTCTACGTCCACGACCACGTCCACGTCCACGTCCACGTCCACGACCACGTCCACGACCATGTCCACCTCCACGTCCACGTCCACGTCCACGACCATGTCCACGTCCATGTCCACGTCCACGTCCACGTCCACGTCCACGTCCACGTCCACGACCACGTCCACGTCCACGTCCAGGTCCACGTCCACGTCCAGGTCTACGTCCACGACCACGTCCACGTCCACGTCCACGACCACGTCCACGACCATGTCCACGTCCACGTCCACGTCCACGTCCATGTCCACGTCCAAGTCCTCCACGTCCACGTCCACGTCCACGTCCACGTCCATGTCCAAGTCCTCGTCCATGACCACGTCCACGTCCACGTCCACGTCTACGTCCACGTCCACGTCCATGTCCACGTCCATGTCCACGTCCAAGTCCTCCATGTCCACGTCCACGACCACGTCCACGTCCATGTCCACGTCCATGTCCACGTCCACGTCCATGTCCACGTCCACATCCACTTCCACGTCCATGTCCACGTCCATGTCCACGTCCATGTCCACGTCCATGTCCACGTACACGTCCACGTCCACGTCCATGTCCACGTCCATGTTCCCGTCCACGTCCACGTCCGCGTCCACGTCCACGTCCACGTCCACGTCCGCGTCCATCCACGTCCACGTCCACGTCCGCGTCCACGTCCACGTCCGCGTCCATCCACGTCCACGTCCACGTCCACGTCCGCGTCCACGTCCACGTCCACGTCCACGTCCAGGTCCACGTCCATGTCCACGTCCACGTCCACGTCCACGTCCATGTCCACGTCCAAGGCCACGTCCACGTCCACGTCCACGTCCATGTCCACGTCCAAGGCCACGTCCACGTCCACGTCCACGTCCATGTCCACGTCCACGTCCACGTCCATGTCCACGTCCATGTCCATGTCCATGTCCATGTCCACGTCCATGTCCATGTCCATGTCTACGTCCAGTTCCACGTCCACGTCCGCGTCCATGTCCACGTCCACGTCCACGTCCACGTCCGCGTCCACGTCCATGTCCACGTCCACGTCCATCCACGTCCACGTCCACGTCCACGTCCATGTCCATGTCCACGTCCACGTCCACGTCCACGTCCAGGTCCACGTCCACGTCCATGTCCACGTCCACGTCCACGTCCACGTCCGCGTCCACGTCCACGTCCACGTCCACGTCCACGTCCACGTCCACGTCCGCGTCCACGTCCATGTCCACGTCCCCGCCTATCCACGTCCACGTCCACGTCCACGTCCACGTCCACGTCCACGTCCATGTCCACGTCCAAGTCCTCCACGTCCACGTCCACGACCACGTCCACGTCCATGTCCACGTCCATGTCCACGTCCACGTCCATGTCCACGTCCACGTCCACGTCCACGTCCATGTCCACGTCCATGTCCACGTCCACGTCCACGTCCACGTCCATGTCCACGTCCATGTCCCCGTCCACGTCCGCGTCCACGTCCACGTCGACGTCCAGGTCCACGTCCACGTCCGCGTCCATCCACGTCCACGTCCACGTCCACTTCCGCGTCCACGTCCACGTCCACGTCCACGTCCATATCCACGTCCACGTCCACGTCCACGTCCACGTCCATGTCCCCGTCCATGTCCATGTCCATGTCCACGTCCACGTCCACGTCCATGTCCACGTCCACGTCCACGTCCACGTCCGCGTCCATGTCCACGTCCATGTCCATGTTCATGTCCATGTGCACGTCCATGTCCACGACCACGTCCATGTCCACGTCCAAGTCCTCCACGTCCATGTCCACGTCCATGTCCACGTCCACGTCCACGTCCACGTCCACATCCACGTCCATGTCCACGTCCACGTCCATGTCCACGTCCACGTCGACGTCCACGTCCACGTCCACGTCCACGTCCACGACCACGTCCACGTCTACGTCCACGTCCACGTCCACGACCACGTCCACGTCCACGTCCAGGTCCACGTCCACGTCCACAGTCCATGTCCACGTCCACGTCCAGGTCTACGTCCACGACCACGTCCACGTCCACGTCCACGACCACGTCCACGACCATGTCCACGTCCACGTCCACGACCACGTCCACGTCCACGTCCAGGTCCACATCCACGTCCACGGTCCATGTCCACGTCCACGTCCAGGTCCACGACCACGTCCACGTCCACGTCCACGACCACGTCCACGACCATGTCCACGTCCACGTCCACGTCCACGTCCATGTCCACGTCCAAGTCCTCCACGTCCACGTCCACGTCCACGTCCACGACCACGTCCACGTCCACGTCAACGTCCACGACCACGTCCACGTCCACGTCCAAGTCGTCCACGTCCACGTCCACGTCTACGTCCACGTCCACGTCCATGTCCACGTCCATGTCCACGTCCACGTCCATGTCCACGTCCACGTCCACGTCCACGTCCATGTCCCCGTCCACGTCCACGTCCGCGTCCACGTCCACGTCCACGTCCACGTCCACGTCCACGTCCGCGTCCATCCACGTCCACGTCCGCGTCCACGTCCGCGTCCACGTCCACGTCCACGTCCGCGTCCATCCACGTCCACGTCCGCGTCCACGTCCGCGTCCACGTCCACGTCCACGTCCACGTCCGCGTCCATCCACGTCCACGTCCGCGTCCACGTCCACGTCGGATTCCACGTCCACGTCCAGGTCCACGTCCATGTCCACGTCCACGTCCACGTCCACGTCCATGTCCACGTCCAAGGCCACGTCCACGTCCACGTCCACGTCCATGTCCACGTCCACGTCCACGTCCATGTCCACGTCCATGTCCATGTCCATGTCCATGTCCACGTCCATGTCCATGTCCATGTCTACGTCCAGTTCCACGTCCACGTCCGCGTCCATGTCCACGTCCATGTCCACGTCCACGTCCACGTCCATGTCCATGTCCATGTCCATGTCCACGTCCATGTCCACGACCACGTCCATGTCCACGTCCAAGTCCTCCACGTCCATGTCCACGTCCATGTTCACGTCCACGTCCACGTCCACGTCCAAGTCCATGTCCACGTACACGTCCACGTCCACGTCCATGTCCACGTCCACGTCCACGTCCACGTCCACGTCGACGTCGATGCCACGTCCACGTCCACGTCCATGTCCACGTCCACGTCCACGTCCACGTCCACGTCCACATCCACGTCCACGTCCACGACCACGTCCACGTCCACGTCCACGTCCACGACCACGTCCACGTCCACGTCCAGGTCCACGTCCACGTCCAGGTCTACGTCCACGACCACGTCCACGTCCACGTCCACGACCACGTCCACGACCATGTCCACGTCCACGTCCACGTCCATGTCCACGTCCACGTCCACGTCCACGTCCACGACCACGTCCACGTCCACGTCTACGTCCACGACCACGTCCACGTCCACGTCCAGGTCCACGTCCACGTCCAGGTCTACGTCCACGACCACGTCCACGTCCACGTCCACGACCACGTCCACGACCATGTCCACGTCCACGTCCACGTCCACGTCCACGTCCATGTCCACGTCCAAGTCCTCCACGTCCACGTCCACGTCCACGTCCACGTCCATGTCCAAGTCCTCGTCCACGACCACGTCCACGTCGACGTCCACGTCTACGTCCACGTCCACGTCCATGTCCACGTCCATGTCCACGTCCAAGTCCTCCACGTCCACGTCCACGACCACGTCCACGTCCATGTCCACGTCCATGTCCACGTCCACGTCCATGTCCACGTCCACGTCCCCGTCCACGTCCATGTCCACGTCCATGTCCACGTCCATGTCCACGTCCATGTCCACGTACACGTCCACGTCCACGTCCATGTCCACGTCCATGTCCCCGTCCACGTCCACGTCCGCGTCCACGTCCACGTCCACGTCCACGTCCGCGTCCACGTCCACGTCCACGTCCACGTCCACGTCCGCGTCCACGTCCACGTCCACGTCCACGTCCAGGTCCACGTCCATGTCCACGTCCACGTCCACGTCCATGTCCACGTCCAAGGCCACGTCCACGTCCACGTCCACGTCCATGTCCACGTCCAAGGCCACGTCCACGTCCACGTCCACGTCCATGTCCACGTCCACGTCCATGTCCACGTCCATGTCCATGTCCATGTCCATGTCCACGTCCATGTCCATGTCCATGTCTACGTCCAGTTCCACGTCCACGTCCGCGTCCATGTCCACGTCCATGTCCACGTCCACGTCCACGTCCATGTCCATGTCCATGTCCACGTCCATGTCCACGACCACGTCCATGTCCACGTCCAAGTCCTCCACGTCCATGTCCACGTCCATGTTCACGTCCACGTCCACGTCCACGTCCAAGTCCATGTCCACGTACACGTCCACGTCCACGTCCATGTCCACGTCCACGTCCACGTCCACGTCCACGTCGACGTCGATGCCACGTCCACGTCCACGTCCATGTCCACGTCCACGTCCACGTCCACGTCCACGTCCACGACCACGTCCACGTCCACGTCCACGTCCACGTCCACGTCCACGACCACGTCCACGTCCACGTCCAGGTCCACGTCCACGTCCAGGTCTACGTCCACGACCACGTCCACGTCCACGTCCACGTCCACGACCACGTCCACGACCATGTCCACGTCCACGTCCACGTCCACGTCCACGACCACGTCCACGTCCACGTCCACGTCCACGTCCACGTCCACGACCACGTCCACGTCCACGTCCAGGTCCACGTCCACGTCCAGGTCTACGTCCACGACCACGTCCACGTCCACGTCCACGACCACGTCCACGACCATGTCCACGTCCACGTCCACGTCCACGTCCACGTCCATGTCCACGTCCAAGTCCTCCACGTCCACGTCCACGTCCACGTCCACGTCCATGTCCAAGTCCTCGTCCACGACCACGTCCACGTCCACGTCTACGTCCACGTCCACGTCCATGTCCACGTCCATGTCCACGTCCAAGTCCTCCACGTCCACGTCCACGACCACGTCCACGTCCATGTCCACGTCCATGTCCACGTCCATGTCCACGTCCACGTCCACGTCCATGTCCACGTCCATGTCCACGTCCATGTCCACGTCCATGTCCACGTCCACGTCCATGTCCACGTCCATGTCCCCGTCCACGTCCACGTCCGCGTCCACGTCCACGTCCACGTCCGCGTCCATCCACGTCCACGTCCACGTCCGCGTCCACGTCCACGTCCGCGTCCATCCACGTCCACGTCCACGTCCACGTCCACGTCCGCGTCCACGTCCACGTCCACGTCCACGTCCAGGTCCACGTCCATGTCCACGTCCACGTCCACGTCCACGTCCATGTCCACGTCCAAGGCCACGTCCACGTCCACGTCCACGTCCATGTCCACGTCCATGTCCACGTCCATGTCCACGTCCATGTCCATGTCCATGTCCACGTCCATGTCCATGTCCATGTCTACATCCACTTCCACGTCCACGTCCGCGTCCATGTCCACGTCCATGTCCACGTCCACGTCCATGTCCATGTCCATGTCCATGTCCATGTCCACGTCCATGTCCACGACCACGTCCATGTCCACGTCCAAGTCCTCCACGTCCATGTCCACGTCCATGTTCACGTCCACGTCCACGTCCACATCCACGTCCATGTCCACGTCCACGTCCACGTCCACGTCCATGTCCACGTCGACGTCCACGTCGACGTCCACGTCCACGTCCACGTCCACGTCCATGTCCACGTCCACGTCCACGTCCACGTCCACGTCCACGACCACGTCCACATCCACGTCCACGTCCACCTCCACCTCCACGTCCACGTCCACGTCCACGTCTGCGTCCGCGTCCACGTCCATGTCCGCGTCCATTTCCATGTCCACGTCCACATCCACGTCCGCGTCCACGTCCACGTCCACGTCCGCGTCCACGTCCATGTCCACGTCCACGTCCATCCACGTCCACGTCCACGTCCACGTCCATGTCCATGTCCACGTCCACGTCCACGTCCACGTCCAGGTCCACGTCCACGTCCATATCCACGTCCACGTCCACGTCCACGTCCACATCCAGGTCCGCGTCCACGTCCATGTCCACGTCCCCGTCTATCCACGTCCACGTCCACGTCCACGTCGACGTCCACGTCCGCATCCACGTCCATGTCCACGTCCACGTCCATGTCCATGTCCATGTCCATGTCCTCGTCCATGTCCACGACCACGTCCATGTCCACGACCACGTCCATGTTCACGTCCATGTACACGTCCACGTCCACGTCCACGTCCACGTCCATGTCCATGTCCACGTCCACGTCCATGTCCAGGTCTACGTCGACGTCCACATCGACGTCCATGTCAACGTCGACGTCGACGTCCACGTCCACGTCCACGTCCACGTCCACGACCACGTCCACGACCATGTCCACGTCCATGTCCACGTCCACGTCCACGTCCACGTCCATGTCCACGTCCATGTCCACGTCCAAGTCCTCCACGTCCACGTCCACGTCCACGTCCACGACCACGTCCACGTCCACGTCCAAGTTCTCCACGTCCGCGTCCACGTCCACGTCCACATCCACGTCCACGTCTACGTCCACGTCCACGTCCACGTCCATGTCCACGTCCAAGTCCTCCACGTCCACGTCCACGACCACGTCCACGTCCATGTCCACGTCCATGTCCACGTCCATGTCCATGTCCACGTCCACGTCCACGTCCACGTCCATGTCCACGTCCATGTCCACGTCCACGTCCACGTCCACGTCCATGTCCACGTCCATGTCCCCGTCCATGTCCGCGTCCACGTCCACGTCCACGTCCAGGTCCACGTCCACGTCCGCGTCCATCCACGTCCACGTCCACGTCCACGTCCACGTCCGCGTCCATGTCCACGTCCACGTCCACGTCCACGTCCACGTCCACGTCCATGTCCACGTCCACGTCCACGTCCATGTCCCCGTCCATGTCCATGTCCATGTCCACGTCCACGTCCACGTCCATGTCCACGTCCACGTCCACGTCCACGTCCACGTCCATGTCCACGTCCATGTCCATGTTCATTTCCATGTGCACGTCCATGTCCACCACCACGTCCATGTCCACGTCCAAGTCCTCCACGTCCATGTCCACGTCCATGTCCACGTCCACGTCCATGTCCATGTCCACGTCCACGTCGACGTCGATGCCACGTCCACGTCCACGTCCATGTCCACGTCCACGTCAACGTCCACGTCCACGTCTACGTCCACGTCCACGTCCACGTCGACGTCCACGTCCACGACCACGTCCACGTCCACGTCCACGTCCACGACCAGGTCCACGTCCACGTCCAGGTCCACGTCGACGTCCACAGTCCATGTCCACGTCCACGTCCAGGTCTACGTCCACGACCACGTCCACGTCCACGTCCACGACCACGTCCACGACCATGTCCACGTCCACGTCCACGTCCACGTCATGTCCATGTCCACGTCCAAGTCCTCCACGTCCACGTCCACGTCCACGACCACGTCCACGTCCACGTCCACGTCCACGTCCACGTCCATGTCCACGTCCAAGTCCTCCACGTCCAAGTCCACGTCTACGTCCACGTCCACGTCCATGTCCATGTCCATGTCCACGTCCAAGTCCACGTCCATGTCCACGTCCACGTCCACGTCCACGTCCATGTCCACGTCCATGTCCACGTCCAAGTCCTCCACGTCCACGTCCATGTCCACGTCCACGACCACGTCCACGTCCACGTCCACGTCCACGTCCATGTCCACGTCCACGTCCACGTCCGCGTCCATCCACGTCCACGTCCACGTCCACGTCCGCGTCCATGTCCACGTCCACGTCCACGTCCACGTCCACGTCCACGTCCACGTCCATGTCCACGTCCACGTCCACGTCCACGTCCATGTCCGCGTCCACGTCCACGTCCACGTCCAGGTCCACGTCCACGTCCGCGTCCATCCACGTCCACGTCCACGTCCACGTCCGCGTCCATGTCCACGTCCACGTCCACGTCCACGTCCACGTCCACGTCCATGTCCACGTCCACGTCCACGTCCATGTCCCCGTCCATGTCCATGTCCATGTCCACGTCCACGTCCACGTCCATGTCCACGTCCACGTCCACGTCCACGTCCGCGTCCATGTCCACGTCCATGTCCATGTTCATGTCCATGTGCACGTCCATGTCCACGACCACGTCCATGTCCACGTCCAAGTCCTCCACGTCCATGTTCACGTCCATGTCCACGTCCACGTCCATGTTCATGTCCACGTCCACGTCGACGTCGATGCCACGTCCACGTCCACGTCCATGTCCACGTCCACGTCAAAGTCCACGTCCACGTCCACGTCCACGTCCACGTCCACGTCCACGTCCACGTCGACGTCCACGTCCACGACCACGTCCACGTCCACGTCCACGTCCACGACCAGGTCCACGTCCACGTCCAGGTCCACGTCGACGTCCACAGTCCATGTCCACGTCCACGTCCAGGTCTACGTCCACGACCACGTCCACGTCCACGTCCACGACCACGTCCACGACCATGTCCACGTCCACGTCCACGTCCACGTCCATGTCCACGTCCAAGTCCTCCACGTCCACGTCCACGTCCACGACCACGTCCACGTCCACGTCCACGTCCACGTCCACGTCCATGTCCGCGTCCAAGTCCTCCACGTCCACGTCCACGTCCACGTCCACGTCCACGTCTACGTCCACGTCCACGTCCATGTCCACGTCCATGTCCACGTCCAAGTCCTCCACGTCCACGTCCACGTCCATGTACACGTCCACGTCCACGTCCATGTCCACGTCCATGTCCACGTCCACGTCCATGTCCACGTCCACGTCCACGTCCATGTCCACGTCCATGTCCACGTCCACGTCCACGTCCACGTCCATGTCTACGTCCATGTCCCCGTCCACGTCCACGTCCACGTCCACGTCCACGTCCGCGTCCATCCACGTCCACGTCCACGTCCACGTCCACGTCCGCGTCCACGTCCACGTCCACGTCCTGGTCCACGTCCATGTCCACGTCCACGTCCATGTCCACATCCATGTCCACGTCCAAGGCCACGTCCACGTCCACGTCCACGTCCATGTCCACGTCCACGTCCACGTCCATGTCCACGTCCATGTCCATGTCCATGTCCACGTCCATGTCCATGTCCATGTCTACATCTACTTCCACGTCCACGTCCGCGTCCATGTCCACGTCCATGTCCACGTCCACGTCCATGTCCACGTCCAAGTCCTCCACGTCCATGTCCACGTCCATGTTCACGTCCACGTCCACGTCCACGTCCACGTCCACGTCCACGTCCACGTCCATGTCCACGTCGACGTCCACGTCGACGTCCACGTCCACGTCCACGTCCACGTCCACGTCCACGACCACGTCCACGTCCACGTCCACGTCCACGTCCACGTCCACGTCCACGTCCACGTCAACGTCCACGTCCACGTCCACGTCCACGTCCACGACCACGTCCACGACCATGTCCACGTCAATGTCCATGTCCACGTCCACGTCTACGTCCATGTCCACGTCCATGTCCACGTCCAAGTCCTCCACGTCCACCTCCACGTCCACGTCCACGACCACGTCCACGTCCACGTCCAAGTCCTCCACATCCACGTCCACGTCCACGTCCACTTCCACGTCTACGTCCACGTCCACGTCCATGTCCAAGTCCATGTCCACGTCCAAGTCCTCCACGTCCACGTCCACGACCACGTCCACGTCCATGTCCACGTCCATGTCCACGTCCACGTCCATGTCCACGTCCACGTCCACGTCCATGTCCACGTCCACGTCCACGTCCACGTCCATGTCCACGTCCATATCCACGTCCATGTCCACGTCCACGTCCACGTCCACGTCCATGTCCCCGTCCGCGTCCACGTCCACGTCCGCGTCCACGTCCACGTCCGCGTCCATCCACGTCCACGTCCACGTCCGCGTCCACGTCCACGTCTACGTCCATGTCCACGTCCATGTCCACGTCCACGTCCACGTCCATGTCCATGTCCATGTCCACGTCCATGTCCACGACCACGTCCATGTCCACGTCCAAGTCCTCCACGTCCATGTCCACGTCCATGTTCACGTCCACGTCCACGTCCACGTCCACGTCCATGTCCACGTCCACGTCCACGTCCACGTCCATGTCCACGTCGACGTCCACGTCCACGTCCACGTCCACGTCCACGTCCACGTCCACGACCACGTCCACGTCCACGTCCACGTCCACGTCCACGTCCACGTCCACGTCCACGTCCACGTCCACGTCCACGTCCACGTCCACGTCAACGTCCACGTCCACGTCCACGTCCACGTCCACGTCCACGTCCACGTCCACGTCCACGACCACGTCAACGACCATGTCCACGTCAATGTCCATGTCCACGTCCACGTCTACGTCCATGTCCACGTCCATGTCCACGTCCAAGTCCTCCACGTCCACCTCCACGTCCACGTCCACGACCACGTCCACGTCCAAGTCCACGTCCACGTCCACTTCCACGTCTACGTCCACGTCCACGTCCATGTCCAAGTCCATGTCCACGTCCAAGTCCTCCACGTCCACGTCCACGACCACGTCCACGTCCATGTCCACGTCCATGTCCACGTCCACGTCCATGTCCACGTCCACGTCCATGTCCACGTCCACGTCCACGTCCACGTCCATGTCCACGTCCATATCCACGTCCATGTCCACGTCCACGTCCACGTCCACGTCCATGTCCCCGTCCGCGTCCACGTCCACGTCCGCGTCCACGTCCACGTCCGCGTCCATCCACGTCCACGTCCACGTCCGCGTCCACGTCCACGTCCACGTCCGCGTCCACGTCCACGTCCACGTCCATGTCCACGTCCACGTCCACGTCCATGTCCACGTCCACATCCACGTCCATGTCCACGTCCACATCCACGTCCATGTCCACGTCCACATCCATGTCCACGTCCAGGTCCACGTCCACGTCCATGTCCACGTCCACGTCCACGTCCACGTCCATGTCTACGTCCATGTCCACGTCCACGTCCATGTCCACGTCCATGTCCCCGTCCACGTCCACGTCCACGTCCACGTCCGCGTCCATCCACGTCCACGTCCACGTCCACGTCCGCGTCCACGTCCACGTCCGCGTCCATCCACGTCCACGTCCACGTCCACGTCCGCGTCCACGTCCACGTCCACGTCCAGGTCCACGTCCATGTCCACGTCCACGTCCACGTCCACATCCATGTCCACGTCCAAGGCCACGTCCACGTCCACGTCCACGTCCATGTCCACGTCCACGTCCACGTCCATGTCCACGTCCATGTCCATGTCCATGTCCACGTCCATGTCCATGTCCATGTCTACATCCACTTCCACGTCCACGTCCGCGTCCATGTCCACGTCCATGTCCACGTCCACGTCCATGTCCACGTCCATGTCCATGTCCACGTCCATTCCACGACCACGTCCATGTCCACGTCCAAGTCCTCCACGTCCATGTCCACGTCCATGTTCACGTCCATGTCCACGTCCACGTCCACGTCCATGTCCACGTCGACGTCCACGTCGACGTCCACGTCCACGTCCACGTCCACGTCCACGTCCACGTCCACGACCACGTCCACGTCCACGTCCACGTCCACGTCCACGTCAACGTCCACGTCCACGTCCACGTCCACGTCCACGACCACGTCCACGACCATGTCCACGTCAATGTCCATGTCCACGTCCACGTCTACGTCCATGTCCACGTCCATGTCCACGTCCAAGTCCTCCACGTCCACCTCCACGTCCACGTCCACGACCACGTCCACGTCCACGTCCAAGTCCTCCACATCCACGTCCACGTCCACGTCCACTTCCACATCTACGTCCACGTCCACGTCCATGTCCAAGTCCATGTCCACGTCCAAGTCCTCCACGTCCACGTCCACGACCACGTCCACGTCCATGTCCACGTCCATGTCCACGTCCACGTCCATGTCCACGTCCACGTCCACGTCCATGTCCACGTGCACGTCCACGTCCACATCCATGTCCACGTGCACGTCCACGTCCACGTCCATGTCCACGTCCACGTCCACGTCCAGGTCCCCGTCCGCGTCCACGTCCACGTCCGCGTCCACGTCCACGTCCGCGTCCACATCCACGTCCACGTCCATGTCCACGTCCACGTCCACGTCCATGTCTCCACGTCCATGTCCACGTCCACGTCCACGTCCACGTCCACGTCCACGTCCACGTCCAGGTCCACGTCCACGTCCACGTCCACGTCCACGTCCACGTCCATGTCCACGTCCACGTCCACGTCCACGTCCACGTCCACGTCCGCGTCCACGTCCATGTCCACGTCCCCGTCTATCCACGTTCACGTCCACGTCCACGTCCACGTCCACGTCCGCGTCCACGTCCATGTCCATGTCCATGTCCATATCCATGTCCTCGTCCATGTCCACGACCACGTCCATTTCCACGTCCAAGTCCTCCACGTCCATGTCCACGTCCACGTCCACGTCCACGTCCACGTCCACGTCCACGTCCACGTCCACGTCCATGTCCACGTCCACGTTCACGTCCAGGTCCACGTCGACGTCCACATCGACGTCCACGTCGACGTCCACGTCCACGTCCACGTCCACGTCCACGTCCACGTCCACGACCACGTCCACGACCATGTCCACGTCCATGTCCACGTCCACGTCCACGTCCACGTCCACGTCCACGTCCACGTCCATGTCCACGTCCAAGTCCTCCACGTCCACGTCCACGTCCACGTCCACGACCACGTCCACGTCCACGTCAAAGTTCTCCACGTCCGCGTCCACGTCCACGTCCACGTCCACGTCCACGTCTACGTCCACGTCCACGTCCACGTCCACGTCCATGTCCACGTCCAAGTCCTCCACATCCACGTCCACGACCACGTCCACGTCCATGTCCACGTCCATGTCCACGTCCACGTCCATGTCCACGTCCACGTCCACGTCCACGTCCATGTCCACGTCCATGTCCACGTCCACGTCCACGTCCACGTCCACGTCCATGTCCACGTCCATGTCCGCGTCCACGTCCACGTCCATGTCCACGTCCATGTCCACGTCCACGTCCGCGTCCACGTCCGCGTCCACGTCCGCGTCCACGTCCGCGTCCACGTCCGCGTCCACGTCCGCGTCCACGTCCGCGCGTCCACGTCCGCGTCCACGTCCGCGTCCACGTCCAGGTCCACGTCCACGTCCGCGTCCATCCACGTCCACGTCCACGTCCACGTCCGCGTCCACGTCCACGTCCACGTCCACGTCCACGTCCACGTCCACGTCAACGTCCACGTCCACGTCCACGTCCATGTCCACGTCCACGTCCACGTCCATGTCCCCGTCCATGTCCATGTCCATGTCCACGTCCACGTCCACGTCCATGTCCACGTCCACGTCCACGTCCACGTCCGCGTCCACGTCCACGTCCACGTCCGCGTCCATGTCCACGTCCATGTCCATGTTCATGTCCATGTGCACGTCCATGTCCACGACCACGTCCATGTCCACGTCCAAGTCCTCCACGTCCACGTCCACGTCCACGTCCATGTCCACGTCCACGTCCCCGTCCACGTCCACGTCCGCGTCCACGTCCACATCCACGTCCACGTCCGCGTCCATCCACGTCCACGTCCACGTCCACGTCCGCGTCCACGTCCAGGTCCGCGTCCATCCACGTCCACGTCCACGTCCGCGTCCACGTCCACGTCCACGTCCAGGTCCACGTCCATGTCCACGTCCACGTCCACGTCCATGTCCACGTCCAAGGCCACGTCCACGTCCACGTCCACGTCCATGTCCACGTCCACGCCACGTCCATGTCCACCTCCATGTCCATGTCCATGTCCACGTCCATGTCCATGTCCATGTCTACATCCACTTCCACGTCCACGTCCGTGTCCATGTCCACGTCCATGTCCACGTCCACGTCCATGTCCATGTCCATGTCCATATCCATGTCCACGTCCATGTCCACGACCACGTCCATGTCCACGTCCAAGTCCTCCACGTCCATGTCCACGTCCATGTTCACGTCCACGTCCACGTCCACGTCCACGTCCATGTCCACGTCCACGTCCACGTCCACGTCCATGTCCACGTCCACGTCCACGTCGACGTCCACGTCCACGTCCACGTCCACGTCCACGACCACGTCCACGTCCACGTCCACGTCCACGTCCATGTCCACGTCCACGTCCACGTCCACGTCCACGTCCACGTCAACGTCCACGTCCACGTCCACGTCCACGTCCACGTCCACCTCCACGTCCACCTCCACGTCCACGTCCACGTCCATGTCCACGTCTTCGTCCACGTCTTCGTCCACGTCCACGTCCACATCCACGACCACGTCCACGACCATGTCCACGTCAATGTCCATGTCCACGTCCACGTCTACGTCCATGTCCACGTCCATGTCCACGTCCAAGTCCTCCACGTCCACCTCCACGTCCACGTCCACGACCACGTCCACGTCCACGTCCAAGTCCTCCACATCCACGTCCACGTCCACGTCCACTTCCACGTCTACGTCCACGTCCACGTCCATGTCCATGTCCATGTCCACGTCCAAGTCCTCCACGTCCACGTCCACGACCACGTCCACGTCCATGTCCACGTCCATGTCCACGTCCACGTCCATGTCCACGTCCACGTCCACGTCCATGTCCACGTCCACGTCCACGTCCACGTACATGTCCACGTCCATATCCACGTCCATGTCCACATCCACGTCCACGTCCACGTCCATGTCCCCGTCCGCGTCCACGTCCACGTCCGCGTCCATCCACGTCCACGTCCACGTCCACGTCCGCGTCCACGTCCACGTCCACGTCCATGTCCACGTCCACGTCCACGTCCATGTCCACGTCCACATCCACGTCCATGTCCACGTCCACGTCCACGTCCACGTCCATGTCCACGTCCATGTCCACGTCCATGTCCACGTCCATGTCCACGTCCATGTCCACGTCCATGTCCACGTCCATGTCCACGTCCATGTCCACGTCCATGTCCACGTCCATGTCCACGTCCATGTCCATGTCCACGTCCACGTCCGCGTCCACGTCCGCGTCCATGTCCACGTCCATGTCCACGTCCATGTCCACGTCCATGTCCATGTCCATGTCCATGTCCATGTCCACGTCCATGTCCATGACCACGTCCATGTCCACGTCCAAGTCCTCCACGTCCATGTCCACGTCCATGTCCACGTCCACGTCCACGTCCACGTCCACATCCACGTCCATGTCCCCGTCCATGTCCACATCCACGTCCACGTCTACGTCCACGTCCACGTCCATGTCCACGTCCACGTCCAGGTCCACGTCCACGTCCATGTCCACTTTTACGTCCTTGTCCACGTCCACGTCCACGTCCACGTCCGCGTCCATGTCCACGTCCATGTCCACGTCCATGTCCACGTCCATGTCCATGTCCATGTCCATGTCCACGTCCATGTCCACGACCACGTCCATGTCCACGTCCAAGTCCTCCACGTCCATGTCCACGTCCATGTCCACGTCCACGTCCAGGTCCACGTCCACGTCCACGTCCATGACCACGTCCATGTCCACGTCCATGTCCACGTCCATGTCCACGTCCATGTCCACGTCCATGTCCACGTCCATGTCCACGTCCATGTCCATGTCCACGTCCACGTCCACGTCCGCGTCCACGTCCGCGTCCATGTCCACGTCCATGTCCACGTCCACGTCCATGTCCATGTCCATGTCCATGTCCACGTTCATGTCCACGACCACGTCCATGTCCACGTCCAAGTCCTCCACGTCCATGTCCACGTCCATGTCCACGTCCACGTCCACGTCCACGTCCATGTCCACGTCCATGTCCACGTCCACGTCCACGTCCACGTCCACGTCCACGTCCACATCCATGTCCACGTCCACGTCCACGTCCAGGTCCACGTCCACGTCCACGTCTACGTCCACGTCCACGTCCATGTCCACGTCCACGTCCACGTCCACGTCCACGTCCACGACCACCTCCATGTCTACGTCCACGTCCACGTCCACGGTCCACGTCCACGTCCACGTCCAGGTCCACGTCCACGTCCACGTCCACGACCATGTCCACGTCCATGTCCACGTCCACGTCCACGTCCACGTCCACGTCCAAGTCCACGTCCGCGTCCGCGTCCACGTCCATGTCCACGTCCACGTCCATGTCCACGTCCACGTCCACGTCCATGTCCACGTCCATGTCCATGTCCATGTCCATGTCCATGTCCACGTCCATGTCCATGTCCATGTCCACGTCCACGTCCACGTCCACGTCCACGTCCACGTCCATGTCCACGTCCACGTCCACGTCCACGTCCACGTCCACGTCCATGTCCACGTCCATGTCCACAACCACGTCCATGTCCACGTCCATGTCCACGTCCACGTCCACGTCCACGTCCACGTCCATGTCCACGTCCACGTCCACGACCACGTCCACGACCATGTCCACGTCCTTGTCCACGTCCTTGTCCACGTCCACGTCCACGTCCACGTCCACGTCCACGTCCACGTCCATCCCGTCCACGTCCACGTCCGCGTCCCCGTCCACGTCCATGTCCAGGTCCGCTTCCACGTCCACGTCCATGTCCACGTCCGCATCCACGTCCACGTCCACGACCACGTCCATGTCCACTTCCACGTCCACGTCCACGTCCACGTCCACGACCATGTCCACGTCCATGTCCACGTCCATGTCCACGTCCACGTCCATGTCTACGTCCATGTCCACCTCCATGTCCGCTTCCACGTCCACGTCCACGTCCACGTCCGCATCCACGTCCACGTCCACGTCCATGTCCACTTCCACGTCCACGTCCACGTCCACGTCCACGACCATGTCCACGTCCATGTCCACGTCCATGTCCACGTCCACGTCCATGTCTACGTCCATGTCCACCTCCATGTCCACTTCCACGTCCACGTCCACCTCCATGTCCACGTCCACGTCCACGTCCACCTCCACGTCCACGTCCACGTACACGTCCACGTCCACGTCCACGTCCACGTCCACGTCAACGTCCACGTCCACGTCTACGTCCACGTCCACGTCCACGTCCACGTCCACGTCCACGTGCACGTCCACCTCCACGTCCATGTCCACGTCAACGTCCACGTCCACGTCCACGTCCACGTCCACCTCCACGTCAACGTCCACCTCCACGTCCACGTCCACGTCCACGTGCACGTCCACGTCCACGTCCACCTCCATGTCCACGTCCACGTCCACGTCCACGTCCACGTCCACGTCCACGTCCACGTCCACGACCATGTCTACGTCCACGTCCATGTCCACGTCCACGTCCATGTCCACGTCCACGTCCATGTCCACATCCCCGTCCACGTCCATGTCGATGTCCGCGTCCATCCACGTCCACGTCCATGTCCACGTCCACGTCCATGTCCACGTCCGCGTCCACGACCATGTCCACATCCCCGTCCACGTCCATGTCCATGTCCACGTCCACGTCCACGTCCATGTCCACGTCCACGTCCACGTCCATGTCCACATCCCCGTCCACGTCCAAGTCCAGGTCCATGTCCATCCACGTCCATGTCGACGTCCGCGTCCATCCACGTCCACGTCCACGTCCGCGTCCACGTCCACGTCCACATCCGCGTCCACGTCCATGTCCACGTCCACGTCCACGTCCATGTCCACGTCCACGTCCATGTCCATGTCCACGTCCATGTCCACGTCCACGTCCATGTCCACGACCATGTCCATGTCCACGTCCAAGTCCTCCACGTCCATGTCCACGTCCATGTCCACGTCCACGTCCACGTCCACGTCCACGTCCATGTCCATGTCCATGTCCACGTCCACGTCCACGTCCATGTCCACGTCGACGTCCACGTCCACGTCCACGTCCACGTCCACGTCCATGTCCACGTCCATGTCCGCGTCCATGTCCACAACCACGTCCATGTCCACGTCCATGTCCACGTCCACGTCCACGTCCACGTCCATATCCACGTCCAGGTCCACGTCCACGTCCATGTCCACGTCCACGACCATGTCCACATCTATGTCCATGTCCACGTCCACGTCCACGTCCACGTCCACGACCATGTCCACGTCCACGTCCACGTCCTTGTCCACGTCCACGTCCACGTCCACGTCCATGTCCACGTCCGCGTCCACGTCCATGTCCACGTCCACGTCCACGTCCACATCCCCGTCCACGTCCACGTCCGCGTCCACGTCCACGTCCTCGTCCGCGTCCATGTCCACGTCCACGTCCACGTCCATGTCCACCTCCACGTCCACGTCCACAGCCATGTCCACGTCCACGTCCACGTCCACATCCCCGTCCACGTCCACATCCGCGTCCATGTCCACTTCCATGTCCACGTCCATGTCCACGTCCACATCCACGTCCACGTCCACATCCACGTCCATGTCCACGTCCATGTCCACGTCCATGTCCACGTCCACGTCCACGTCCACGACCATGTCCACGTCCACGTCGACGTCCACATCCACGTCCACGTCCACGACCATGTCCACGTCCACGTCCACGTCCATGTCCACGTCCACGTCCATGTCCACGTCCATGTCCACGTCCATATCCCCGTCCACGTCCACGTCCGCGTCCATCCACGTCCGCGTCCACGTCCTTGTCCATGTCCACGTCCACATCCACGTCCACGTCCACGTCCGCGTCCATCCACGTCCGCGTCCACGTCCCCGTCCACGTCCACGTCCACGTCCACGTCCATGTCCATGTCCACGTCCAGGTCCACGTCCACGTCCACGTCCATGTCCACGTCCATGTCCATGTCCATGTCGACGTCCACGTCCACGTCCTGGTCCATGTCCACGTCCACGTCCACGTCCACGTCCACGTCCATGTCCACGTCCACGTCCACGTCCACGTCCACGTCAACGTCCACGTCAACGTCCACGTCCACGTCCGCGTCCATGTCCACGTCCATGTCCACGTCCACGTCCATGTCCATGTCCATGTCCATGTCCACGTTCATGTCCACGACCACGTCCATGTCCACGTCCAAGTCCTCCACGTCCATGTCCACGTCCATGTCCACGTCCACGTCCACGTCCATGTCCACGTCCATGTCCACGTCCACGTCCACGTCCACGTCCACGTCCACATCCATGTCCACGTCCACGTCCACGTCCAGGTCCACGTCCACGTCCACGTCTACGTCCACGTCCACGTCCATGTCCACGTCCACGTCCACGTCCACGTCCACGACCACCTCCATGTCTACGTCCACGTCCACGTCCACGGTCCACGTCCACGTCCACGTCCAGGTCCACGTCCACGTCCACGTCCACGACCATGTCCACGTCCATGTCCACGTCCACGTCCACGTCCACGTCCACGTCCACGTCCAAGTCCACGTCCGCGTCCGCGTCCACGTCCATGTCCACGTCCACGTCCATGTCCACGTCCACGTCGACGTCCATGTCCACGTCCATGTCCATGTCCATGTCCATGTCCATGTCCACGTCCATGTCCATGTCCATGTCCACGTCCACGTCCACGTCCATGTCCACAACCACGTCCATGTCCACGTCCATGTCCACGTCCACGTCCACGTCCACGTCCATATCCACGTCCAGGTCCACGTCCACGTCCATGTCCACGTCCACGACCATGTCCACGTCTATGTCCATGTCCACGTCCACGTCCACGTCCACGTCCACGACCATGTCCACGTCCACGTCCACGTCCTTGTCCACGTCCACGTCCACGTCCATGTCCACGTCCACGTCCACGTCCATGTCCACGTCCACGTCCACGTCCACATCCCCGTCCACGTCCACGTCCCCGTCCACGTCCACGTCCTCGTCCGCGTCCATGTCCACGTCCACGTCCACGTCCATGTCCACCTCCACGTCCACGTCCACAGCCATGTCCACGTCCACGTCCACGTCCACATCCCCGTCCACGTCCACGTCCGCGTCCATGTCCACTTCCATGTCCACGTCCATGTCCACGTCCACGTCCACGTCCACGTCCACATCCACGTCCATGTCCACGTCCATGTCCACGTCCATGTCCACGTCCACGTCCACGTCCACGACCATGTCCACGTCCACGTCGACGTCCACATCCACGTCCACGTCCACGACCATGTCCACGTCCACGTCCACGTCCATGTCCACGTCCACGTCCACGTCCATGTCCACGTCCATGTCCACGTCCACATCCCCGTCCACGTCCACGTCCGCGTCCATCCACGTCCGCGTCCACGTCCTTGTCCATGTCCACGTCCACATCCACGTCCACGTCCACGTCCGCGTCCATCCACGTCCGCGTCCACGTCCCCGTCCACGTCCACGTCCATGTCCATGTCCACGTCCAGGTCCACGTCCACGTCCACGTCCATGTCCACGTCCATGTCCATGTCCATGTCGACGTCCACGTCCACGTCCTGGTCCATGTCCACGTCCACGTCCACGTCCACGTCCACGTCCATGTCAACGTCCACGTCCACGTCCACGTCCTGGTCCATGTCCACGTCAACGTCCACGTCCACGTCCGCGTCCATGTCCACGTCCATGTCCACGTCCACGTCCATGTCCATGTCCATGTCCATGTCCACGTTCATGTCCACGACCACGTCCATGTCCACGTCCAAGTCCTCCACGTCCATGTCCACGTCCATATCCACGTCCACGTCCACGTCCATGTCCACGTCCACGTCCACGTCCACGTCCATGTCCACGTCCATGTCCACGTCCACGTCCACGTCCACGTCCACGTCCACGTCCACATCCATGTCCACGTCCACGTCCACGTCCAGGTCCACGTCCACGTCCACGTCTACGTCCACGTCCACGTCCATGTCCACGTCCACGTCCACGTCCACGTCCACGTCCACGACCACCTCCATGTCTACGTCCACGTCCACGTCCACGGTCCACGTCCACGTCCAGGTCCACGTCCACGTCCACGTCCACGACCATGTCCACGTCCATGTCCACGTCCACGTCCACGTCCACGTCCACGTCCACGTCCAAGTCCACGTCCGCGTCCGCGTCCACGTCCATGTCCACGTCCACGTCCATGTCCACGTCCACGTCCACGTCCATGTCCACGTCCATGTCCATGTCCATGTCCATGTCCATGTCCACGTCCATGTCCATGTCCATGTCCACGTCCACGTCCACGTCCACGTCCACGTCCATGTCCACGTCCACGTCCACGTCCACGTCCACGTCCATGTCCACGTCCATGTCCACAACCACGTCCATGTCCACGTCCATGTCCACGTCCACGTCCACGTCCACGTCCACGTCCATGTCCACGTCCACGTCCACGACCACGTCCACGACCATGTCCACGTCCTTGTCCACGTCCTTGTCCACGTCCACGTCCACGTCCACGTCCACGTCCACGTCCATCCCGTCCACGTCCACGTCCGCGTCCCCGTCCACGTCCATGTCCAGGTCCGCTTCCACGTCCACGTCCATGTCCACGTCCGCATCCACGTCCACGTCCACGACCACGTCCATGTCCACGACCATGTCCACGTCCATGTCCACGTCCATGTCCACGTCCACGTCCATGTCTACGTCCATGTCCACCTCCATGTCCGCTTCCACGTCCACGTCCACGTCCACGTCCGCATCCACGTCCACGTCCACGTCCACGTCCATGTCCACTTCCACGTCCACGTCCACGTCCACGTCCACGACCATGTCCACGTCCATGTCCACGTCCATGTCCACGTCCACGTCCATGTCTACGTCCATGTCCACCTCCATGTCCGCTTCCACGTCCACGTCCACGTCCACGTCCGCATCCACGTCCACGTCCACGTCCACGTCCATGTCCACTTCCACGTCCACGTCCACGTCCACGTCCACGACCATGTCCACGTCCATGTCCACGTCCATGTCCACGTCCACGTCCATGTCTACGTCCATGTCCACCTCCATGTCCACTTCCACGTCCATGTCCACCTCCATGTCCACGTCCACGTCCACGTCCACCTCCACGTGCACGTGCACGTCCACGTCCACGTCCACGTCCACGTCCACGTCAACGTCCACGTCCACGTCTACGTCCACGTCCACGTCCACGTCCACGTCCACGTCCACGTGCACGTCCACCTCCACGTCCATGTCCACGTCAACGTCCACGTCCACGTCCACGTCCACCTCCACGTCAACGTCCACCTCCACGTCCACGTCCACGTCCACGTGCACGTCCACGTCCACGTCCACCTCCATGTCCACGTCCACGTCCACGTCCTCGTCCACGTCCACGTCCACGTCCACGACCATTTTCACGTCCACGTCCATGTCCACGTCCACGTCCATGTCCACGTCCACGTCCATGTCCACATCCCCGTCCACGTCCATGTCGATGTCCGCGTCCATCCACGTCCACGTCCATGTCCACGTCCACGTCCATGTCCACGTCCGCGTCCACGACCATGTCCACGTCCACGTCCACGTCCATGTCCACGTCCACGTCCACGTCCATGTCCACATCCCCGTCCACGTCCAAGTCCAGGTCCATGTCCATCCACGTCCATGTCGACGTCCGCGTCCATCCACGTCCACGTCCACGTCCGCGTCCACGTCCACGTCCACATCCGCGTCCACGTCCATGTCCACGTCCACGTCCACGTCCATGTCCACGTCCACGTCCATGTCCATGTCCACGTCCATGTCCACGTCCACGTCCATGTCCACGACCATGTCCATGTCCACGTCCAAGTCCTCCACGTCCATGTCCACGTCCATGTCCACGTCCACGTCCACGTCCACGTCCATGTCCATGTCCATGTCCACGTCCACGTCCACGTCCATGTCCACGTCGACGTCCACGTCCACGTCCACGTCCACGTCCATGTCCACGTCCATGTCCGCGTCCATGTCCACAACCACGTCCATGTCCACGTCCATGTCCACGTCCACGTCCACGTCCACGTCCATATCCACGTCCAGGTCCACGTCCACGTCCATGTCCACGTCCACGACCATGTCCACGTCTATGTCCATGTCCACGTCCACGTCCACGTCCACGTCCACGACCATGTCCACGTCCACGTCCACGTCCTTGTCCACGTCCACGTCCACGTCCACGTCCATGTCCACGTCCACGTCCACGTCCATGTCCACGTCCACGTCCACGTCCACATCCCCGTCCACGTCCACGTCCGCGTCCACGTCCACGTCCTCGTCCGCGTCCATGTCCACGTCCACGTCCACGTCCATGTCCACCTCCACGTCCACGTCCACAGCCATGTCCACGTCCACGTCCACGTCCACATCCCCGTCCACGTCCACGTCCGCGTCCATGTCCACTTCCATGTCCACGTCCATGTCCACGTCCACGTCCACGTCCACGTCCACATCCACGTCCATGTCCACGTCCATGTCCACATGTCCACGTCCACGTCCACGACCATGTCCACGTCCACGTCGACGTCCACATCCACGTCCACGTCCACGTCCACGACCATGTCCACGTCCACGTCCACGTCCATGTCTACGTCCACGTCCACGTCCATGTCCACGTCCATGTCCACGTCCACATCCCCGTCCACGTCCACGTCCGCGTCCATCCACGTCCGCGTCCACGTCCTTGTCCATGTCCACGTCCACATCCACGTCCACGTCCACGTCCGCGTCCATCCACGTCCGCGTCCACGTCCCCGTCCACGTCCACGTCCACGTCCACGTCCATGTCCATGTCCACGTCCAGGTCCACGTCCACGTCCACGTCCATGTCCACGTCCATGTCCCTGTCCATGTCGACGTCCACGTCCACGTCCTGGTCCATGTCCACGTCCACGTCCACGTCCACGTCCACGTCCACGTCCATGTCCACGTCCACGTCCACGTCCACGTCAACGTCCACGTCAACGTCCACGTCCACGTCCACGTCCACGTCCACGTCCACGTCCAGGTCCAGGTCCACGTCCACGTCCACGTCCACGTCCACGTCCACGTCAACGTCCACGTCCACGTCCACGTCCACGTCCACGTCAACGTCCAGGTCCACGTCCACGTCAACGTCCACGTCCACGTCCACGTCCAGGTCCACGTCAACGTCCACCTCAACGTCCACGTCCACGTCCACGTCCAGGTCCACGTCCACGTCCACGTCCAGGTCCACGTCCACGTCCACGTCCACGTCAACGTACACGTCAACGTCCACGTCCACGTCCACGTACACGTCAACGTCCACGTCCACGTCCACGTCCACGTCCACGACCATGTCCACGTCCACGTCCACGTCCACGACCACGTCCACGTCCACGTCCACGTCCATGTCCATGTCCACGTCCACGTCCACGTCCACATCCCCGTCCACATCCAAGTCCACGTCCATGTCCATCCACGTCCATGTCGACGTCCGCGTCCATCCACGTCCACGTCCACGTCCACATCCACGTCCGCGTCCACGTCCACGTCCACGTCCGCGTCCACGTCCACGTCCACGTCCACGTCCACGTCCATGTCCACGTCCACGTCCACGTCCACGTCCACGTGCACCTCCACAACCATGTCCACGTCCACGTCCACGTCCACGTCCATGTCCACGTCCACGTCCATGTCCACATCCCCGTCCACGTCCAAGTCCACGTCCATGTCCAACCACGTCCATGCCGACGTCCGCGTCCATCCACGTCCACGTCGACGTCCGCGTCCATCCACGTCCACGTCCACGTCCACGTCCGCGTCCACGTCCACGTCCACGTCCGCGTCCACGTCCACGTCCACGTCCATGTCCACGTCCACGTCCACGTCCATGTCCACGTCCATGTCCATGTCCACGTCCATGTCCATGTCCACGTCCACGTCCACGTCCACGTCCACGTCCATGTCCACGTCCATGTCCACGTCCACGTCCATGTCCACGACCACGTCCATGTCCACGTCCAAGTCCTCCACGACCATGTCTACGTCCATGTCCACGTCCACGTCCACGTCCATGTCCACGTCCACGTCCATGTCCACGTCGACGTCCACGTCCACGTCCACGTCCACGTCCACGTCCATGTTCACGTCCACGTCCACGTCCACGTCCATGTCCACGTCCATGTCCACAACCACGTCCATGTCCACGTCCATGTCCACGTCCACGTCCATGTCCACGTCCACGTCCACGTCCACGTCCACGTCCATGTCCACGACCATGTCCACGTCCATGTCCATGTCCACGTCCACGTCCACGTCCACGACCACGACCATGTCCACGTCCACGTCCACGTCCTTGTCCACGTCCACGTCCACGTCCACGTTCATGTCCACGTCTACGTCCACGTCCACATCCCCGTCCACGTCCACGTCCACGTCCACGTCCACGACCATGTCCACATCCACGTCCACGTCCATGTCCACGTCCACGTCCACGTCCATGTCCACGTCCATGTCAATGTCCACGTCCACGTCCACGTCCACGTCCACGTCCACGTCCACGTCCAGGTCCATGTCCACGTCCACGTCCATGTCCACATCCCCGTCCACGTCCACGTCCGCGTCCATGTCCACGTCCACGTCCATGTCCACATCCACGTCAACGTCCCCGTCCATGTCCACGTCCATGTCCACGTCCATGTCCACGTCCACGTCCACGTCCCCGTCCACGTCCCTGTCCATGTCCACATCCACGTCCACGTCCACGTCCTTGTCCTGGTCCATGTCCACGTCTACGTCCACGTCCACGTCCATGTCCACGTCCACATCCATGTCCACGTCCACGTCCATGTCCACGTCCATGTCCATGTCCATATCCATGTCCATGTCTACGTCCACGTCCACGTCTACGTCCACGTCCACGTCCACGTCCACGTCCATGTCCACGTCCACGTCAATGTCCACGTCCACGTCCACGTCCATGTCCACGTCGACATCCACGTCCACGTCCATGTCCACGTCCATGTCCACGTCCACGTCCACGTCCATGTCCACGTCGACGTCCACGTCCACGTCCACGTCCACGTCCACGTCCATGTCCACGTCCACGTCCACGTCCATGTCCATGTCCACGTCCACGTCCACGTCCATGTCCTCGACCATGTCCACGTCCATGTCCATGTCCACGTCCACGTCCACGTCCACGTCCACGTCCACGACCACGACCATGTCCACGTCCACGTCCACGTCCTTGTCCACGTCCACGTCCACGTCCATGTCCACGTCTACGTCCACGTCCACATCCCCGTCCACGTCGACGTCCGCGTCCATCCACGTCCACGTCCACGTCCGCGTCCACGTCCACGTCCACATCCGCGTCCACGTCCATGTCCACGTCCACGTCCACGTCCATGTCCACGTCCACGTCCATGTCCATGTCCACGTCCATGTCCACGTCCACGTCCATGTCCACGACCATGTCCATGTCCACGTCCAAGTCCTCCACGTCCATGTCCACGTCCATGTCCACGTCCACGTCCACGTCCACGTCCATGTCCATGTCCATGTCCACGTCCACGTCCACGTCCATGTCCACGTCGACGTCCACGTCCACGTCCACGTCCACGTCCATGTCCACGTCCATGTCCGCGTCCATGTCCACAACCACGTCCATGTCCACGTCCATGTCCACGTCCACGTCCATATCCACGTCCAGGTCCATGTCCACGTCCATGTCCACGTCCACGACCATGTCCACGACCATGTCCACGTCTATGTCCATGTCCACGTCCTCGTCCACGTCCAAGTCCACGACCATGTCCACGTCCACGTCCACGTCCACGTCCACGTCCATGTCCACGTCCACGTCCACGTCCACATCCCCGTCCACGTCCACGTCCGCGTCCATCCACGTCCGCGTCCACGTCCCCGTCCACGTCCACGTCCACGTCCATGTCCACGTCCACGTCCAGGTCCACGTCCACGTCCACGTCCATGTCCACGTCGACGTCCACGTCCATGTCGACGTCCACGTCCACGTCCTGGTCCACGTCCACGTCCACATCCACGTCCATGTCCACGTCCACGTCCACGTCCACGTCCACGTCAACGTCCACGTCCACGTCCACGTCCACGTCCACGTCCACGTCCAGGTCCAGGTCCACGTCCACGTCCACGTCCACGTCCACGTCCACGTCCACATCAACGTCCACGTCCACGTCCACGTCCACGTCCACGTCCACGTCAACGTCCAGGTCCACGTCCACGTCCACGTCAACGTCCACGTCCACGTCCACGTCCAGGTCCACGTCAACGTCCACATCAACGTCCACGTCCACGTCCACGTCCACGTCCAGGTCCACGTCCACGTCCACGTCCAGGTCCACGTCCACGTCCACGTCCACGTCAACGTACACGTCAACGTCCACGTCCACGTCCACGTACACGTCAACGTACACGTCCACGTCCACGTCCACGTCCACGACCATGTCCACGTCCACGTCCACGTCCACGACCACGTCTACGTCCACGTCCACGTCCATGTCCATGTCCACGTCCACGTCCACGTCCACATCCCCGTCCACATCCAAGTCCACGTCCATGTCCATCCACGTCCTTGTCGACGTCCGCGTCCATCCACGTCCACGTCCACGTCCACATCCACGTCCGCGTCCACGTCCACGTCCACGTCCGCGTCCACGTCCACGTCCACGTCCACGTCCATGTCCACGTCCACGTCCACGTCCACGTGCACCTCCACAACCATGTCCACGTCCACGTCCACATCCACGTCCATGTCCACGTCCACGTCCATGTCCACATCCCCGTCCACGTCCAAGTCCACGTCCATGTCCAACCACGTCCATGCCGACGTCCGCGTCCATCCACGTCCACGTCGACGTCCGTGTCCATCCACGTCCACGTCCACGTCCACGTCCGCGTCCACGTCCACGTCCACGTCCGCGTCCACGTCCACGTCCACGTCCATATCCACGTCCATGTCCACGTCCACGTCCACGTCCATGTCCACGTCCATGTCCATGTCCACGTCCATGTCCATGTCCACGTCCACGTCCACGTCCACGTCCACGTCCATGTCCACGTCCATGTCCACGTCCACGTCCATGTCCACGACCACGTCCATGTCCACGTCCAAGTCCTCCACGACCATGTCCACGTCCATGTCCACGTCCACGTCCACGTCCATGTCCACGTCCACGTCCATGTCCACGTCGACGTCCACGTCCACGTCCATGTCCATGTCCACGTCCACGTCCACGTCCACGTCCACGTCCATGTCCACGACCATGTCCACGTCCATGTCCATGTCCACGTCCACGTCCACGTCCACGACCACGACCATGTCCACGTCCACGTCCACGTCCTTGTCCACGTCCACGTCCACGTCCACGTTCATGTCCACGTCTACGTCCACGTCCACATCCCCGTCCACGTCCACGTCCGCGTCCACGTCCACGTCCACGTCCACGTCCATGTCCACGTCCACGTCCACG